GAATCAGATCTAGAGTGGGGCTGATCTGCGGTAAATGCTCCCAGAAACTTAGTGAGTAAACCTCTCAGCTACTTTTATCTGAAGCAGCATTGCATCTCCATACTACCATAGTTAGTGAGAGCTCTTAGAATTCCCTTTGCAGATTTTTGCCCAATTGACGCAGTTATTCCAGCCGTTGCTCTCCACCCAGATATCAAAGAAAGGGAAACAAGAGGGTAAGGCATACCCCTCTCCACCCTGGTTTGATATACAGAATGTTTTCAGTTTAAAAGTATATTGGTTAGGGAATTTAAGTTATACAAAGAGAACCTAGCAGAGCATCCTATTCAAGACCTTATGTTCCTGAAGAAACAATACAGACATCTACCAAAAAAAGAAAGAGAGTTCCCCAATATTTTCTGGTAGTTATAGATAACAGCATCCCAAGCCAGGAACTCTACTCTGTTTTGGCATCTGATAGCCTCCCATTTGATAATCCCTTTTTGCTTCCTTATCTTATACCTCCTTCTGTATGGGAGGGACCATTTAGAGCATTATAGCAGTATTCATAAGAAGAGATTCCTGACACTAACCTGCTCCCAAATTGGGCTCCGGTTACAAATACTGAAATAAAGACACTCATTAACCAGTTAAAGCTTGCTTAAAGCTCCAGGCAATGATTTTATCACATCTGAAATACTACAAAATAATATGAAGTGGTAGAGCCCTATCCTTGTTTTCCAGTTTACTTACTGAGCAAATTCCAGAGGATTGAGGCCTAGCCATTGTGCCCATTTACAGAAAAAGGACACCCGAGATCTGCCCACTAACTATTAGCCTATCAGCCTCTTAAGTATAATAAGTAAGCTCTATGCTAGACATTTATGCAACAAATTAGTTGATTGGATTGACCTTGAGAACCTACTGGCAGGTGAGCAAGCAGGCTTCAAGTCTGGACACTATTTATAGACATGCCATTATTTTTTAACACCTGGCAAAAAATACATGTCTAAAGCAGGCTCATCTTTATATACTGCATTTATTGATTTCAGGTCCACATTTGATCTAGTTCCCAGAGAAAGACTCTGGTCTATGCTTCTGCCAGAATCAAAGTTCAATGCTGCACGCAAGACCACTATACTAATGATATTCCAACTTAGAGAGGAGAAAGGCAAGGATGCATTCTAGCCACTCTGCTGCTTAATCTCTATATAATTTTTTAAAATATTTTTTGCATCCATCTTTACACAAAGGGAAAAAACAGTCCAACCTATCAAAAACAGTACCATAAAAAATAGATTAGAAACACAAGTTAAGGTAGGCAAGAAAATGGTAAGTCAGCATCTGTCCACCCTAGATGAGTTCAGATCACCAGGACCAGATGGATTACACCCCAAGGTTCTGAAGGAACTGGCAGATGTGATCTCAGAATCACTGAACTATATTTTTCAAAGATCCTGGAGTTGATATAGTTCCCATCTTCAAAAAAGAGAAAAAAAATGGATCCAGGAAACTACAGATCTATCAGCCTGACCTCAATACCTGGGAAGATACTGGAAAAGATAATCAAGCAACAAATCAGCGAACATCTAGAGCAGCGGTTCTCAACCTGTGGGTCGCGACCCCTTTTGGGGTCGAATGACCGTTTTACAGGGGTCGCCTAAGACCATCGGAAAACACATATTTCCGATGGTCTTAGGAACCGAGACACCACTCCGCATCTTTCTCCACACGGCCTCCTCTGCCACTTGCAGAGAGAGAGAGAGAGAGAAGGAGGGAGAGAGGGGGGCAGGCACTTTTGCTTCCTTTCTCTCTCTCTCTCAGGCGGACTTACCTCCTGCAGGGCTCCTGATTGGCTCTGTGCCCGGGTGCCCCACCCCCTGGGAGAAGCGCAGCCAGGGCCTCGTGGCTTGGAGCCGCCTGGGGAAGCCCCGGGATCCCTGCTGGAAGCAGCCTGCTGGAGGCTCCGCTGAGTGGGGCAGCCCTCCCGCAAGCCGCGGCCCAAGGGAGACCAGCCCCTGCAATCCCCAGCTAGTCCGACCATTGGACCTGCTGGCCGGGAAGGCACGCTGGAATCCAGGCTGCTGGGAAGGAAGAAGGAGATGCAGCAAAGGTAGGAGAGGAGAGCTGCTTCCTGGGGCCCAGAGCTGGCAGCGGCTTCCTTGCCCTCCCCTTACTCCTCCCATTCTTCCTCTTGTTGCCCCCAAAGTGGCTTGGGTAGGCGCCAGGACAAGAGGGGTACCTGGAGGGGAGCAGCTGGGCTGGACGAGGGGCTGGCAGGGGCCGTGTGGCACCGGCCCCCACCGTGGCTCCATTGGATGGCGAAGGGCGAGGCCAGGCAGCGTGGAGTCCCGGCTAGGGAGACTGCTTCCTCGCCCTCCTCCTCTCCTTCCTCCTGCTGCCCCCCAGGCGGCTCGGGCAGGCGCTGCCTCCACCGCGGCTCCATAGATGGGAAAAGAAAAGAGGAAAGAGAGAAAGAGAAAGAGAGAGGAAGCAGAGAAAGAGAAAGAGGAAAGAGAGAGGAAAGAGACTGCCTTCCCAGTTGCCGAGAAAGGGAAAAAAAAGAGCTGTGAGCGAGTTCCCCTTTCTGCCTCATTGCTGAAAGCTTTTTTTTTTAAACGACCGCTCGTTCAGAACTCCTTGGGGCTTGTTTTCATGAGCTTGTGGCAGATCAGTAAATAAAGGGGTGGGGGAGCCAAAAGGTCCAAGGCATTTGCACCCTGAATGTGTGGACGCTGCTTTCATGATTTGCCACCCCCCTCTCTTCCCGCCCTGCTTGGGCAACGCGCTACTGCTGCTGGCTGAGCTGAGCTGAACTGCGGCGCTGAGCCGATCCCCACACCTCCTGGTTGCCCGGCTGTGCTCCGCCACTGGCCGCCCTCCATGCCGCGCTGGAGCCTCTCCCGCGCCGCCCGACCTGCTTCCCTCACCGTTGGAGGGCATCTGTGTGTGTCTGCAGACCTTACTGGACTACCATCCCCAGCAGCCCTAAAAAGCATTGTGGAAGAGTGAAGAATTAATACCACTTTACAATGCCTTGGTAAGGCCACATTTGGAATACTGCATCCAATTTTGGTCACCACAATGTAAAAGAGAAGTTGAGACTCTAGAAAGAGTACAGAGAAGAGCAACAAAGATGATTAGGGGACTGGAGGCTAAAACATATAAGTAACAATTGCTGAAATTGGGTATGTCTAGTTTAATGAAGAGAAGGACAAGGGGTGACATGATAGCAGTGTTCCAATATGTCAGAGGTTGCCACAAAGAAGACGGAGCCAAACTATTCTCCAAAGCGCCTGAAGGCAGGACAAGAAACAATGGATGGAAACTAACCAAAGAGAAAAGCAACCTAGAACTAAAGAAAAACTTCCCGACAGTTAGAACAATTAACCAGTGGAACGACCTGCCTCCAGAAGCTGTGAATGCTCCAACACTGGAAGTTTTTAAGAGACTGGACAGCTATTTGTCTGAAATGGTATAGGATTTCCTGCCTGAGCAGGGGGTTGGACTAGATGACCTCCAAGATCCCTTCCAAATTATTATTATTGTTATTATTATCATCATTGTCACTATTATCATTATTATCATTATTATGACTATGGCTAGTTACTGCACTGAAGAAGCCTTTGAAATCTATAACAGTAAAATTAAGATCACAATCTTTGCAAAAAGATCTAAACTGCACGCCTGTAAGATAAATGGCCAGAACATCAAGCAAGTCAAATCCTTTAAATATTTGGGCATGCCTAAATATTTAGGCCAAAATGCCTAAAAAACAGTAGTAGCAATTCAGTTTTTCCATTTTTCCAGAGGACCACAGTGTATTGCAGCAGCAGTGAAGTTATACTCCACTAAGGCTCATGCACAACTACTCTTTGGTGCTTAGTTGGGACCTTACTCCTCTTTTACTCCTCTGGAAAGGATGCAGTCCAAATTCCTAAGAGCTATATTTCAGGTAGTGCACTAGGTCCCAAATGTTGCACTAAGGCAAGACTAGCCGAAGTCAAAACAGGTGCATGGATCTACATTTTTGCACATTGGTTAATACTACTCTTTTTCCCTACAGGTTTGAGTTCTCTCCTTATAGTAGACAATTTCGAATCAATATGGTTGGTTCAAGCTTTCTCACAAAAACTTCAGTACAGTATCTTGTTTCTCCAGGGAAGTGCTTTTAATGATGGGATAAAATTGTGCACTTAGTGCACTTAAACAATGTAGTAAAGATCTGGAAATCCAGCAAAAGTGGGCTGCTCTTCCAAAGAATGTTTTCTTGAGCAGTCATACTTCTCCTTTTAAAGCAATGAGATGATCAAATAACTTTCCCCAAAATTCAAAGGTCATTAACTCTAGCATGCTGCAATGCATTTCCCACAGCAGTTTTGGACGCCTGATTAAAAAAAAAATATGATCTGAGATTGTGCCCTTTTGTGGACAAGAGGCCATTGAATCTACAGCTCATGTCCTGCTATACTGCATCTTTTACAAGGACTCATGAACTCAATTTATAACACCTTACCTAATAAATCCAGGAACTGCTGATCTTTTTTATGTACAACTGCTGTTAGCAAATCATTGTGAAGTAGTTTCTTTGAATGTGGCCAAATTCTGTTAATGCTGTTTGCCAAATTAGGCAGACTCTTAACTGTCCACTGATAACCCACCACTAATTGTAGTATATTACTTTGTTGTTTATTCCGTGACCGTAATAAAAATAGATTGATTGTAAATTGAGAATGGAAGAGGAAAATAGGTATCGATAGCTGTGGTCTGGTGTGAATAAAACAGAGTATGCTGGCTGTTGTAATAAATATGATGTGTGGGTGGGAATTAGACTAGGTTTGCAGAGGTGTGCTGCACACAAGAATCGGTTTCAGTGTGTTGCGTGTTGTAAGGAGATTGATGGAGGAGAGACCAGTGCAAGATATTATGGTGGGGTCAGATATTGGCACTGGGGAAAAGCAGGGAAAAATACAGTGTGCAATACTGGAAATTGCTTAGAGAGCGATCTTGTTTTATTTCAGATAAGATGGAGAACTACTTTATTACAACAGTGTGTTTTGCTGCTGACCTATGTTGCAATTATACTGGAAGCAGTGCCTATAGATGTAGACAAGACAAAAGTAAAGGAGGAAGAAAAAGACAGCGCAACAGTAGAAAATCCGGTAAGTCAATTAAATAAATGTGATTTTTTTTTAATAGTGGCTTCTTCAACATTGCGATACTTCAGACTAAAATGTAATACACTACTGGTGTTAGTGTCCTCTGTGTGGCATATAGATCAGCTGCATCTAGGTATTTCCCCATTAGCTTTTGGGAATATTGAGCCAAAGAAAGCCAAGATGAAAAAGTTAAATAAAAGCAAAGTGATGTTTAAAGCATCATCCTAGGCCAGGGGTGGGGAACCTGGACTCTTTTATGACTTGTGGCCCTCACCTCCCAGAATTCTTGAATCAGTCATGCTAGCTCAGGAATTCTGGGAGTTGAAGTCCACAAGTCATAAAAGACCCAGGTTCCCCACCCCTGGCCTAGGCTATAAGGTTATTTCTCATTTAATATGCTTAATTATAGCCAGGTTGGTCTATAATTGCAGGGGTAGGCAATCTTGGCTCTGTTATGACTCATGGACTTCAACTCCCAGAATTCCTGAGTCAGCAGCTGACTCAGGTATTCTGGGAGTTGAAGTCCATGAGTCATAAAAGAGCCAAGGTTGCCTACCCCTGGTCTAGTGGGTTAAGGCAGAGGTCCCCAACCTGTGGGCTGTAGCCCACTAGTGGGCCATGAGGAGTTTGCAGCCGGGGCACGGAAACAGCTGGCAAGCTCATGAGCTCCATTTAAGTGAGTGGCAGGTGCAAATGGTGCTGTGCGCGTGCACTTTCCGGCTGCTTGCATGGAACCATCCCCTCTCCCCCTCTTCCCCCCCTCGGTCCACAAAGCCAGAAACGTTGAGGAACTTTGACTTAAAGCACCAGGCTAGGAAGCGGGAGACTATGAGTTCAAGTCCCGCCTTAGCCATGAAAGGCCAGCTGGATGACTTTGACCAGCCACTCACTCTCTCTCAGCCCAATCTACCTCACAGGGTTGTTGTGGGGAGTATAGGAGAAGGAAGGTGTGCTGTTTTAATCATGTGACTGCAGTGACCGTAATGTTGAGGATTGGTCCGAACTACCACTTGTTCGGTGTGGTCATAATTTTGAATGGTCATTGAATAAGTGGCTGTTAAGTGAGGAATATTTGTAAATGCTAGAATTTGAGCTAATCCCATCCTAGGTGGGAAAAAATAATACTTTTCATTCAAAAGGCAGAGATGGAGAAATTAGGCAGGTGGGTGAGTTGAAATGGAGGCGAGCAGGGCAAGGCAGTAGAGCCTCATATGCTGAAGGGTGTCTCTCTCTCCAGGTCTTTCTGGGGAGGAGGCAGAGTTTCTGGAGAAGTATAAAGTCCTCATCTAATGATGGCATGGTCCTCATCTAATGACCACAACTGAGATTACCAGAACTACTGCTGCAAAGCAGCACAATCACATGTTGCTTCACCTAATGACCGCTTTGCTTAGAGACAGAAACCCCGATTCCAGTTAGGATTATAAAACGAGGGCTGTCTGCTATCTGCTCCATGGTATCCAAAGCAGAACATCTAAATTCAGTCATAGCTTTGTTCCATACAGTATTAACCTTGTGAACTCTAAAGCTTCCTCCTTCTTTATGTATTCAAGATGGACAGTGAATGATATTTATAGGTTACTTATATGTAAGGGTGTAGGTCTATAAATATGTTGTGTATAGTATGTTTTAAATGTGTTATGTATGTGTACACTTTAAGAGGAAGCAACTAAATTTCATTTTTAATGTTGCCATTGTGCCCACAGGAAAAAATGACAATAAAGGTCTGTCTGTGTGTGTGTGTGTCTGTCTGTGTGTCTGTCTGTCTGTCTACCTACCTACCTACCTACCTACCTATCTGTAGTTTAGGATGGAGCTTGACAGGCTGTAATCTTTTTTTGATCTAAGCCAGAGGATCCTTGATTTTGGGTTTTAGAGATAAAATTGGTCAAATTCCTCTCATCTTGACTTCTGATTCTGAAATTTTTACAGGGTGATTGGCTTGGTTTAGGAAAAAATAACATACGGTAGTTTGGTTTAAACTTACAAACCTTTTTGCAAAATGGAAGAGACTGTAATTATTTTCCTAAACAAAGATGACCTGATTAGGAGAAGCAGGCCTTTGTTTTCTGTTGGCAGAAACATTTTAAGAAAGAGTTAATGCATTGAATAAGAACTTGCCAAACATGACTTGCTTCTGAAGGAAGGCTGTCTCAAAAGATTCAAAGCAATCTGGCAATCTTTAAAAGTGTTTGGAACTGGAACTGCAAGACCATTTTCTCAAACCTGGAAAGGTTAGCATTAGCTTGGGGAAGTCTCCATTATAATTTCAGAGAGAAAAGAGAAAAAGATTTTCTTCTTTCTAGGTGCCAGTAGAATCCAAAACTTGGCACTTCAAATTGAATTAAATTCATAGGATGTGTGTGTATTTAAAATTAATTCTTGCTGTGAATTTGCTACCCTCTGCACTGAACAACAAAAGATTATGTTTGGTTGTTGGAAAATCAGCAAGGATAAGAACACCTACTGTAGTTGTAATAATATTTTCATAGATAAACGAACATTTCTCATTTCTGCCTCTATTTTATTAAGCTAACGGTAATTATATATGTATATATCTCTCTCTCTCTTAAAGGACACTGGATTGTATTATGATGCCTATCTCAGGCAAGTGATAGAGGTTTTGGAGACAGACAAACATTTCAGAGAGAAACTCCAAACAGTAGACATAGAACAAATAAAGGTAAGTATAGTAATTAGCAAATTTTAATAAAATGAAAATAATGAGTTGTGTTGTTTTATCTTCCCAGTGTTTATTGAGGGAGAATGTAATCACTTGCTATAAATATGTCTCTGAAACAATACTAAATAAGTAGCTTCTTTTGGGGAAAAAAACAACAACCCTAAAAACCAAAACCCACAATTCTCTGTTTTCAAGTAGAAAAAAAATCCACAAAAAATAAAATTAATTATTTTAGATCCTGATTTAATTTGTGATATTAATACATCCTTTTCTCATGGAATATTTATCTGAAACTTTTCTAAGTTCTGCAATTCTACATTACCTAACTTGCACCGATACAAATAGCAACTGGGTTCTCACATTGCTAAGCCAAAATATAGTATGTGAATTTGATTAAATATATTATGTGAACCCAGCAATTCTGATCTATAAACTATGATTTATGAATTAGTATTATGTATAAGTTCAGGTTATTTCCCTAACCCATATCATGCAGCCTTCAGCCATTGCTGAACACAACTCCCAATACTTGGTCCGCGTGACAATTGGGGAGGTGGGCTGAGAAATTGATTGATTTATAAAATTTATAAATCTTACCTGTGGGTAATGCTGGGCAGCTTAAAATCATATATATATATGTATGTATGTATATGTACTATATATCTACTTGTATTGTAAATGGATATGGATATATGTATAAAAACATAAGTTAATACCAATCACTAAAATCCAATTACAGAGGAGGGAGGTAGGACAGCTCAACAATATCTGGAGGGTCATATTCAATATCTAAATTCAGTCTAAGTAATACAAGTAGATTTGGGCTCGGATTTTTGGCAACTGGATATAGTAATCGCTGTTTAATACAGAAGCAGCATAAATAGGAGCCTTTTTATTCCTTAGGAACATACCCCCAAAATGTCTTTTAATTTATATTGTGTGTATAGTATATTAAATATATAAAAGTATATATGTATGTGTCTATGCCAGTGCACCTGTAGTGCAGAGTAACTATTGCAGTACTAACTGGAGTATTTTGAAGAGTTTTAGAAATACTTTATAATCTTCTGGAGTTCTTTAATTATTTCTGTATGCAATCTTCTTCTACTGCTCTGGAACAAATTTCTTATCCAGATTAAAATATCAACTAATTCTTACTTTCCTATGCAAGGGAGTAACTTTGCCTGTTTTCTGATGTATTTCAGCCAGAGGTGGAAACAGCAGGCCAATCGAAAGTATTTGGCTTTGTGATGCTGTTCGATGTTCAATGATTAATAAGCAGCAGCTCACTTCAAGTGAGGACTGATTTTCCTTTCTAACTCTCAGCATGAAAAAACAACAACAGCTGAGACATAGTGTTGGGAAACTACCTGTGAAATTAATGTTAAATAAAATACTCTATTGATCAGCCTTTTGCATCTTAATAAGCCAGACCATCTCAGTTATCGAGTTATGACTTGTTACAGCCAAATTACAGCATGTGTTTTTGGAGTCATCCACTCCACAAAGATTTCAGTTCAAAAAAGATATGACGGTCTAATCCAGAGTGATTGTGATGTAGAAGATGCTGCATATTTTCAATTGTAGTCTAAATGTGTTTGCTTCAAAATATACTGCAAGTGACACATCTATTAAAATGTTTCAGAGAAAGCAGAAATTGTTGCTAGTGCTGAAGGCTCTGCCTTTGAAGAGGTGCCTCAAAAATCTGTCTGAGAGCTGAAAAATGGATTATTTTATTGGATTAATCTTTGCTGCCTGAAAATTAGCTTTGGTGAGATGAGCGGATAGATAGATAGATAGATAGATAGATAGATAGATAGATAGATAGATAGATAGATAGATAGATAGAAAATGTACATTAGACTCTTTTACATCATTGTGCACTAGTCTTTGGTATATGCTATTTAGGTACCTTCTCAATCAGTTTATTGATTTTCACTGACTTATTAAGTGAAAAAGATTCACATCAATGCTCTCGCTCTCTGCTTTGAAACTTTTGCTTGGGGTTTGAAAATTTCAGATCTCGATTTCTCTTAAGAGAATGTAATGCTATTTTACTTAGTGCATTCAGTTATAGATGGTAACGAATGAAATTACCCTCAAGAAAAATAATTGTGGTGACTTTTATTGTTAACAGAGTGGAAAGTTAAGCAAAGAGCTAGACTTAGTTGGCCATAAGGTGAGAACAAAACTGGATGAACTGAAAAGGCAGGAAGTTGCAAGATTAAGGATGTTAATCAAAGCCAAGATTGATGCATATCAAGGTAAGTAGACAAAGGGGCAAAAATGGATGAATTGGCAATAATGTTTCAGTTTTCTACTTCATTTACAGCTGTGTTTGAATCAGATAAAACTGTGTTCCTGTGTTTTTCTTGATTTCATTACTTATTCTTGTTCTCTTCAAAAATTAGGGGTGAGAATGACAAACTAGTTCTGAAGAAACAACACCTGCAAAATAAATTGCTTGACATTAAATTAGTTTAAAGAAGAAAGTTTCCATTGTGACATTGCCATGTAGCTTTGTGTTATTTTTAAATTAACTATTCAAGTAAATCTCTGTGTAGGAGGAATGCAGTTTTTCAAACAATAATCCATATTTTCAAATCATGAAAACTTATCATATGTAATGAGAACTTAATTTTGATTGTGGAACAGTTTTAGTCTTGTCTACAGCAGATGGTAGAAATTAAGTGACCTTGGCTGATTTCAAACAGTTAAACAGTGAGACCTGGATAGAGTTTAAATGGGACCCTACCAGGGAGTCCTTGGTCTATAGACCAAAGTGGAAAATCCCAAAAAGCAGCAATCCAGAACAAGGCAATGGCAAATCACTTCCATATTGACATCAGAAAAACAATACATGCATGTCAACACCAGAAACCAAGTTGAAGAGTTAAGGGCTGTTTAAACAATCACCCTTTTACATTTCTTTTTCCTTCTCTTATTTTGACTAAATCTATTCCATTTCAAAAGATATCACTACACTGCAGGTCACTTCACAAATATTATGAAGATGGAGTGGGCTATAGGAAGAAAGCACTTCGTACCGAACCAGTGTTGCCTTAATGGAATTCTGAAAATTTTATATCATTTTTTAACTCTCTGATTATACCCAAATAAGGTATAATAAATAATATTACCAATAAAATATTGTTACTTTAAAATCTATTTTCTTCATCTTATACAGAGGGCCCCCCCCCCCAAGGTATAATTCTTTGGAGAGGGATACGATTATAATTTCTTGATTGGAAATGTTTAGTGCCTTTATTTCCTTAGTAAGAATTGTTTGGTGTATTAAAAAAAAAAATCTGTAGGAAAATAATTTTAATTTAATAATTTAATTTGTAGCTGCGAACCTGCATCTTGCTTGGATTGCATAGCGTATCAGCAAATAGCAAATGTAGAGACCTTCTTCTCTAAAAATGTTGTCATACTTTAGGAACACGTTGGACATTCCTTCTTTTTATATATATATTTAAATACCCAAGCTCTGTCCTTTGCAACCTAAATTTATTCATAATCTCAAGCATCCAATGCTGGTCCAGTTATACAGGTTTTTCTGTCTCTTATTGATAGCTTTTCCTGACTGGCGTATATTCTTATTCACTCTAAACCTTGGCCCTGTGGTTAAGGTCAAGCAGATTTTTATAATCTCCACATAAATAGGTGTTAAACTAACTGAGAAATTATCTTGAGATTAGAGGGAAGAATCACCCCGGCAGATTTGATCTGTCCTGAGCAAGCCTATTATCCTCACATGACATGGAGGAAGCCATCCTATTACCAGGATTGAAAATCAATGCAAGATCTGGACTAGTCAGTTTTTATATCTGGAGTCTGCGTGTATGTGTGTCTGTCTTTCTGAGGTGTGCTGATGGCAACAACAACAACAACAACAACAACAACACCTTGTTGAGACCTACTTTTTACATCACCTGGGCATTTTTCATCTAATTTAAAACCTCCCTTGAACCTTGTGAGTGCTGTAGGTTGTGAATATCTTCTTAAAATATGAATTCCTTTTAAAATATGCTCTTGAATTCTACCCAGTTCTTGTTGTATTGTATCTATCAATGTAGTCACCACAGTTCTGTTTTTTGTGTGGGTTGCTTTTAGATTCTGGCGTAGACCATCAAGCTCTTCTCAAACAGTTTCGGCATCTGAACCATCAAAACCCTCACACTTTTGAAGTTAAAGATTTAGATATGTTAATCAAAACTGTAAGTGTTCACCAAATATTTTCTCAGATGCTTGTTTTCTCTCTTTTTTTTAAAAAAAAAATTCTATACTGGTCTGCAATTCTCTCTCTTAATTTGTCAGTTTTAAATATCTTTCATAGATATCTCAAGAATCTTAACTTGGAACTCAATTTGAATCCATAATATAATGTTGTGTTACACAAGATTTGTGCACTTAATAAGTGCCCCCCACCCATCTGCTCATGTTCCTTATAGTGCATCATGGTTTTAATGTTCTCAGGCCAATATAAGCACCTTTATATGTTTACTAAGTCTTTAAACCGTTAAACTGAGCCAATTTAATTCCTTCTCACATTTTGTTATACTTGGAAGTAACTTTATATTAGTCAACCAATATTGTTTTACTGGATTAACAATCTGCTTATTTAACATTCAAACCAGTTTAAATGTGTACTCAGTTTTCTGAATAATAGTATAGTTTATTTTGCAATGTTAGAAAGGTATAATCATTTGCAACGTAAAAATCATTCCATGATGGCAGGAAAAGCTTCTTCAATGCAGCAGATCCTGAATAGCTTTAAAATATAATTAAGTATGTATGTATGTATGTATGTATGTATGTATGTATATGTGTGTGTGTGTGTGTATGTGTGTATATATATATATATATACACACACATACACACATACACATATACATACACACACACATTACATATACATATACACATACATTCATACATACATACATATATGTATAGGTCTTTGGTTATTCGGGTTTTCTCCCATGTCAAATTGGAAGTGTCTTGGCGATGTTTCGACGAAGTCTCATTCGTCATCTTCAAGCTGGTGTTTTCGGCTTCGTGCTTCTAGGAGCACGAAGCCAAAAACACCAGCCTGAAGATGATGAATGAGACTTCGTCGAAACATCGCCAAGACACTTCCAATTTGACATGGGAGAAAACCCGAATAACCAAAGACCTACATACAAACACCCGCGATAACCTCAGAATATATATATATTTGTGTGTGTGTGTGTGTGTGTGTGTGTGTGTATGTTTAACATCTGCTCCACAGATAAATGAACTGTTGCATTTATTAACTTACTAATTAAAAAAAAATTTTTTTTTTTAAAGATGGTCCTCCATCAGGCGACAGAATTACAGATATGAAAAGTATAGTTGAAATAAACAAATGGATAAATGAATGTGTAAAGATAGGTTGTAGAGAGAGGTGGAGTAATAGCTAACACATCAGGTTAGAAACTGGGAGACTGTAAGTTCTATTCCCATCTTGGCCCAGGCATCTATCTCAGCCCTAGGAAGGAGGCAGTGGCAAATTTCTTCAGGCAATCTCCGAGAATCAGGAACAGTTGAACAGAAAAATAATAATAAAAAAATAAAGATAGGGCAGATTTCCATGAAGAAGCTGTGCTAATTCCTGCATGCAGGAGGGAAAGAGGAAGTTGATGCCCCTCTCTTCCCAGGTGAGTGTCAAGAAAACAACTTTGTCCACATATTACAGTTCCATGTCTATGGAGATTCTCAGTCATCCTGATCATGGTTGCCTAAAGGTGCTTTTTCAAAGGACAACTGGACTTTGTTTTTCCTTGAAAATGTTTTGCTTCCCATCCAAGAAGCTTCTTCAGTTCTGATTGAATGGTGAAGGATAGGAGGATTGCTGCAAAGGATATAAATCCTTCCATCCTCCACCATTCAGTCAGAACTGAAGAAGCTTGTTAGATGAGAAGCGAAACCTCTTCAAGGAAAAACAAAGTCCAGTTGACTTTTGAAAAAGCACTTTTGGGACTTACAGGTCCATGATCAGTGCTTCTATCCTGTAGGCCAGGGGTAGGCAACCTTGGCTCTTTTATGACTCGTGGACTTCAACTCCCAGAATTCCTGAGCAGCCATGCTGGCTCAGGAATTCTGGGAGCTGAAGTCCACGAGTCATAAAAGAGCCAAGGCTGCCTACCCCTGCTGTAGGCCATAAGAATTGTTGAAAGGCACAGATGGCACATATATTTATTACTTATTAGACCTTGCCCCCCACCTTTATTACTTTGTATGTAACTCAAAGCGGTGAACATATCTAATTTTCCTTCTATTTTCCCTACAACAACAACCCCCTGAGGAGGATTGGGTTGAGAGAGAATGACTGGCCCAAAATCACCCAGCTGGCTTTCCCTGCCTAAGTCAGGACTAGAACTCAGTCTCCTAATTTCTAGACTAGCACCTTCAGCACTACCCAAACTGGATTATTTACAGATAAATGATCCAGATCTAAATGCACAACCTTTTTTGAGTGAAAGTCTATACTTTGAGTGATGAGCTGGGAGCTGCATTTCAAAAACTGGGAGAAGGTTCAAGACTAATTGATTCAATATTCAATGTGTCTATGCCTATATCTAATAATTTTAACAAATTTGGGGGTGTTTGGAGGCTGCCTTCAAAGCATGGTGAGTCCAAATGGCACTACTTTAAAGATTTTTGTCTATTCTACTTAATTATTGCTTTTAGAAATAATTTATCTTCTATGATTTTATTGCTTTTAATGTTGTAAGCCACCCAGAGTTGCTTCAAAGCAAGAGGGGTGGCAAAGAAATGTAATAAATAATAAAATAAAATAAAGTGTACAAGGCTGGTCAGTTTAATTGTGACAGTAACTATTAACAATCACACTTCAAAATAAGTCAGTTTTGTTATTTCTGTTTTGTAGAGATGGAGGCAGAGGCATAAAAAATGAGCTTTTAGCATCCCCTAGTGTCAGTAATATTTACGATGGGATATTTGATGATGAGAATTGCTGTAAACACCATGTATTACTGTACTGTATACCTTCATAAATAAATGAACATTTACAATCTGTTACAAAATGTTAATAATAATTAACATTTGCAACATTTTTCATCATTGTTGTGTTTGTGAATGGTTGTAGAACAAGGCAGTCACTAAATAAAAACTACATGTAATTTTAGATAGTATGGCTAAGAATTCCTTATACTACGTCAGTGGTTCTCAACCTTTTTAATGCCGCGACCCCCAACCGGTTGTAAGTCGAGGACTACTCAACTGGTCGTAAGTCGAGGACTACTCAACTGGTGCAGCACTGTTTGCAGAATGGGATTTTTGGCGGGCTCAGCAGGGCAGAGACAGCCTGGACAATTCCTATTGGCTTTTGAAAGCCAATAGAATTAGACTCTATTCAAGAGAGTCTATTCTATTGGCTTTCAAAAGCCAATAGAATAAAAGGGAGTAGCACAGCTAAGGAAAAGGGGGGGGGAATGGCAGACTGCGTTGTTTGGCGACCCCCGTGAAATGGTCGTTTGACCCCAAATGGGGTCCTGACCCACAGGTTGAGAACCACTGTACTACGTAATTACTTTAAGTCTAGATGCAGTGAAGATATTTTGTATACAACAATAATTCTAAGTTTCTTCATATCTTCATTTTCTGCTAATTTGAAGATGATTGTGAAATTTATTGTTCAGGAATTCATATATATATATATATATTTCCTCCTTTTAATTGCCAGTGGGGGTATGAACTGATTGGATGAGAGCTTGGCTGTGTTCTGATTGGATGGAGGTGTGTTCTGATTGGTTAGGAGCTTGGCTATGCTCTGATTGGCTGAGGGGTTGGCTGTGCTCTGATTGGCTGGGGGGTTGGCTGTGCTCTGATTGGCTGGGGGAGTGTTCTGTTTGGGTGGGGGCTTTGTTGTGGTCAGGTTAGTCTGAGTTGCAGGAGGGTTTAAAATGGTGAACTGCATTGCTATTTTTTGGACGCGTTCGTGGTCGTGCCTCATCTTCATGGTGGGCGTCAGTTTGCTTCATGTATGGATTAGAGGGGTTTAAAGTGGCTAATGATGCAGCTGTGGTCTGGCTTCTGGTTTGTGGTCGTGCCTCACTTTTGTTTTATATTAAAACTTTTAACGTTTTAACTTTTCCTGGTGATCAAATTTTATTCACAATATGCACACACCCAGGAATCATGCTTCTATTTTTAGTATTTTTTTTAATATATAATATAATATAATGTAATGTAATGTAATGTAATATAATATATGAGATATCCGTGAAAATACGACTCCAAGCATAATTATAAATAAAATAAATAATATGCGATCACCAGGAGAATTTAAGTAAGAAAAATACTTTACTAAAAACTGCCAAGCTTTCATTGGGCACTCCCAACATCGTCAGGGCTAAAAAGTCAGTTAACAAGGATAACTTAAATAGGTTTGGCTGACATCCACACCCGGCTCCTAGACCGCATCACCGGCCCCAGCTGGTCAATTTGTGTTCCAGATGTTTCTTTAGTGTTGTGTTTTCTTCTGTCGTTCTTTCGAATCTTCCTACCTGCCCCTTCATTATCAATTTTTGGATTTATTAACACCTTTGTATTCTCCTCCCCTCTGATGGTATTTACTCCCATTATATCCTTCCTTCTGCTACAGGTCTCAGGGGGATTAGATTCTCTTTTAGTGTTGGTCTTTGTTCCATTGGGGCTCCAGGTGCTTTTCACCCCTTTTAATTGTGGGTTGATGTTTTCTCCCTGTTCTGTATTCCCCTCCCCTTTAACCATATGGGTAGCGCTTGTCCGAGCATTGTGCGTTTTAGTGCTTATGTTTCCATCCCCCACCATGGCGCTCTCTATATTAACCGTTTTCCATTGTTTTACCCGTTGATGGTTTTTATCCCTGTCCAGAGTGGGCCCTTCACACTCCTCCTGGGAGAGATCTAATTGTGAATAGGAGCGCTCTTCATCCGTGGTTTTTCGCCCATTCATGAGATGGGGGGGCGGGGTATTTCTCCTCCCTTTGCTGAGTGAACGAGTCGTCATTCCACACCTTCCCTCCCTCCTCTGTATCAGACACCCCTCTTCACTATCGTAAACACTATCAAGTTCTGTGCTCTGATTGGATGGGGGAGTGTTCTGTTTGGGGAGGGGCTTTGTTGTGCTCAGGTTAGTCTGAATTGCAGGGGGATTTGAAATGGTGAGCTGCGTTACTGCTGTTTGGCTTTGTAGGATGGTGGATATTTTTCTGTTTGTGCAGAATACTGTCTTGATGTTGTGTTTGTGGAGGATCTTGCTGATTCTGTGGTGCCTTTTATGTATGGGAGGAGGGCTTTGCCGTTTTCTTGTTCTCTGTCTTGGATTTTGGTGGGGGTTTCTTTTTGGATTAGGTTGGTAATCTTATTTCTTTGGAATCTGTTGGATGTTAGTACATTAGTGAGAGTGTGTAGTTCGGTTTTCAGAGCACAGCCAACCCCCCATCCAATCAGAGCACGGCCAAGGCCCTAACCAATCAGAACACACCTCCACCCAATCAGAACACAGCCAAGCTCCCACCCAATCAGTTCATACCCCCACTGGCAGTTAAAAGGAAGAAACATCTACGATCACACATTGCTCCTAGAAGCACTAAGTCGAAAACACCAGCCTGAAGATGACGAATGGGACTTCGTCGAAACATCGCAAAGACACTTCCGATTTTACATGGGAGAAAATCCGAATAACCAGAGACCTACATACAAACACCCGCGAAAACCTCAGAAAATATATATCTGGAAGGAGGGGGAGGGAGGGGAAAGACAGAGAGCAGGAATGCCGGAACAGCTGCTTGTTGCAGGACTGGGGCAGAGGAATTACGACAATGGCCTTGGGGGTGGGGGAGGATAATGGCCCTGGGAGGGAGGGGGACTGGGCACAGGGACGGATTGACAGCCGCCCTCCAAGTGCTTGCACATGCTCAAAAAGAGCACTTGAGGATTGTAAAACAACCAGTGGAGTCAAAGACAGTTTGCCTGATGCGGAACAACTTGGTGCGATAAGGATTAACACAATCAACGGGCCGATGACATGCTGAAGGAGCTGGGCGCAGAGGCAGGAGGCTATATGAGCTGCCTTCCCAATCTCCTGCTATTCTAACTCTGATGACGCCGGCAGTTTTTTGGCCGGATGAAAGCTTAGTAACTCTTTTTAACTACAGACTTGTTTATATTAAACAGGCTGGTTTATTATATCCTGGTGTTCGTTTTTAATTTTATTTGTTAGTGTATATATATGTATGTAGGTAGGTAGGTAGGTAGGTCTTGGTGTATTCGGTGTATTCGGGTCTTTTCCCATGTAAGATTGAGAGCATCTTGGGGACGTTTCGATGAGGTCCCACTAGTCATCTTCAAGCTGGGGTCTTTGGCTTCGTGCTTGTGCGAGCAAAGTGTGATCGGAGCTGCCGTCTCTCTATATATATTGGTGGGGGTGTGTGAAGTGTTGGCTTAGTTGCTGTAGGTGGATTGGTTGGCTGTGTTGGAGTTATTGTTTGTGGATTGTTTGGCTGTTTCGTAACATCCTGAGTATTTGAGGTGCTGGCTGTGTGCCCATTAGTCTTTTGTGTTGTAACGACCTGGGTAATGGGTTGTGTGATGACATCCTGAGTTCTAGTGTAGTGATATCCTGAGTCTTTTGTGTTGTAACGACCTGGGTAATGGGTTGTGTGATGACATCCTGAGTTCTAGTGTAGTGATATCCTGAGTTCTGTGTTGCACCATCCTGGGTGGTTGGCTGTTTTGTAACATCCTGAGCTTTAGTGTTGTAGCCTCCTGAGTTCTGTGATGTGATGTCCAGGGCTGAAGGCTGTGAAGTAACATATCGGGCTTTGGTTTTGCTCCGAGTTTGAGGTCTAGCTCCGTGTTCATGGCGTGTGTCCGTTTGCTTTGTGTGGGGGTCGGAGGGAGGTGCAGAGCTGGTGATGTCGTCGTGGTTTGGCTTCTGGATGGTGGTTGCATTTCTTCTGAGGGATGGGTTTGGGTTTGGGTCTGGTGAGGGTGAATGGTGGTGGCATACTGTGTTGTTCTGGGTCTGGTGTCAGTTTTCGTGGCTAGGATGCGTTTGTTGATTAGTTTCCAGATGTCTGGTAGGCGGGAGGTATCGTCATGTTTATTCATGTTGTGGGGGTGTTTTTCTGTTTTGATGGCTTCCATAATTATTCTCTTGTTGTGGTGTTCAGTTTTGGAGATTAGTTTGGTTCCTTCAAAATTAATTTCGTGTCCTGTAGCTTTAAGGTGCTGGAAGAGGGAGGAAGTTTTTTCTTCTTTTCTGACTGCGTTCGTGTATTCTGCGATGCGTGCATTTATTCTCCTATTAGTTTGTCCAATGTATGTGGCTGGGCAGATTTTGCGCGGTATTTCATAGACTCCTTGGTTTTCTAGTTGGATCGTGTCTTTGGGGTTTCTTAAAATGTTGGCTATTTTTTGGTTGGTGACAAATATATATGGTGATTGGGTTAGTCAAAAGTACAATAACAGAATCTTTAGTACATATCTCAGGTTACATCATCAAAATTTCTTCTCTGTTTCCCTTAACATTTGCTGTATCATATTTAAGCTAGTAAGTTTCTGATTATATCAAACTCAATTAAGACTTCATTATCACATTTATCAATACATTTTTGCTTATACATATCCATATCCTGTTTTTAAGTGTTACCTAATTTTTAATTACAGTACTCTAGTTTAACCTTTAATATCCAAAGTAATAAGTTTCGGGTAACCCAAATTTCGTTTGTCTCACTACATAAAAATTATAATGTCTAAAATGCACATATTACTTACTTAAATATATTCTAGTTTTATTTCATAAACATTTTCTATTTCTCGCCCTAATACATCATCACCTTAATAGTGGAGTGTCCTTTATTATCTATATTATCTGGACTAAACAATAATTCATGCCTATTTCCTAGTAGTTAATTTTCATTTCCTGTATAATTCTAGATTCTCAATATTAGACAAATTAATCCCTTATTTTTTTACTATTTTCCAACTATTTTAATCTAATAATCAAATTTTCCACATCTTAGAATCTCCCTTTAGCCCAATAGTTAGCAATTTAGGATCCTCTGTAGTAGGCCAAAAGACCCCCTTTTTTCAGTCTAGCTTTCTTTTTATGCCAACCAGGCTTCCATACCAATGCTTTTAACTCATCAGATAGATGAGTTAAAAGCATTGGTACATGTTACTTGAATCAAAGGAGACCATCTAGTTGTCAGTTTTGTAAAAGAACTGGCCCATATATAATCATTGAATTGTCGCCCTGGTGGCCCATGTCCCCATATTTGCTCTAATACAATTGTCTTCGATTGATCTAGTCTTCTTCTTCCTCAGGTTTCTTCTGATTTGTGTAGAAAGTCATGTCCAGTTTTATAGTTGTTATTTGATTGTCTAAATTTTAAGTAAGTTGTAGTTGTTGCTCTTTAAAGTCCTCCGTCTTGGTATTAATTTCTTCCGCTTCTGTTGTTTTTTGGATTGTAAATTCTTTAGTTGCAATCAGGGTTTCGCTTTGTAGATTTAAGCTGGCACCTTTGTCTTTCAGTCTAGATTTAATTATCTCGGTTGCTTCAAGAATTTTTTCAAGTTTAAGTTTATAATGAATCAAAATTTATTGTTTAGGAATTCTTTACGAACTTGGATATATCCCGAGAAAAATGTCCTGAGGGAAACGAGAAGATGACCTGGTCAAACAGGAGTTTCTTAATGCTGCTTAGCTCAATGTTTATCCTCATTCTAGGAAAAAAAAAGGCTTCTCCCTCCCCCCCCCCCAATTTTTAACTCTTCTTATTTGCAGGCTACACATGACTTAGAAAACTATGACAATGAACGTCATGAGGAGTTTAAAAAGTATGAGATGATAAAAGAACATGAAAGGAGAGAATATTTAAAAACTCTGGATGAAGAAAAGAGGCACCAAGAAGAAGCAAAATATGAGGACATGAAAAAAAAGCACAATGATCACCCCAAAGTTAACCATCCTGTAAGTTCGCTGTTTTTACCCACACTGTATAAAGTGTATTTGTTTATATATTTTTATTTTGTTTATCAAATTTATATGGCTACCCATCTCACGCAAAGTCTCTCTGGATAATTGACCCCAATAATTAAAACATTATATGAAAGCCATTTAAAACAATTAAATATAAATTAAAGAAAAACAACGTTATGAAAGGGAACACATCAAATAAAATAAAATTTCTATTATGGTCATAATAGAATAGGATAATGGAACTCATCAGAATTTTTTCTCTAAACTTATGAAAAGTCAAGCTCACCAAAGTCAGTTAAATGGATACTAAATCATTTATATTTTCATTTATTTCAATATCACTTCAATATCACGGCAGTATTTATCATATTAAAATATTACAGTTTTTGAGGTTGACTTTTGGTCATTGATTTCATTAAGCTTTTAGACCATAACCCAGTATAAATGCCATTTCCTATGCTTCCCATACAATTATTTCTCAACTAATTAGGACACTTTAAAAATGGAAAGATTCTGGGCTTTTTCAAAAATATCTATATTTTTCACTTTTTTGTGGAAACTGCAGTGTGACTAAATTCTACCCATCTTTTTGTCACAATGATGTCAATCCTACATAGGCATTGCAGAAGGATGGAAATTGTTTTTAGGGTGAATATAAAATATGTTTTATATCTGTAAAGTTTTATAATTTTCTGTGACTGTAAGAATTTATACTAAAGATGCAAAGAAATAATGTATCACAGTCTTTTCCTTGCAATGTACGTGTCAGACAAAAAAACCCAAAGAGTGCTTAGGGGAAAATAAACTAGATTTTGAAGTCCTTTGGGTAACATAGTGTGATTTTAATTCTTTTAATTTAAAAGCTTTTGTGAAATCATTTGCACAAATGGTGTTCACTATTAACTTCCAGGGAAGTAAAGACCAACTGAAAGAGGTATGGGAGGAAACAGATGGCCTAGATCCTAATGATTTTGATCCAAAGACTTTTTTCAAGTTGCATGGTAAGATTTAAAGTTAAAAAAAAAAACATTAAGAAACAGAATTATCACATAACATTGACAATCTTTTGCACTTTTCAGACTGACAAATGTATCTTGGCATGTGCTTTTCTAGAGAACGTCAACAGATGCACGAAATGTTTTTTTTTTTCATATACTGTATAACCAACAACATATATATATATATATATATATATATATATATATATATATATATATATATATATATATATATGTAGGTCTTTGGTTGTTCGGGTTCTCTCCCGCATAAAATTGGAAGTGTCTTGGCACGTTTCGACGAAGTCACATTCGTCATCTTCAGGCTGGTGTTTTTAGCTTCTTGCTTTGAGCTGCTGCTCAAAGCAAGAAGCTAAAAACCCAGCCTGAAGATGACGAATGTGACTTCGTCGAAACGTTGCCAAGACACTTCCAATTTTACGCGGGAGAAAACCCGAACAACCAAAGACCTATATACAAATACCCGCGAAAACCTCAGAAAACATATATATATATATATATATACAGTGTTGTACATGGTTTGCATTCACTTTTCCTAATCAGATAGCCCACCATATGACTTGAAGCAACATAAACAGATATTAAAGTGGGATTGATTGTGTTCTAGAGTTATGGACAGGTGTCTCCATAATTTATAGTCATATGCCTTTTTTAACAGATGTCAATGCTGATGGTTTTCTGGATGAACAGGAATTAGAAGCTCTATTTACTAAGGAGGTAAATATGTGTAACTGGATTGTTTCAGAACCATGTTTCATTTGGCTCAGTGCATGAACAAGCAATGACTATTGAATGGGAATGTTAGACTGGAAATTGAGTGTCATACAGTGAATGTCAGGAAAATATTTAACATAGGTGATCATCAGTATCTACTATTTCAGATATTAACTGAATAATAAAAAACAGCTTATGAATTGATTTCAGTAGTACTGAATGTCATTAGAGTGATATATCTTAATCTATGCAGGCTCCCCCATCATTTTGGACTTCAGCTTTCATAAACTATAAATATTTTTTTTAATATTGCTGAGTGAGTGCTGCTGACTAATGAGAAGTACGTTCAAAATATCTGGCAGTCATTAAGCTCAGATTAGCAGTATCGTGTAAATGTCCCATAATTATGCACAGTGCTTTTTTTCTAAAAAAAAAAAGGTGCCAGAACTCACACATGTCATACAACCCGCCTTGCCTACCCTACAAGGTTCCATCCAAAAAAGGTGCTGGAACTCCGTTCTGGGCACTCTATGAGAAAAAAAGCCCTGATTATGCATGTGTATTCAAGGATATGTGGGTTGTTTGAGTATGGATGGAAGGTTAATTCCTCAATTTCTTAATAATTTAATCATCTTCAACATTTAGTCATCTTCAACGTTTCAGTGTCCTCTATCAATCTATATACTACTAAAACCTCATCAATAAATTCTCTTTAACTGTAGGGCAAAACCTTTTGATCCAAGATATCTCAAATGGGCTAAATTATAGAATGCATCTAAAATCCAAGACTCATGACTCCCGTGGAATTAAAATTTGGCAAATTTCATAAAACATTTTATGATGTAAACATAACTAATGTCATAAAACATTTCCTGTGCTGAGGTTTGACTGTGCTATACACTTCAAAACGGGCTACTTTCAAGACACATCTCTGAATATCTCCCAATGGATTGTTAGATATAAGTATGTGCTATTAAATACGTTGAAAGAAAACATTTTTCTCATAAATATCTTTTTTTTAATCTGTTTTTTTGCTTTTTATGAGGTTAATCATACAGAGACTATTTTAACTTTTGCTATACTTCGATATACTTTGTAAGTTCCTGAGGGTTGTCTGTTTGCAGTGAGGTGTACGTTTAATAAATAAATAGCATTAAAGCAACGTATTTTTGTAATAAATTTGGATGGCCTGTTCAAAATAAATGTCTTAATCTTAGCTAGAGAAAGTCTATGACCCCAGAAATGAAGAGGATGATATGGTAGAAATGGAAGAAGAGAGGCTGCGAATGAGAGAGCATGTCATGAATGAGGTAAGGTTTAAGGATACACATTTTACAAATAACTGTTAGCAAACCTCTGCTGTTGCAGGTATGGCAGCAGAACCTGCATCTAGTCCACAGGATGATTTATGTGGAGCCTATCGTTGCTTGCAACTCATATTTTACACGTAAAAAAATTAACAAGTAAACAAGATACCTACTGATAGTTCCAGTTCTGCATTTCTGACACTTTATTATGACTGACTGATTGTCTCCATGAGCCACTGGTTTGTGAATTATATTCATTCAAATTGTCAGGATTTTTAGATGGGAGGTAAAAAATAACAGGCATGATTTTGTTCCTGCATGAATACAGAGTCCGTGTATGACAAAATCCTCATAGACCATGGCAGAATGCTGACCCTATTCTTCCTTTGAACTTTGTACAGGTAGATTGACAGGTCATTGCAGCAAAAGTCTGCTCTGTAATTTTCCTCTTAATTCAGATTCAGATTCTGTATCTGTTTGCTTAGTTTTCAAACTTTGCGTGTGGATCTGGAAAGCGCACACAGATTTTTAGTTGTGTGGACCATCCCAGGACATTGTTTGCAAAAATACATCGTGCAAACACATCAAGGAGCAAAAGAGGAGAAACAGCTTCTTGCAATTGGGGCAGTTCTTAATTTGGAGATATAGGCATTCGATGAGATTTAAAGAACTGAATATTAAAAACAGGTGTATAAATATGCATTTCAGTAGTGAACTTATTTCCCAAACTGGAACATGTTTCTGAAAATGCCTGTTTCAGAGCTTTCCTGACCCCACCCCAATACAGTGTAAGTTTATTACTACATGTCTATTTATCCTTATATAGATAGCTTTATTACATAGTTAGCTGTTGAACATCTACTAAAATAGTGCAATGAGTAATTGTTTATGAACAGATTGCCTTGGGATGGGAACATTTATGTGAATCCAACTTTATTTTTAATCAATAAGAATGCTATTCCGGCTAGTGTTAGGTTGGCATGGTGGTTTTCTTTATCACTTTTTACAGTAAGTATATTTAAAGCTATAAAATTATTAAAACTTCTACCTTTCCTTCAGACTGTTGGATGACCAGCCTATTGTCATTGCGAAAACCAGCTTCCCGATGAATTATTCTTCTAACACATTCACCATTATTATGCAAATTTGATATTTCTGATCTGGTTAGGTGAGGGGTGAGAGTTGTCTTGTTTTGCTACTTAACAAGAAAAATATTGAATTTTCACATGCTATTGATACTTGAGTAATTCTAAATGTTACAGATAAACTGCACCTATCTCATCAGGATAGAAATATTTGCAGCACCCCATGAGATGAGATTAATTTGTGTTTTGCTCCTTGGGCAAATTATTATCAATTATTCCCATCCCTACTGCCATTATGTTTTATGCAATATAACTGATCCTAGCTTATTTTATTGTGTACCAAAATACGGATTTTCTTAAGTAGGGTAGCACTAATCAGATACTTCTATCACAACTTTTCTGCAGCCTAGTTTCCATTTGTTTTAAGAACTGCAAATAAATTCTATAGCCTAAACTCTGTATATATATATATATATATATATTTGCTTCTCTTTTAAAAGGTTGACATTAACAAAGACCGGTTAGTCACCTTGGAAGAGTTCATGAGAGCTACAGAGAAAAAAGAGTTTTTGGAGCCAGAAAGCTGGGAGGTACTAATGACACTTTTGAACTAAGACTGATCATAGTGATCAGCAAATGGCCCAACTGTCTTGAACTTTTAACTATCTCTTTATTTCTTCTTTTGTATTTATCTGTCATTATTAACGGCATTATAAAAATAAAATCCGAACAGTGAGTCTGAGGACACTGTGCATAATTCTCTCTGTGGAGCAACTTCATTGTTTGAAACCGAATCAGCATGTCCATTATGGCCACAAAATTTGAGCAAAGGAGTATCTTAAAGTTGGAAGCAAGAGAGAATTGTTTCACCTGTCTTTCCCTACAACACGTATACATTTTATCCCAAACCTGTCTGTGATTAAAAAATATTATATAGTTGTAATGCTGCCAAGTCTGGAAATTTCTCTCCTTACAGTAATAGTCCATAGTTGCAAGGGAAGCTTAAGAGCTTCTATTTTACTTCAGGGTACTCAAGGGAAATCATGGGGATATGAAAATTATGTATGTGGATAACCATCCATTAAAAAAAACCCCAGTCCATATATTTTCTGGACTCCAAGGAAAAAGCTAAGAATAGTAGGCATAGTTCATCTTTGTTATTGTTGTGAGGAAGTGCAATCTGTTTTAGAAGCAGCTCAGAAGATGCTCAGACATAGCGTCTTCTGTTGGCAGGTGGTCTCTGTTGGGATTTTCTCTGTGATGTGGTAGACTTCAGTTCTTCTCCCTTTAATGAGGAGGAGGTGATTGCAATTTGCTTTTTAAATTTACTCCAAAGGCAAATTGCTTCCAGGCGTGTACACGGAATAGGGAAATGTGAAGCTGATGGAACATTAAGGGCAATGTTGAGAAATTGTAGTCCTGCCTTTACTTGGGAGGAATGTTGGAGTGCTCCAAAAGTACGATTTCTCCTTACCCAAATGTAAGCAATCATCAAATATCTTAAATCTTGGGCACCAATATAGATATAGGCGAGTCTGAATTTTTCCCATTGAGCTTTCTTTTAAGGAGCTAAGATGTGTTGTTCTTGTTATTTTTGAGACTCTGGACCAGCAGCAGGTCTTCACTGAAGAAGAATTGAAGGAATTTGAAAGTCACATTTTCCAGAAAGAAGATGAATTGCAAAAGCAGGCATTAGAACTCCAGAAAAAGAGGGAAGAGCTACAACAGCAACAAGACTTCCTTCAGGCTCAGAAACAAGAACTTGAAATGGTACAACTAGTTGCAAGCTTTCCTTTGCTTGTTTGGAAGCTAATTCATTTTGCTTTCAATAAGAAAGACATAAAGCATCACAACTGTGCGGCGATGTATAGTGCCTATATAGGTAGTCCTCAACTTATGACCACAACTGAGCCCAAAGCTAAGCGAGAAATATGTTAAGTGAGTTTTGTCCCATCTTACGACTTTTCTTGCCACGTTTGTTAAGTGAATCACTGCAGTTAGTAAGCTAGTCACACAGTTGTTAAGTGAATCTAGCTTCCCCATGACATGGCTTTATCAGAAGATCGCAAAAGGGGATCACGTGACCCCAGGACATTGCAACCTTCATTAAATATGAACCAATTGCCAAGAATCCAAATTTGGATCATGTGACCATGGGGATGCTGCAACGGTCACATGAAAAATGATCATAAATCACTTTTTTTCAGTGCTGTTGTAACTTTGAATGATCATTAAATGAACTAAGTCGAGGATTACCTGCCCTGCCTACATGGGATGGGCTCAGTAGTGACAAGCATCCCCATGTTGGAGAGACAGGGCCAGCTCTATTGATGGGCAAAGTGAATGTCAGATCCTTGGCAGTTGTTGTTGTTGTTAATTGCGAAGTTGTGTCCAACCCATCGCGACCCCATGGACAACGTTCCTCCAGGTCTTCCTGTCCTCTACCATCTTCTGGAGTCCATTTAAGTTCACGCCTACTGCTTCAGTGACTCCATCCAGCCATCTAATTCTCTGTCGTCTCCTTCTTCTATTGCCCTCAATCTTTCCCAGCATTAGGCCCTTCTCCAGTGAGTCCTTTTGTCAGAACTCTCTGCTATGACCTGTCCGTCTTGGGTGGCCCTGCACGGCATAGCTTATAGCTTCATTGAGTTACACAAGCCCCTTTGCCACGACAAGGCAGTAATCCATAAAGGGGTCCTTGGCAGTAACTTTATCTAAAGCAGAGGTGGGAAACTTGTGGACTTCAGCTCCCAGAATCCATGAGCTAGCCATGCTGGCTGAGGAATCCTGGGAATTGAAGTCCACAAGTCATTAAAGCGGCCATCGTTCCCCACCTCTGACCTAAAGCGAGATTCTCACAGAGTCTTCTTTAAAAAAATGTATTTAAAAAGAAGCTGAACAACAGATTATAGAAATTTCTACAACTGGATTACTTTTGTTTTAGAATCTTTTATGCTGTAGGACATAAACTTCCCCCATGTTTAGTGCCCTTTCTCTGAACTGTCTGTCTGTTAACCAGTTCACTAAAGAATGTGCAGTTGTCTGTCAGTGTTTTACGACCACCTAAATCCTTAGGCTGTGTTAGGTGTTATGGAAAGACTGCAGAGGGGTAATTAGTTTAGTATGTTGTTATTTTGTCCCATCTGGTACTTTTTGCTTTATTCGCCAAAATAATGTGGCCAGTTTTGAACACCTGAGTTCAGGAAAGAGGTGTCCTCTTGTAACTCTGTGATATGTTTCAGTTGTAAGTTCCTGCTTGGTCCATCAAAATTTCAGATTCCGGCTTCTTTTAACAGAAGAATCTGCCTTAGCATGGCAAGAAAGACCAGAAAGATAAATGCCAGTTTATTATAAGAAATGAAAATTTTGAGACCTTGGTTTAAGTGTTCTCCTTCTTGTTACATGTAAATTAACTGTTTTACAGGCTGTTAAACAAATGGAACAGAAGAAATTACAGCAAGGACATCCCCCTTCAGGTCCAGGTGGAGAACTGAAATTTCAGCCATGTAAGTCACTTTGTCTTCCTCCTGCTCTATTTTTCTTCCATTGGTTTCCTTTTACTTGCCTGCCTAGTAAAAACAAGGTAGTAAAATTATCTACCTTTCCTTTACCACAAGCGTATACAGGCAGTCCTTGACTGATGACTATAATGCAGAGGTCTTCAAACTTGGCCCTTTTATGACTTGTGGACTTCAACTCCCAGAATTCCTCAGCTAGGCACGCTGGTTGAGGAATTCTGGGAGTTGAAGTCCACAAGTCATAAAAGGGCCAAGTTTGAAGACCCCTACTATAATGGAACCTGGCCACTACAGTCAGAAATAATGATAGCGATTAAGTGAAACGCCAATGTGACCTCACTTAATGACCTCCCCATCCCTGCCTTCCCCAATGTGGTCATTAAGAGGAGCATGTGCTGGCATAAGGCCCCTGGAAGGCCCTGGGAGACCTAATGCAGGCTCTGCCCTGGGCCTCACCCACAGCCTGAGCACTTGTGCTTTGCTTTCTACCCTTAGCATCCCTGAAGGCCTTGGACCTGCTTCCTGCCAGAACCCCTCATGTTCCTCCCCCCCACCTCACCAATTACTTAGTTACCTTTTACTAGAAATTTCCTCCAGAAAGTTTTGGAGCTCATGTTGAGAAGGAGAGCAAGCTGCTGCATCCCTCGGCGTCCACAGGTCATACGCTGTTTGTCCCACCAGTGAGCATCATGTTCAAAGCTTCTACCATTATATCAGAATAATATGTCAAACAATAATGTATATTATATATTTTGTGCAACATTTTAGATGTAGATGAAATATTCTGTTCCCTTATGCAAATACTGTTTGTACTTGGACTTTTTCGAAACATTACTTAATGAGTTTTTGAGCTTTGTATTATGAAACCATTAACATTTTAAAAAAAATATTTTGTGTTACAGCTGTGTCACAATTAGATGGAAATGTGCAAAATCATCCAGTGAGCAGCAATCAGCCTTTAGTGCCAGGAAATATACCAGTGCAAGAAGCAGCTGCTAGATCGGATCATGCCCAGTCTCATCCTTAACCAGTTGTGCCTCGGTTTATACACATTTTGTGGGTGGGTGGGTGAAATAATCAGAAACTAAAAAGAAATGTGAAAAGAAGGATAATTTTAAGTTTCATTTCACGTGTGGGATTCATATAGGCTGAAAAATCCAAATTCAGTGTGTAGATCTTCAAAGGCACAAATGATATAATACGGGATCCTAAAGTTGTGGATATTCTAGTTTTGTTGTTACACATTGGTAGACAACAGGATATCGTAACTTTTTCCTTGCAGAATCTTATTTTTGTCTCAGGTATAATTTGGCTTCCTATCAATTGTGCTTTTGAAAATCTTTTTCCTGCTTCTCCTTTAAATCATCTATAGAGATATTGTAAAGAAGAAAGTCTAAGATAAGTAAAAACCCTTAAATTTCTCGATGTTCTCCATTGCTAATGGGTTTGAAGTTGGAGAAGTTTAGAACTAGTCTAAACAAGAGACAACATCTCCCACCCCCATTTCAGTTCATAATGGTATGTTCCTAAAAGTGCCAACACCTTAGAGTTGTAATTTCATGGCTGTGGATGAATGAGTTATAACAATTCCTTTGGTTTTCAGTATCCATTGAAAAGAAACATCTGTGATCCACTTGCAAAAAATTCTACTTTTTAAAAGAAGTGTAATTGCAGCATGGAGCCATGGGAAACAGTGAACGTATCTTCTGTTTTATAAAAGCCTATGAATACCAGCGTGAAAATTCGGTACACTGAAATACTGTGCTTGGAGTGCATTGACTTAGCCATCTTTATTGTTGCTAACTGAATGCAGTTCATTGCTGCATTTTGGCTGCAAAGAGGATACTTTTCTTCTCCTTCCTTGTGTAATATGCCAGTTGCATTTATCTCTCTACGAACTATGCAAGGAAGCGCTTTAGATGGCAGAAATATTTTTAGAATTAACAAAGACCTTGCATTGTTTTTTCATCATAAAAGAGCCATTTCAAAATCAATGTTTGTCAGACACTGCATTTTGAACGTTATCGAAATACTTAATCACATTACATTATTTGAGAGGACTACAAATATAAAAGGCATGCATATTCTCCATCATTTTAACACAGACAGAAATGTCCAGAAGCTTACAGTTCAAACCCAATTCGTTCTTTCAACTGGGAAATACATCCACTCCTCCCTTATATTAACTTTGATTTTGATGCAAGTACTGTTGATCTAAACAGAAATGTTTGCTGGTCTAAATTCTCCTCAATTCGTAATAAGACTTAAAATCCAAATTATTTTCTGAAAGTAACATTTCTCTGTGACTGAATTAAAAGGGGGATGATTAAAAAAATAAGAACACAGACCATCTTGTTACTGAAGAATTATAATTACTTTTATTTCCAGGAAATGGGACATAATGTATAATTATTTATATAGGCAATTTAAAAAAAAATAGTTTTTGTATATAACAAAATGAAAAAAAAAAACCCTCTTTTCAGTAGAAAAATGAAAAGGGTCCCTTGTTAATACTGATTTTGACCTCCAAATGGATTAAATTCTCTTTCATAAAACAATTTTAACTATTATAGAAACCCTGTCCTTCCCTGAGCGACGCTTTCAAGCTTTACATTACACAGAACTAGGAAGTTTCCCATTTTGGATTTTATTAAGGACCATGTAACTCAAAGTATTATAATAATAATAAAGTTGGAAGGGACCTTGAAGGTCATCGAGTCCAACCCCCTGCTCAGGCAGGAAACCCTATACCATTTCAGACAAATGGCTGTCCAGTCTCTTTCTTAAAAACTTCCAGTGTTGGAGCTTTCTCTGTCTCTTAGATTAAATGGAATATGTGGGCTCTTCCCTGTTCAGTATTTTCCTTCAATCTCACTTACCCAAGGCTGTAATTGAATCCAATGGCAAAATGTGCCAAAAGCAGAATATAAAGTAGTGAAGGGTCTATAAAATAGTAAGTTCTCACAACTTGCCTCTTACAGTTAGAAAGATAATATTGGGGTTTTTTTTAATGCAGTCAGCCTATTGTTAGGCTTGTAAATGGAGTTTGTTCCCCCCCCTTTTTTTTAACTCAGCTAGATACTTCTCTGTTTGCTGTGTGTAGTTCTAGGATACATTGCATGGCATAGGGCAGCCAAATGGAAGGAACCACTGGGAACCCCGTGTTGAATGAATTCTTATTTGGATTTTGTAGCTGTAGCCCAAAAGAGTATTCATGGTTTAGTTTTTATTTATTTCTTATACCGAAGATCCAACTAGCCAATCAATAGAAACTTCCACAGAAAGTTTTCTGTTTTCTAGAGTCAACATCTTGAACACATATTGTGAACCTTTCTTGTGGGTTACAAATATGACCTGTAAAAGGTATCTTCTGTGTTTTATTTGCAGTCATGCACATGTTTATAGCTCTATTAATACACTGTCCTTTAATTTTATGTGGTATTCATCCCTTTGTTTTAGGTTATAAATATAATCAAAGAATTGGATAGTGCGGAATCCAATTCCAGTTATTGTCTTTTTCAGTTTGCTTCAAAAATGTTCAGATTACCAATGTCTTATTTTAAATGTCCTATTCCGTACCAAGTAAAATTTGCAAAGAGAGACGGAGTATGATCACCCACAGAGGCCACTGTAACTATTCACAGCACCAGGGAAGTTGACAAGTGGAAATGGGATGAGGTTTGCCCTGACTATTACATCAATTGGAATCTTTGAAGTACTGCCATGCTGGGTATAGCTTGAGGGGCTGGTTATAAGGGAAAGTAACGTTCACAGCACAATTTCAGACTGCATACTTTTCCACCCAATTACTGTTAACTGGAATTTGATAGCGGTGGAATTTAGAGTTGAGAAGAGGGGAAGGCCATGAATTTGAATTATCTACGGGAAGATTCGGCAGTTGCCAAATTGTCTCCTCTTCCAGTCTCCTCATCCCAAAATCACCCATCCAATCACCTGAGCAAAAAAGGAACCATGAAAAATCACTATCCCATTTGCCTTCCATCAGGAGGGAGCCCCTGGCATTTCATTTCATAAATGCATTGTAAGATAAGTTATATTCATTTCTTAAAGCAATTTGTGTTCAGGTGGTATATTTCTGGTAATTGCCAATTTATCAGAGAAGTAATTGGATTATTATCAGGTTTCCTTTTCCTTTGCACAACTTCATCTTGAACCTTATCAGGACAAGAGTACCTTGGATGTAAAGAATGGCAAAGTTGTACATATCCATATGCTCTCACGTGCAATATTTGTAAGAAGAATGTTGTTCCACTTGTGCTTTGTATAATTTTTAATCAGATTAAATTGAATTCAAACTCAGTTTCTTTGGTTACTGCTTCCATCTTTTTCGTCCGGTGGCTGTTGAATGAAAAAAACCCATCACAAAACCATCTAGAGATCATAAATAAGACTTTTAAAAATGGTGGCATGTTAACTGTCAGTACAATCTATTTCTTAAATTTCTACAGTGCCTCCCTTTGTCAAGCTGGTAATAATGGTTACATGGTGTTTTAACATTGGATGAAATTGAATGAAATTAAAACATACATATATGAAACTACAGTCATGCTCTGGAACTTTGCCCAATTTTGATCCCAAACTTATCTCAGGATAATTTTCTACTCTACTCTATTCTACTCTAGCAAATCTTGCAAAATAACGACAGTCATGTTTAACTAAATTGAGTGGTTTATGAAATGAGTTTGTTAGAAATAACTATGGACAACTTACTAGTTTTTTTTAAAAGCTTCTTTAATTCCAGGAATTACAAAAATTTCAAAATCATGTAACCTTCATCCTTAAAACAGATCAATTACCAGATTCAACTGGAAATCAGGCCTTTTGCTAGCAGCATTTGAGTATTTTTAAAACTCTTTTTAATCAATTCGTTCTCTATATTTCCCATCAGCATTTAAAATACACTTAACCTAACTTGGCTGTTTCAGTGTTTCAAATCCATTTCCTACTGAAATACTTTAAGAAAGAAAGCATAATTTACTTTTCTTAATTTTTGAAATAAATCCTAATATCCCGCTTGACTTTTTTCTCTCCCTTTGAATTCCTCCCTAAATGCAAACAGTCTTGGATTAATTTGTTTAGTTAGCCCTTTCCCTGGGCAGTTCAGGAAGATGTCACAGAGTTCCAGGGCAGGGCTTTTCAACCAATGGAAGGGGTACCACCTGTGGTACATTGGCACCTGGCAGGTGGTACATGATCATCCTAGAAAAGTAGTGGGGGAGAGGAATGAGCTGAACCGGTGGCAGCACCGCACAAGCCTGAGCGAGAGATGGCTGGAGCTGCAGGGCTGTCAGGGCTCAGCGGAAGCGCCAGGAACAGGGCTTCTTTGGGACTGTCAGGCTCAGTGGAAGTGCCAGGCTCCAGCTGGAGCTTAGCGCTGATCCTGGTGTTTCTGCTCAGCCCGGAAGAAGCACCGATCAGCTGGAATGTTGCAGCATCTCCAGGGCCTTGTGATTTACATTAAGATGCTTGGCAACTGATTCATATTTATGACGGTCACAGTGTCCCAGGATCATGTGAAGTGACCAAAACCTGCTGCAACCATCCAGCAGACGGGGGGGGGGGGATAAAAACCAAACACCACTCCACCCCACCCCCGCTGCCAATCTTTAACAGAAATGCTTACAACAATGAAAACCTCGGACAGGAGGAAGAGTGCCACTGGGTGGGCAGGCAGGTGTCTTGCTTGGCTGTGCCTTTTTTCAGGGCCATTGTAACTTCAAACAGTCACTACGCAAACTGTTGTAAGTCGAGGACTACCTGTACTTTATCACTTGCTCTTTTCTTTTTCACTACCCATAATCCTTGCCATCCCTTACTGAAAGAGAGGTATTCTGTACAATGATCATAGAAAGATACAATCCCACTATTCATCAGAATTCCTTGGCTTCAGCAGTTGCAGAGACATGCAACAAAGCATGCTGTCAAATCAGAACAATTCATGGTGGATTACAAGCAAATTGAAACAAACTGACAAAATACAGAGATAAAATGATCCAATAAATTAAAACATCAATGAGGTGTCAGGCTCCACTTTAAAGGCCATATGAAAAAGTTTCATTTTTGACTTTTGCGAAATAACGTCAAGGTAGAATCTGCAAACCAGATTCTAAGAGATTCTAAGAGATATTGTTCCACAGGATGGCAACTACTATTGTGCTTCTGATGTTCAATGTTGCTGCTGATTACACTATCAAAATTGATTATATTCAACACTTTAGCAGGAATTGTGGAGAAGGGGTAGATTTTGAACTTGGAAAGTTGTTCCAGAATTTAAAGGTAATAGTCTCTGCCTTTTTTTTAAAAAAAAGAAAAAGCTAATTTGACCCAGTAGAACATAGATCATAGAATAACAGGATTGGAAGAGACCTTGGAGTCCAAACCCCAGCTGAGGCAGGAGACCCTATATACCAGTGATGGCGAACCTTTTAGAGACTGAGTGCCCAAAAACTGGCCCTGCCCCTGCTCCACTCTCCCTGCCCGCCCCCGCTCTGCCCAACGGACCAATCACTGCCTCCAGGGTCCACCGCAGATCGCCCAGGCAGCCCAGCAGCGCTATGGCGGCCATACCCTCTGCCCACGCCCTGCAGCATCAACTGCATGATGGGGTGTGAGGGAAGAGTCTTGTCTACGCTGCCTGGCTGCCATGCCCTTGGCTGCGCTGCTCCATGTGGGCCACGCTCGAGGGCGAGTCTCCTTCAGGGGGGCTGCTGGAGAGGGGGTCGTGGGGGGAGGCAAGGCTGGGGCAATGGCACATGTGCCCACAGAGAGGGCTCGGAGTGCTGCCTCGCATCCGTGCCATAGGTTTGCCACCACTGCTATATACCATTTTGGACAAATGGCTGTTCAATCTCTTCTTTAAAAACCTCCACTGATGGAGCATCCAATTTCTAGATGTAAGCCATTCCACTTGTTCCCACGGACAGGAAATTTCAGTATATTAAATGTTTTCTAATCTAATAAAATGCAAGTTTTTGGGTTTTTTTTTTTGAAATAAATTTTATTATTTTTTTAATTTTTGAAACAAAGTGTTCAAGGCACACCATGGTGTTAGGGTAGACAAACATCCAAAAACAAAAACAAAACATATATATATAATTCAATCAATACCTCTAGTATTCCCTCTCTTTTTCCCTTAGATAACATGATTTATTTAAAATAGTCCAATTCTAGCTTAAATTTATTCAACCTATACCTGTTTTTAAAGCTTTAGATGAGATTTACACTACCATAATCAAATTAACTTTAAGTACAAACATTATCAATTCGGGTATCCCTTCCAAAAACATTCTAGTTTCTTGGTTTTATCATACATCTTTTTTAATTCTTCTTCCACTAATATCCCTTAATTAAAATAAAATATTAATCTATTCTATATGTATCTAGTCTATCAATTAATCAGTCTCTTTAAGCTGACAAAGAAGTCATTTCGATCCATTAAACAGAATTCAAATTACATCCAATTAATTATCATAACTAATAACATCCATGTTATCAAACAAACAAATCATCTTATTAGATTAACTCAACATTACATAATAGTTTTCTTACAAGTAAAAAAGAAAAAAGAACACACTCTTAATCAATTTAATATATATTTCATTAATCACCCCTTTTTCTCTTACTTCTAACTCACAATCTTAATCCAAAAATCAACTCATAATTCTAAATTACCTTTAATCCATTACCTAAAAATATCTCCTTTTTAAGCTAAAACGGTGGGTTTTCAAGCTTAACTGTTCTTTGACTTGCAGTTTCTACCGGCTAAGTGATCGGCCATTTTAGTGGCCGATCTTCTCCGACGGCCCTCAGAGTCTGGCCCGGACAGCTGGAGGAGCCGCCGCTCCTCCACAGCCGAGCGAAACCTCTTCGACGCTTTAGACCCGCATAAGCGTCCACCGGCAGAGGGAGGGTAGCCGACAAGGAGCCGAGTCTCTTCGTGCAACTAGGAGCGCCGCAACCCGGAACCGGAAGCCAATTTTTTTTTTTAATTTGATAGGAGTCTTGGTTAGCAGTCTTCCAACTTAAAGTAGAATTAAAAAAAACCTTCCAAATTTCGAGTGTGTATACTATTGGTCCTCCTTTACTAAGCAGGTATCTCACCTTTAGACTCTTAAACAGTATCAGGTAATTATTTCCCTTCCCAGTTTTTCAGGAACTGTAATAACATTATTGGAAGATCAGAAGTGAAAATGAAAGTTTCCAGGACAAAGATCATTGGCCAGCCACGCAGGTTAAAAAAAAAAAAAAAAAGACTTCGTTGTTCAGGCAAAGGATCTAAAGAGCTGTGCAGGGTCGATTCTGGTTACTCTTTAGTAAAACGATAGTCCAGATTGAGAAATCAAAAAGAAAAAAGGGCAATGGCGAGTCATTTCGATCTCCGGCTAAGAAAAGTGCCTGGATGTGTCTACGTAAACTGCCAGGAGACAAGCTCCGTTCGAAGGCGACTTTATCTTTTATTTCGTCTTTGGGCATGTCTCAGCTCTGTTCCTGGGCCGGCAGGTAAGGAAGCAAAAACTAAGCGCTAAATCCTGCTGTATATCGAAGGTGTGGGCAGGCGGGTGGCAGGGGCGAGGATCATGGCACTGTTTGAGTGGCGGCAAATGCAATAGAAGTTGTCGAGCGGGAAAAATGTTGAGACTTGGCTGGGGGGGGGGGGAGGCGGCTCTTTGAGGAGAAACGGGGCCGACCGCACAAGGCAAGCGGACACAACTTTAAGAAGTCAGAGGTGGATCTCTGGCGCGGAGCTACCTGCCCTCGCTCCTTCAAGGAGCGCCGGCGCATTCTGCAAAATGCATCTCCCAGAGCAAAGGTGAATTCTTTAACTTATTCCTCACAGGAAACGAGCCCTCTTATTCGTTAAACTCCGTGCTCTGGATCTGTGTATGAATTTCAAACGAGCTCAACGCAAGAGTAATAGCTTCGTGCTATTCAGCTGTTATTTATATTAACTCCTTGTTTAAAGTAACGGAATCCTGGTCTACTGAGAACTCCCAACCATAAACCACGAAGTACAACCTGAGTGGTTATGCTTATCTAAATCTAATTCAATATGTTCATTATTTAATCAAGCTCAGCCTCAGAATACAGGTGTGTTACCTTGACCTTTCCTTTAGTGTTGACAAAAACACATATGCTACTTGTTCATCATAGTGAAATTAATTTACAGGTGTACTTTTTACAAGAGACACTATAGGGGGTGATGGTAGTTAAATAAGTATTGTAAGGAGATTTAAAGACTGTAAATGTTATAAACTGCTGATTGGTTTAAGTTTAGTAAATTGCTCTATCTTGCCCTCTCATTTCTGCACAGGGGCTGGGTTCATACATTCTATTAAGCCAGAACTGGGTGCTCCGGATTAGAGTTTTCTGTGTCATTATTGTCATACTGCATTGATGCCAATTGACTCCTTATTGAAATATTCTGGCTGGACCATGATTGAACTGTAATTAGCTAATGAAAAACAAAACTATCCATTGTAGTAATATTGAATTTGCTTGTAATTATGCAGTCACAATTGTGCCATCTGGATTGTGTAACTTCTTGTCAAATTCTGCCTTATTCCAAAAGTAGTCAATATTCCACTTAATCTTTATGATCTCTTATTGCTCTCCGTCTTTTGCCATTCAACCATTGCAATATCCTTATAAAATGTGAGAATTGGGAGGGGAGGAAAAGGGGGGAGAAGAAGATACAATTGATTATAATCTGTAATCCATTTGTTTTCATTTTTTGTGAAGAAGCCTTGAAAGTAAGCATGCCACCTGGGAAGACGGCAACCTTGGGTAAAAATGTGACACTTCGTGTAAGATCTCTGATTACCCTCCTCCAGAACTGGATATCAAAAAAACAATTTTCATCTGGTATTTGGAAACATCTGAAGGGAATAAAATAGAAGAACTTTGTTCAGTTATTGCTGGAGAACATTCTTCAAATAGACCTGGTTCAAGACTGGATACAATTCAGTTAAAAAATGGAAATGCCGCCCTTTTCCTTCCACAAATACAGCTGAATGAAGAGGGCAAATATACTTGTGTTGTGATTGTTGCTTCTCTTAGAGCTGAAGGAGCCACGATTTTAGATCTAGTTGGTAAGTGACATTTGTGGTATACCTTTCCAGAGAGCGACTGTGGGTTTTTTGGGGAGGGAATTCTTAAACTGTATTAAGGTTTATTTGAATGCCAGTTGCACAAGATTATATTCCAAATCTCTTCCTCTTACGAAGAAGGCCCCCTCAATCTAGATCCTTGTAAGAAAGGGGAATCCTGGAAAGAGGGAAATAGGGGAAAAAAAAGAAAGTCCCTCCCCATTTCTTCATTTTATAGTGTCTCAAGGATCCCTGTAGTGTAATGGTTAAGGCAGTGTTTCCCAAACTTGACAATTTTAAGGCATGTGGACTTCAACTCCCAGAATTCCACAGCCAGCATTGCTGGCTGTGGAATTCTGGGAGTTGAAGTCCACATGCCTTAAAATTGTCAAGTTTGGGAAACACTGGGTTAAGGCATCAGGCTAGAAACTGGGAGACTGACTTCTCTTCCTGATTTAGGCACAAAGCCAGCTGGGCCAGTGACTCTCAGCCCTAGGAAGGAGGCAAGGGCAAACCACTTCTGAAATCTTACCAAGAAAACCATAGGGTCTTCCCCAGGCAATCACCAATATTCAACACTGTCCATTCTTGTTCACTTTCCTCATTCTGTTTTACCACAACATAAAAATGTTTTGGTAACCTTTGTTATTATTAGGGCAACTAATTAGTTGCATTCAGATAGTGCCTACATTGAATTAAACAACTATGTTTTCTATGTCATACTGCCATGATGTTGCACTTCAGCCAAAGAATGAGACACGCGTAGATTGTTCTTAGCCTTACTGGTGTTTAAAAAACAAATTCTTCTTAGGCTGAAAGTTGTAAGGGATGTAAAATCAATAAGGCTTTGCTACCCGCTATCTTGGAGGCGAGGTTGGCTGATCAGCAAGAATCAAAGAGATATTTATTAGCTATTTAAAGGTCATCCAGGCATCCTCGTTGGCCCCTGGATGGTCTTGTCTGTCACTGTTCTGCTGTTATCTACCTAAAGAATTAGATATAATGGCACATAAAACATAACACAAAAATTAAAAACATTTGGTGGGGTTTGAATAGTGTAACAATGAAATGGCAAAACAGGTTGACACTAACGAACAACATCTCCTGAACAAAACCTGGAGGAATCTGGAAATTAACATGTTAAAAAGAGAGAGAGAAAGAGAGCGAGGGAGAGATTCTGTATGAAAATGTTGCTTGTGATTCTGCTTCTGTGTGATTCTGATTTTTTAATTTTTAAGTTAAACTTGGATAGGACAGAATGGGCTACAGCAGGGGTGTCAAACTCAACTTCATTGAGGGCCGCATCAGCATTGCGGTTCCCCTTGGGGCGGATGGGTGTGGCCTGCTGGGTGGGTGTGCACGGAGTGGGTGTGGTCTACTGAGTGGGCGTGGCCAGCTCTACATCATTTGTGTCAAGGGGACCTTTGGGGGCCTGGGCAGGAGTGGGACAGATCTGAGGGTCTCTGGCAGAAAGGGGTGGGACCAGGGCAGAGCCCATCAAGCCGGATATGTGAAGTAGACGAGGGCCATTTGCTGGCCACTTCCAGGCGATGGTGCATTTCTTCATTCCTCACAAAGGGTGACACCTCCCCAGCATGCACCCAGGGGGTGGGGCCATCGCGGCAGTGGCTGGTTCCTCGCTGTTTCCAGACGGCCTTGTGGAGCTAAGACTGAATGCATTTCAGCATAGATGGCCACCACAAAATTGTACATTGGCTCCCGGCCGGCCAGGGCCAAGGCAGCAGGGATCATTCCCTCACTGTTTCCAGGATGGCTTTGTGGGCCACATGAAACCACTTCGCGGGCCGCATCCGGCCCCCGGGCCTTGTGTTTGACATGTCTGGGCTACAGGATGGAGCCTGGAGATGTTGAAGAATCCTACAGCCATTCCTTCTGCTCTACTTTCATGTGTGGTTGTTTGTCAACTGTATAAATTAGACCAGATACTTTGAGGCCCAAAGCTACTTTTATTAAAAGCATCTTACTGATTCTGAATTGCTTTCTTTCCTCCATCTTTGATCTTCATATAAATTAACTTCCTGACAGTTAGAACAATTAACCAATGGAACAACCTGCCTTCAGAAGCGGTGAATGCTCCAACACTGGAAGTTTTTAAGAAGAGACTGGACAGCCATTTGTCCGAAATGGTGTAGGGTTTCCTGCCTGAGCAGGGGGTTGGACTCGATGATCTCCAAGGTCCCTTCTAACATTATTATTATTATTATTATTATTATTATTATTATTATTAGGGAGAGGAGGTTGTTTGAGGCCTTTTCACAAACCATTTTCTTGCCTTGGGGTTCAAGCTTCATTTATCTAGATGTGGCTCTTCGTTCTATCCTTCAAGGCCATCCTCCATACACATTACAATCTTTTCTAGCTAGTTGGTACTTTTTAAAAATCACCTTCTATTTCAACAGTCTTTCCCCAAAATACCCATGTATCCATTATGCTGTTCCCTTTTGGCGATAAGTAACACTGGGCAAAGTATAGAAGTACAAAGTACAGAAAAGAAATTACTATAAATGCATGAAAATAAAAAAAATGGCTAAAACTAATTTATACCATTCACTATACCTCTCCATATTTTTCTATCCCTTGTTTCCATCATGTGCCTACACTGACTCATACTTTCTCTTCCCTTCCTCTTTCTTTCTTTCATTCATTCATTCATTCATTTGAAAACCTGTAATGTCTTTTCCCTTTAGTTGTTATTTGAATGGGATGTTAATACAAATATTGTTTGAGAGGCTGAAAGGCAAAATAAAATACAAGATATATAGAAAAATCAATAACCAATCTCATTTTTATTTAATTACAATATAGCTGAACCAACTGTCCAACTGTCTCCCAAGGAACTTGAAATTGAAGAAGGAAATGTAAAGACATTGACATGTACAGTGAATAAATTCTATCCTCATTCAATTTTCATTCTTTGGGAAAAGCATTCTAAGAACACGTCGGATAAAGGTGTACTTACAGAGGATATTTGCATGGGAACTTCTGTGAGAAATGGTGATGGCACTTACAACACCACCAGCAAACTGAGTCTTCAACCATCTTCACAAGATCAAGGAAACGTCTATAGTTGTACTGTGAAGCATATGTCATTTTCCAGATATCCAGTCTACAATGTAACTTTAACAGTAACAGGTACTTGCTTTGAAAATTTAACAACTCTCTTGCTTAGCAACAGAAATGTTGGGCTCAGTTGTGGTTGTAAGTTGAGGACTCTCTATACTTTTAAAGTATTATATTAAATAAATGATCCTCCTGATTTCTCAGCAAGGTTGACCTCGGTGATGCACAATTTTTACCTATAATTCTACAGTCTGAGATAGAATCATATGCCCACCAAAAATAATTGTGAAGATGTCTACAATGTTTTAGCTAAAAAGAAAGTGTTTATGAAAAAGCGAGATAGCTAATAGAAGAGAAATAGAAAGGTAGAGTCATGTGCATTGGGACTGTAAGGCCCAGAATTCCAAGCTAGTATGGCAATATTTCTACATGACCACAATTGTTTCATGTTGATAAGACATTCCACAAAATAAAACTTCAGGCAAAGAGCATCAATAGACAATAAAATGGCATCTGTGATTCAGAGTAATGAAATATTTATTATTTAGTGCATTATTGGGGACAACCTCCCCCGATATATTATATGCACTGATGACTGGTTAGAATCGATCCACATCTCATAAATTCTAGATATATTTTAAGATCCTGCTTTTAAAATCTAATGAAATGTGAGATTGGATTATGCCCCAAACTCAACTAGGTTGTGCTATTAGATGGTGCAGTAATTTCTTCTTGTTGCTGAGTGTTTTGCTTATGACAGAATGCCCTACATCAGAATTGTTTGTTTCTTATTATGTAATTACATGTAAATGCTTATTTATTAAAAGCACCAAGAGCAATAAACAACATTTTGAGTGCATCAGAAGCAACATAATTTCTTTTCTTATTGTCTTTCTACAGAACCTAAGTCGATCACTTACTTAAAAATTATGATGGTTTTATGTTTTCTGTTTCTAATTCTATGTGTGTGCCATCTATACATTGTCTTTTTAAAGAAACGTAAGTCATTCTAAATATGTATTATCAGTACCATCATTTGTCTATTTATAAGATTTCAGCCAAAATGTGTATTTGTGTAAGTTAATTTTAAAGTATCATTGTTAGAAAGCTCTCAGAAAACAGCCAGGCAGAGGCAAAGACCAACAGGGGAAAATGGAAAACAGATTAAATATAAGCATTACATTGTACCTATCAAATCATAGATAGTCTTCATTTAGCGATCACAATTGGATCTGGTAACTTGTCCATTAAATGAAGCAGTCGCTATGTAAAATGATGCTTATGATCTTACTTCATCTTCCTTTTGCTTTTCAGACCAGTGAAGGTCATATATGTAAGAATTGGTTTCTTTTCACCATTGTAACTGAATGATCACTAAAAAGGACTATCACTAAATGAGGATTACCTATATAATCTTTTTAGACATCATTTTCCAGAACAGCATTAAACTATAGTCCAAAGGAAACCCAGTTATCAGCTGGAACAAACTGTAGTACCTGTGCAGAACACAAGTACAAAATCAGAGCACATTTTGGCAGATGAGTAAATTTGTTGATCTGGCCATCTGTGTGAAATCACCTCCTCTCTACTCGCTCTGTCCCATGTTAAAGAGAATGATGGCTGGATGCATGTCTCTCCTTAATGGGAGTGAAAATAAACCCAAGGAATACAACAATCATTTTTCTGAACTTCTCTCCCCATAAATGTTTATCAGTCTTTTGCCTCATTCCTAAGTCAGAATAGGGTTTGATTATTGGAACAGAGCAGACTATGCCTACATGCTTTTTTTTTTGCCAAGTCAAGAAACGCACAATAACACAGCAGTGAAATGCATTAAGTAGAAATACATATAGAAGTAGAATAATGCTTTGTAAAATGTGGAAAGAATGATCCTAAAATATTGCTGCAATCTTTTTCAAGCAACAAGGTTTCCATTTTCCATAATTTTTTATAGGTCCACCATCCATGAAAATGGTGGGTAGTAAAGAACTGAAGCATCTGGAAGAAACGTCGTTACAGTGCTTGATTTCACACTTTCGACCAAAGCCTTTGCATGCAGACCTCTTCTTAGTAACTGAACCCCAGAATACAAAACAGAAAATAGCCTCTTGGCATACAACATCAGTTGAAGAACCTATGGAAGATGATGAAAATGTCCTCCTCCTCAGGAACTTGGAGGACATGTTTAAAGTTTATCCCGAGTTGAAATCAAAACCAGGAAACTATTTTGACTTCCAGTGGAAAATCTGCATAAATCCAGATATACAGAAGCTGAAGAAATTCGAACTTTTATTGGAAGTTAAACATAAGGGCTTTCAGCATGGATTGGGCACTGAAAGGAAATCATTTAAAGTCAAGGGTAAGTGAGGATTATGGCAGAGTAATAAATAGATGCTGAAACTTCAAAAATATTTTATGGTTTATAAGAGAACTGCTAAGTTTCAAAATGTATGAGAATAGAGGAGGCTTAGCTAATTTTGGTCCAGCCATGGTCCCAGCAGATATCTTACACTACAGTCCATGCACTGAATATGAATTGTGATAGGATATTGTTTGTCTTGGCACAGATGGGCTGGAAAGAGCATTACTTGTATCTCAGTATTTATGACTATGTGTTGCATCTGATATCCATGAACACTTTTAAAATTCTTCAAAGTATCTTACCTCTCAAAGGGAAGCAAGGTGCATCTTGGTTAGTACTTGAATTCAGGACCACTTAATATTCCAGAACAAAGCAGTGGCAAGCCATTTAAGCAATGCTGCAAAATAAATGTCATTTCCTCCCTTAGAACGTATTTTTCAGATTTGTAAAGAAGATGCTCCTCCATGCCACACTCTTTATAGATGTAAAATTTTGCCCATGCTAAATTTCACCAGCTAAGATGCAGCTGAATCCATATCTGTTCATTTCCCTAGCTAAAATTTGACTTCATTCGAAAGCATTTTTGATGACAGACATGGAGCTGTTTTCATCTGTAGGGTTTTCCCCATCATGGATTATTTTTAACGGATTATGTTAAAAATACAACAAATAAAACAAATTTACATTATCTAGCTAAAACAGAACTTTCCAGTGGAAACAACACTCTGGATATTTAGCATGGATAGTCCCAGAGGAAGGCCTTGGGTTCTTCCAGCTTTAACTCTTCTATGTATATAATGGCAGCCAAACACAAATGGAAACTGGGACATAAGTGACCCTTCTTCTATTCCGCACCATAAAGAAACAATTTGGTAGCCAGGGATGATGTATCCAACAAGACATTTTTGACCTTTCAACTGACAGATACTGAGGGCACCAAAGACCCCTCATTTCAACCCTCAGCTACAAATATTCTCCTTCATTGATACTGATTTTTCGACAGCCAAGGTTCCTTAGCAGTTGAGTTTGGCTTGGTCCTCCCTAGCTTTGTGTAAATAAACAGCTACTGAATGGTGGGCAAGGAAAAATGGTAAGAAACATCACCAAAGCTTTGGAAGAATCATTCAGGGGCCTTGAAGGCTCTTCACTGTTATCTGGGCCTATCTCTTTGCACATCACATTTTGCCGCTTGCATTAAAACCTTTTTGGTTTTCTTCTAGCCTTACCAATGCTTCATGAAGTTCATTGTTCCACAAATGTGCCAAGATCAAATGAACCACTCATTCTTAGTTGCAAAATTCATTCTTATTTTCCGGGCACCCTTGAAGTCTGTTGGAGTAACGATGATGGAATTCTAGACAGTTCTTTTTCAACTCCACCCACAAAAGGTGCTGATGGGCTTTACTTTTGCATCAGCGAGGTCCAGTATTGCCCCCAGGTGGCAGATTCTGGAAAGAGGTTTGTCTGCAGAGCTAAGCTTCAAGGCTCACGAGTATACAAAGAATCTACGTGGCAGATGAACACTGTGGGTAAGTGGAGCAGAAAAACTACAATTTGCACTGCATATTTTACTCTTAAGGCCTTAGGCACAAAGTAGTTCCCATAAAGTGCAGCTCCTTTTTGCAAACAAACAAAAAAGTTTCCTGTTCCTCTCATGTAATTCCATTCTTTTAACAACTTATACTTCTGAAGTTTTACTGCTGTTGTAATACTAGTCACGATCTCTTACTTTTTATCTTTCTGTTCCTTCTTTCAATTCTTCTCCTCCCACATTGCCACAAGGTATGGATTCAATTTAATTTCCTTTCTCAGAATAATATTCCATACATCGCAGAATAAGACTCCTTTGTACAGAATGAGTATAATAAATACATCTATTGATATTTAGGTCATAAAATCCCTTCCTTCCTTCCTGCCTCCCTGCCTTCCTTCCTTCCTTCCTTCCTTCCTTCCTTCCTTCCTTCCTTCCTTCCTTCCTTCCTTCCTTCCTTCCTTCCTTCCTTCCTTCCTTCCCTCCCTCCCTCCCTCCCTCCCTCCCTCCCATATAATTAGACAGATGTTAGATTTCTGAAAGCCATAAAAATCCATGGTAGAATTCTGAAACGTCACAAGGACCAACCTGGTCATACAAGGAGGAGACAGACTGTATGTGCTCTCAGGCCAGGATTTGACTTTGATCTCTGAAATCAACACAATTCTTTCATGCAAAATTCTTTTGGTGAGTAGGTTACTTTTTGATGGCTTATGGTTTAGCTTCGTGTAATACTTGCCACTGCCAAATAGCTAGAAAATGGGCAAATATATGCTAAAAGCTTTAGTTGCATCTATGTGCAGATGTGCAGATTACAGGATCTCGTTTCTTTAGTGCGTAAATGTGCCTTATTACATGAACAACCGAAAATCTAATTCCTCACCAAATTAGAAATCTTCATCTGATATTATTTTATCATTGAGCCCATTTTCTATTTCATTTTTCACCAGATTTGTGATTTATATCCATTTGGCACTTTATTGTGTTTGGATGATGACTTTGGCACTTAGTTGTGTAAGCTAAACAGCCATATGGGAAGAGAACTTTGTGTTTTGACTTCACAAGCTGTGAAGTTCTGTACTGAATACTAACTCTGATATTTGCTGTTGTATTTTATTTATAGTACTTGCCCCCAAAGTTTACAAAATTGAATGTAAGCCTCCTATACCCGAGTGTGGGAAACCCATCACATTGAGTTGCTTATTGACAAAATACCATCCACCCGAGTGTGACATTTATTGGAGAAAAGGCTTTGAAGAGCTCACGGATGCTACAGTTAAAACAGAGGAGCCCCAGTTGGACCGAACGTCAAAGCTGTACTCTAGGACAAGTGAAATAACCTTTATACCCAGCGCAGAAGACCATGAAGTAGACTTCTTTATTGAAATAAATCACTGTAACAAAATTTTACAGGAGAGACATACAATCATGTTGCAAGGTGATTGTTATTATAGCTCTAATTTATCCAGCCTCAGTCTGTTGCCTTCCAGATTTTGGGGATTGATTCATTCTCATTCATTCTCTCTCTCTCTCTCTCTCTCTCTCCTTCCCTCCCTCCCTCCCTCCCTCCCTCTCTTTTCTATGTTCCTTGGAGGTACTGATTATCTGTGTTGAATCTATATATGGGAGGGAACATCAAGAGTGAATATACTTGCTCTAGCCTCCCCCCCTCCCCAGTTAAACTATTCTATTGAAGGATGTTAAGGAAATACACAGGTGGTCCTCAACTTACAACCACCATTGAGCCCACAATTTGTGTTGCTAATGGATATATTTCTTAAGTGAGTTTTGCCCCATTTTATGACTTTACTTTGCCACAGTTGATAAGTGAATCACTGCAGTCAATTAGTAACCCAGTTGTTAACTGAATCTGGCTTCCCCATTGACTTTGCTTGTCAGAAGGTCCCAAAAGGTGATCATATGACCTGGGGCACTGCAACAGTCATAAATATGAGTCAGTTGCCAAGCATCTGTATTTTGATCATGTGACCACAAAGATGCTGCAACGGTCATAAGTGTAAAAAACGATCATAAGTCACTTTTTTCCGTGCCATTGGAACTTTGAACGGTCACTAAATGAACTGTTGTATGTAAACTGAGGACTACCTGCTCGACTTACAGCTGTTGGTTTAGTGACCATTCAAAGTTACAAAGTCACAGAAAAGAAGTGACTTATGACTGTTTTTCACACTTAATGACTGTTGCAGCCTCCCCGTGGTCACGTGATAAAAATTTGGGCATTTGGCAACTGACTCATATTTAAGACTGTTGCACTGTCCCGGGGGTCCCATTTGTAACCTTCAAAGCTCTTCTAGAAAATTCTTACCTCTATGTTCTGTGTGCATATTTTCTCTCTGAGTAGATGAGGACCAGTGTCACTAGCATAAGTCTAAGGAGGTCACTCCAGGTGATAAGATTTCTAAGGTTCCCACTATTATCTGCATCTTGGAAATGCATAAAGGTGTAAATACTTCTCTTATTTAAAGTACACCTCGTAAAGGTGTTTGACAGGGTTATAGTGTGGCTCAAATGCTTCTTAATTTCTGTGTCAATAATATTCCAGGATTCCTGTATTCTTCAGACACTCATATGCCAAAGAACCATGATAAACTTATTAATATTCTCTAATGTGCTGAAGATGTGATTCTAATGATGCGTTCTCAAATAGGCTTGAGACACTGTTGTGAAGCTAAATAACTATTATGTTCTCAATTCTGTAAACATCAATATAACAACAACAACAAAAAGTGTGACATATAACTGGCAGCTGAATGGGGAGCCTATTGAACATGCACATTCTTTCACCTATTTGGAAATGACCTTTACCAGCATAGGAAGCTTGGTGAGGATTGTAGCAAGTACCAAAAATTAATACAAATTATTTAATTATAATTACTCAGGGACCTGGACTCCTTTATTGAAAGCATTCAGGGCAAAATAATCCCAATGTTGACCTGTGGCATGGAACTGTGAGGCCACTTCACTTGAACAGGCTTAGAGGTGTTTTTTAAGAAGCATATTGGAAACTGATAAGAATATGTCAGCCCCCATGGCCTAAGCAGAGACAAGTATCCACTGAGTACACAGCCACTTAACAAAGTATTTACCTTTTGCCAGAAGATCCATTCAATGGACACTGATAGGCTATCCAAAATATGTTTGCCCACCTCCTGGGCAAGCCAATTTACTAAAGTCATTTTACAGTGTGGGTTTTTCTCCCAATATTTACTTACAACTGTCTGCCAGGGAAAGGAATTTTTAGAACAGAGTCCTAGTTATTACTGCCCAATCTCTATGCTGATGATAGATGATAGATAGATGTTAGATAGATATATAGGTAGGTAGGTAGGTAGGTAGGTAGGTAGGTAGATAGATAGATGAGAGAGATAGAGATGAATGATAGATAGATAGATAGATAGATAGATAGATGAATAGATAAATTTTATAGTATTGTAACATACATTTACTTCTAAGTTCACATCAGTATATAATAACATGCCATGGATTAATGTGTGGAAACAAACCAAAATAATGAAAAGCACTGATATCTCACTGTATGGCCAACATATGTATACAAAAGGCAGGGAAACAGAAATAATTGTTATTTGCCTAATCAGTTGAGAGCTGATTTCCTGTATGAATATTGTTCTATGTGAACCTGTTCTGTTAATCTACTGTAACAGCACAAGTTCTCATTGAACAATGATTCTTTCTTTGTTGTTGTAACAATATAATGTTAAAAATATTCTTATTTCAGTTGATGCTCTGTATATTAGGGTATTCTTTGCATTTAACAGTCTAATGTTGATTTCTCTATCACATTTATAGATTTTCCCAAACTTTCAAATATTGTTATTGAACCAAGTAATGCAGATTATGGAGCAACTGTAAATTTAATTTGTGACATCACGGATTTCAATCCTAAAGAAATTTGTGCTCAATGGTTTCTGGGAGATAAATCAGTAACAAATGATGCAGTCACAGAGAATTTAGACATGGCCTCTAATGGTTGTTACAAATTAAGTTCTGTGTTGGAACTAAAAGCTACTGCTTCAGTTTGTGATAAGGCCATTTGTTTCAAGGTGAGCCATGCAAGATTGACAAAGCCTATTACAAGAGAAGTATATCTAAAACTTCCAGGTGCGTACCAAAATGTTTTTGGATTTATTCATCTTCTGATGTTAATTGGTGAAGTTGGGTTGAGTTTACCCTCTTTAGGCTTTATTAAAAGGAATGGAATTGAACACAGGTGTGGCACCGCCTCATTTCCTGTAATGTTACTTAAAAACAAATGTCCCTGCTTATAGCACTGTGGTCTGTCTTTTGTTGTGTCCTTTGTGTTGTGGATACCAAGATTTAAGCCATAGCCCAGGTATGACATCCCTGGGACAGAGGTGCTCATCATCACTCTGAGTCCATCTCACTTTCTTAACTTTTTTGACCGCACTGTGTGGACACCATTGCCTTTTTGTCATGTGTGGGAGAATATTTATAGGATAAGATCATCTTACCTACAGTAAGATGCATAGATATCCATTTCCAACCTCAATGACACCCAAATAATGAAGCGTAATACTTGAATTGCAATTGCACATCACAAAACACACACACACACATTCTCCTCATACTGCAAATGTCTATGCTATCATATGCACTGCTGTTACTGAATTTCAACCAAGTGATGGAAACATAAAGAAAACTGTAGAATACGTATATGTTTGTTTTGTTTATGCACTTTTTTGTTGGTGTAGTCTTGCTTAGCTTTATTTTGGTTTTGCATATTTTTCTCTTTTTTGAGAGTTTGCATTTTAACGTTTTCAGTAAAATAAAAATTGAGAAAAACAACAACAAAAAGGGTTGTTGTGTCCAGCTTAAACGGTCAGCCATAGAGAAGGTTGGAGACATGATTTCCATTCATTGGTTTTTGTTACAAATGGTATAGAAAGTGTTTTCACCTTGTGCTTGGTAAAAATTGTGGAGTTGGTCTTATACAGTGGTCTCATGCAATAGTTCCCTTATGCAAAGACTCCAGAGGATCAATCCTTAAAGTATTTTCTTACATTAAAAGTCGTTCTTTCATTAATCATATTAAGCCAAGGTATGGAAACATATTACAGTATTTACATTGTCTTCCCTGCTCAATATTTTTTCTTCTCATTTAGCCAAACAGCCTGTTTTGTCTGAAATAAAGGCAACCCCAGATCATCAGAATATCCTCCTTGCAATTTCTATATCACAATTTGCACCTCATGATATACAAGTCAGATGGTACCAAGGCTGGAGATAAATATCTGAAAATATCAATCCCAGGAACGTTGAGATTGGAGAAGATCACTTATGTTATTTTGTTAGTAAAATACACTTAGATCCAAAAGCACTGGTCTTTGGGAAGACAATACGATGTGAAGTTAAACATCCAACATCTACTGAGGAAAAAAGCTTAACACTGAATACAACAGGTAAGTTAGATGCATACGTAAATACTCTATTTATTGAAAGAGTATCCAGATCAGTGACTATTTTCCAACAACTGAATGGGCAATTGTTTCTCAATTGTTGTAATGGATCCAAAATTCTCACTCACTAAATAATAACAATGGAAAGAGGAAAAACTGTAGCCTAAGCAGTGTTAGCTACATAAAGGAAAGGACTATGTATTGGCCTATTAGTCACTCCACCATAAACATTATTGAGCGAAAGCGAGTATTTTGCTGAATTTGCTTATGCAGGCTGTTGGTATCTGTGACCCAGATCAGTGTTTCTTAAATTTTTGGTCTCAGCACCCTTTCCCACTTTTAAAACTTATAGAGGATCTTAAAAGAGCTTTTGTTTGTATCGATTATTTTTATCAATATTTATTCTACTGAAAATTAAAATTGATTCATTCAGTGCCACTAATGTTTCTCACAAATGTTTGATGGGATTTTTATATTGTATTATTTTTCAACATAGGCTGGCAAATGATTTTGAATTGTCGGACTTCTGAGGGGGTCTCGGGGGACCGCTAGGGTCCTTGAGCCACCTTTTGATAGATACTGACCTACTGTAGATGCTAAACAGCCCACAATCAGTATATAACTACTAGTGATGGTCCTTTATTCCAAGTCAGGAGATTATGTGACTGTTCATATCACCTCTTCAGTGGCATCCAGCCGGCTTCCACATTGCTCTAGGTTTATTATGACTTAACTATCCATATCTGTCTGCACAGGGGAAAGGAAGAAAGTATATAACTATAATGGATCAAAAACTGCTTATGGCACAGGATCGCAGCATGTTATCTTTTGGAAGAACTCATAAAAATATGAGTTTGATTCTCATTTTGCTGGTGTGGTAATTGCCACCTATAATAGAAGACAGAAACTTTTAAACAGTATACCAAATGCAAAAAAATGAGCCACAAATAGGACTGACTTATTTCAACAAGCAAAACAAAACAAAACAAAACAAAATCCCCCCCAAATTCCTATATGATGGCCTTGTTATTCTGTTTGTATGAGACACACTGAAATATCCGATACAAATTTAAAATTATTAAACCAATAGACTGAGGATGATGAAAATTGTTTGATGATGAAGTTGGCTCTAGTCCACAAATATTTGTGCCATGTAAATTTCTAAAAAAAACCCCAGAAGATTCTTAGTATGGTTGCTAGAGTGATTCTCCTCGGAAGCGGTGACCTCTGCAGTGATGCTCAAACTGATCCCTCTGATGAAAACATCATCATAGTAACATGATACAATTCCTGCCCCCTTTAAATGTCCATTATGACACCACACACATGCTGAAAAGGAGGAGAGTTTGTGGCACAAAACTTCTATTATCATTTTAACAAAAACAGTCACGGTGTTTTATGGTCACCCATAATGTTTACTTATTAAGAAGAATAAAAATCCTAATAGGAAGCTTAGGCACAGCATTCTTTTCCCTTTGCAATTAAATGCTGAATGTATCTAATAGCAATTGAAATTTCTTATAAATATTACTTCCATGGTCTTACAACAGCATGGAATGCTCTTCCTGAAAGACAAGTGAGGGTGGTTGACTGACTTAACTGTATTTGAAAGTTACTTAATACTGACTCTGTGGAGTATGACAAGGACTCATTAGACAGAATATTGCAATATGACTTGAAGTATGTTCCAAAGCTTAAGTGAATTGATTTATTGTTCTTCCTCTTCCAATTCCAAGATTTTTCTGAACTTCTTGAGGAAACCCAACATCATCACCCTGAGTCATAACCATTATGAACTCATTGAAAGTAAGTGTTAAACTTTGAATGCAAATAAAATGCAGATACGTGCATAGATTAACCTAGTGGTGATAATCTCTGTCAAGTTGGGACTGAGATTTATAGTTGACAGTAACAAAAAAATATGATTCAGAAAGGAGGGAAGGGGAAGATGGTTTGTGTAGGCAGAACAAGAAAGGATCTGGTTGATTTTCCCTAGCAGATTGATGCATGGAGACCTGATTCTGGTATCACTGTCAGCACTGTTATTCTTTGCATCGGGGGCACCTGTGCTAAAGCTTACTTGTGATTTAATAATGGATGAGAGGGCTCACACAGCATGTATAATCAAGACCTGGTTTGACACATAGAATTCATCTTCTGGAAAGGTGCCACCTGGGCTTTCAATATAGCCACAGTTGCCACCCCAGAACAGAAGCAGTGGAAAGGCTATAGTTGCTGGAGAGACCCTAATAGCTTTCAGAGACCTTAGAGATCAGCTGTGTGGTTGAGCCAAGATAGGAATCTTTTAAAGTATTACTTCGTGGTGAGAAGAAGAGCAAAACATAATTATTTTCCAACTGCTATTGCAGAGTGCTGTCCAGTCACCATGGTCAGAATAATCCAACCTCCCCTGGAGAAGGAAGAACCCCTACAAAACATCTATGATAGTCTGTTGTAAAGACTATTCTAGCCATCTGTTGGATAAAAATGAACTCACTCTGAGTTAGACTTCAGCTATGCAAGTGCCTTGTGTCAACGCTGCTAACATTGGATGTTTTTGCTTTGACAACAGTTGGTGATGCAACCATTTTCTTCTTATGTTTTACTTTTAGAGTTAGAGTTAGAGTTATATGATGCTGGAGGGAGGAATGTGCATGAGAATTTAGCTTGACATAACAATACTGGACCTAGTGTGTGAACCAAGGTTATTGAAATAAGAGATGATAAGAATTGGCAGGCTGGAGAACTGGAGGGAAAGCCTGAATTTCAAACTAATTGGAGAATGTGATTTATGACTGTTAATTGGAGGAGGGAATTGTGCTTTGATACTATGTGCTCAAGGGAGGGGACTCTAGTTTTTGGCTTTGATTATGTTAGTGCTGATGCTTATGCTTCTCTAATATAGATTCTTTAAGGTAAACAATGCCTTGAAATTCTTTGAAGAGTTTCATCTGTCAGAACCATGATACCTTGGAGAGGACTGGGGCTAGTGCAGTTACGTGAGAAGAATTTGAACCTGCTGGATCTAAAGAAGTGGATAAGGTCTTCAGTGCTGCAAGTGCAACCAACTGTATCTTAGATCCATGTTTACCTGGTTAGATATTGTCTTTGAGGAGAGGATATATAATCGGACCCAAGCAACAATAAATGCTTTTATTATTTTAAAAATGATGAACGCTTTAAGGAGGAGGCAGTCCATCCCCTCCTCAGAAAAACTTTGCTGGATCCAGCAGTATTGGACAATCATTGTTTACATTCCTTTTTTAAAAATATATTTTATTGGTTTTATAATTTCAACAAAAAGTCTTTGAGACACACCGTGGTGTTTGGGTAAACAAAGATTCTAACATAAAATCATAGAATAACGGCTCAACTTAATACATTCGCTATCATCTCTCTATTTCCCTCAAATAACATAATAAATTTAATATATTTCATTTCTATCCTAAATTTCTATTACTACTAAACCTGTTTATTAAAAATTTATCAATTTCAATTACCATAATCAAATAATGTTTTACATCAACATATTACCCCTTCAAATATCTCTTGCAAATATATTCAACTTCTTAATCTCTCTCATCCCTTTTTTATCACCAATCTTATTTATTTCTTCTTCCAATAATAGCTAATTTAGTTTAAAAAAGACAATATTATCATATCTTATCAAATCGTATTATTATACACAAATATCTCTTAATTAAACATTACACATATATATAGTTATAATTTTCTTACTTCTAAATCTAGATCATTATCTCTAACCTTTCAGCCAGTATGCTTATCGTAATCATTGACTTAATTCAGTAAACAAACCAAATTCCATCCATTTAGTTACCATATCAAAACATATTATTATACACAAAAATCTCCTAATTAATTAAACATTTCAAAATTCCAGTCTAAATCAATGTATTACTCCAAGAAATGCATTTTTAGTCTCTGTAAAGCCAAGTTTCTTTTTTCATTCCACATTTAACTTTCATATTTCCATACCAAACAAACTTCCATAAAATAAAGTCATCAAACTAAATTAAACACACATGAATATAGTTGAAAAACAATCCATAGAACCAATATTGCCTTTTAATCCATTCAACAATTTTTACTAATTTAAACATGCATGTGTATAATTGCATTTTTCAGCTCTAAATCTTTATCCTTAAAACAATCCATGAAATCAACATTGTCTTTTACTCCATTAAACATTTTTGAATTTGTTTTTGAATTTAATTCTGGGCTTCTTTCTCTGCCACACCGGCTTCCATGAAGACGCTTCCCTTTCAACCAGTAAATCCATTCTCGATGCTTGTAGTAATCTTTGAGCAAATGTATGTCCCTTTCTTTGTAGTAAGCATCTTTTTTCTCTTTCAACCAATAGATCAATTCTTATTGTTTGTAATAATCTTTGAGAGAGTATAAATCTCTTCCTCTGCAGTAAACGTCTTTTTCTGTTCTCTTTGCGATGTAGTTGCTTTGTATTTTGAAGTCTTAGTCTTTGCTTCTTCTGGTTTTCTAAATTGTTGGAGAAGGGATTGTCAGATAAAATAAATTCCACTTCTATCTCTGTAAAATCCTCTTCTGGCACATTTTAATTTATGCCATAATCAGTTGTAACCTGGACATCAGTTTGGGCAAATATAGTAGAGTCTCTAGATTTTAATTCTAAAGTACAGTTTTTAAATGTAGCACAAATTTCTGCAGTAGCCTCATAAATCTTTTCCAATATAAGTGCACAATTCAATTTTATCTGAGGTTTCTCCATTTTAATAATGCTTAAAAGGAGATCTCTTTTTCTTTCTTGTAGAGGCTTTGTTTAATGTAGAACCATCCACCCCCACAGCTTCACAGGTGCAGAGCTTATCTTTAGTGTTTTAAAGTTCATAAAAAATAATAAGCAATTATAAGGAATTACTTAGATTGGTAGGGAATGATTGGCAATTAAAATCGTTAGTTGAGTTAAAGCAAGAAAATATGGTACAATCTTGGTTTCAGTATAATCAATTGTTGGTTAGGTGGAAGTTAGATCAAAGGGTTGGTATTACTTTAATGGATGAGAATTTGGTAAAACAGATTAAAGATCAAAATCGAGCGCATATAAAGAGAATTTATAATGTTTTAATAGAAATGGACTCGGAAATGGAATTAGTTAAAGATTGTATGGTAAAGTGGGCTCAAAATATTCAAGAACCGATTCTATTGGATACATGGGAGGTAATTTGGGTTAGAAATGTAAAATTTACCAAGGCACAAAATTTAAGAGAAATTTTTTATAAAATGTTTTATAGATGGCATCTGGATCCTAAAAAGTTGTCTTGTATGTATCCTAATTTACAGCCCAAATGTTAGAGATGTGGTAATTTGGAAGCCACTTATTTTCATATATGGTGGACTTGTAGAAATATAAAAGCCTTTTGGATTAAGATCTGGTAGAACATTCAACAGATTTTTAAGAGAAAGATAAAGTTTACCCCACAATTATTTTTATTGGGTGTTATTACAGATTGTGATGCTAAAGAAATTAATTTGATGTTGAATTTGATAACAGCTGCAAGGTTATTAGTAGGGCAATATTGGAAGAAGGATTGCTTGCCTACTATAGAAGAATGGACGATTAAAGTGTCAAATTTAGCAGAAATGGCTAAGATTTCTGCTTATTTGAAGGATCATTCACAAGAAAGATACATTTTGGTCTGGAGAAGATGGATAAGTTATATTCAGAATAAATATGAGACTAAAAAGTTTCGTTTAGCCTATGACTGAATTTTAGAGTATTATTATGATATTATTATTATTTTTAGTATTAGTATTGTTTAATTATTTGGGGACTGTATTGTTTAATAATTAGGATATTAATTTGTTTATGTTCTCATTATTATGTTCACTTTTAATTTGCTTATATTTATGTTAAAGGTGAGTTAAAGTGCATTATGGATTTGGTTATTTATATAGTTGGTAATGTTAGTTAGATTATGATTATCATATTTGTAACCCTGTATTCAGCTTTGGGAAGTGGGGGAGGGAGGGGGAGTTTTGGGGTGGGTTTATATTGTAATTTTTATAAAACTTTTTAATAAAAAAAATTAAGCAAAGTTGCAGTATTAAATTTTCGCCACTAGATGTCCTCAATAAGTTAAGAAAGTCCTTTCCAAAAGTCAATTCTTTTTTTTTCCCTGTCTTTTAAGGTTATATATATATGTAGAAATAGTAAATTTCTTAAAAAGGAAGTAGAGAGAAACCTTTTCCTTTTTTTTCCTTTTTAGTGTCCCAATAAAAATAGAGTATAACCTTTCAGTGTTTGTGAAATGCCTTTCTTCCCATAAAAAAGCAGAAGCCGCCTTTCCAAGCCAGGGAAATAATTTCAAAAGCTCTTTACTGGCACACAGTCGAAAAAATAAACAGAAAAGAGAGAAAAATAAAAAAAATTTCTCACCCGGATTCACCACGGGGGCACTAAAAGCTTAGACGTTGTTCTACTTACGGTCTGAAGCGGCAGGGCGATCAGCCATTTTACTGGCCGATCTTCTTCTCCGTCGGTCCTCAGAGTTTTGTCCGAACAGCTGGACCGCAGCCTCCTCAACAGAAATTGCACCCTCCAGGGTGACTTTGGACCCGTATAAGGGTCCACTGACGGAGGGAAACCTAGTCGACGAGGAGAGAAGTCTCACCGTGCGACTAGTGACGCCGCGAACCGGAACCGGAAGCCAGTTTACATTCCTTTTACTCTTAACCCCAGTTGGATGGGGTATGGGGTTGGGCAGCTATCCGCGCATTTACGGTAAAAATGGAAGCTAAAATAAAACATAACTCACCCATTCTTTATGCCCTCTACATTATTTTATTAGAATATAAACATAATGTTATTACTTTTGTATTCTAGTAAAACTGGAGTCATTTTGTTGAAGTAGTTCCTTTTAAGTTTTTTTTAAATTTTAAATTGACTTTTTTTTTGTATATATGTAGCTTTTTTCAAACCATCTGGAAAGAGATGAATACATTTTGTTAACAGAATGCTATCATTTTTAAAAACTCAGAAAAAATAGAAAAATAAATATACTTTAAATAAAAAATTAAAACATTAAATGTAATAAATTTATAAAAAATATTACTACTTTTGTCCTCCATGATTATTTTAATGCATGGTTTTATACTTGTTTTAACTACAGTTTATTTAATTACAATTGTAAACTCCTGTAATGCAGTCCAAGATTTTAAATGGGAAATAGCAATCAAATATTTAAATCAATAAAAATAGTTCTATAATTATGTCTTTGGCAAATCTAAGATGTCCCTCTCATTATAAAATTGAATTTATTATAAAAGTTAAGGAAAATGTGTTAAAATTCATCTTACAGACAAATGATTAGAGGATTAGACTTCTCTAATTTACTTATCTACCCCTTCCTTATCACACCTCTGGATATACTTATTTCATTTAGTAACATATATCTTAACCAGTGACATATTAATAGTAGCATATAATTTAAGATATAATAATAATCAAAAGAAAAGTTTATTTTAAAACAGTTAAACTATTGTAATAGCCCCATACTGTTTTTATTAGAAGTTATTTCAAAGGAAGAGCATGAAATAATGACACATCCCCATTAAACCCAGCAGGTTCTCTTTATTCTCTATGATTCCCATATTTCAGGGACACCCCACAAAAAAAAATCCTGAAGAAGGAATTTAAGTAGAATTTAAGGAAGGAAGGAAGGAAGGAAGGAAGGAAGGAAGGAAGGAAGGAAGGAAGGAAGGAAGGAAGGAAGGAGCTAAGAAATCTGAAATGTGGAAATAATGAACTTTTTAATTTACCATTCGTTTTATTTATGTATCAAATCTATATGGCTGCCCAAAATTGCTCTTCTACATAAAACTAATCAAAATTCTGCATATCTGATATAGTAAGAACTGTACTAGCTTAAATATGAGATAGCAGACTTTAAGTGAAAAAGAGGGGAAGTATTTGATGTTGAAACAAGAGAAAGTTTGGTTACTAACTTTAAGACATTTGGAAATTAATAGAAAATAAGAATGTTATAGTGTATTATTAATTAGATGATGTAAAATGGTGAGAAATAGAATATGTTTAAATAGATAAGACGTGTATCCTGACCTTGTGATGAATTGTGATAAAGGGAACTTTGGTTACTTAAAACTTGGAAATTATAAATATTAAATGTTAAATTTAAATATTAAAGGGAAACTAAAAATTGGGAAAACTAATTAGGACATTGATTGTCTATAAAGACTGAATGTTAAAATAATCTGAATATGTATAAGCTAAAAATTATTGATAAATGTAAGAATGTTACTTTTATTTAATTAATAGAATAAGAATTGTATTAGTTTGAACATGAGACAGATAATACTAAGGAGAAAAGAGAGGAAATATTTAATGTGGTAGTTTGAGACTGGTACTAAAAGATACTTGTATCTTAGTGAATTATCGATTAACTCAGCCGCCACGTTGCTTTTTAAATACTTAAATGTAAAATTAGAAAATCAATAAAACATTAAAAAAGGAGTAGCAGATGCTTTGAATCAACCATCTATGCTAGCATTGCCTATCAGAACTGTTCCAGTCCAATCACCCTGCTAGGACCATGGTTACTTTAAAAACACAAATAGAAAGAACACCCTGCTAGGTAGTGTTTACACACCTAAGAAATCTATGCTACTGAAGTTATTCTTCATTAAGCTGAAGAACCACAAATTGAACTTGATGTTCTGTCTTTTATTAGCCTCAATCTGGGACAGGACATGCCATTTTGTGTTACATAACCCTTCTTGCCACATAATTAAAAATAGTACATAGCATCATTTGCTGCACAGTAATTGAAATGTCTAAACACACTTCCAATTTGCAGACTTGTCTTTTCAATCAAAATGCAAAGACAGCTTCAGAACTGGGACATATTTAAACATGGATTTAATTTAAACAAAGCAATGTTAATTCGGTCACTCTTCAGGATGTCCCCATGTTCTGCCCAATCTCAGGTCATCTTCCCAGCTTCCCTCCCCCCTTCCAGGTGTGAAACAAGAAGGCACAAGCAACACATTGCAAACAAAATCAAATTTTTCAAGTGTGTAAAGATGAAGAAATCTGAGCAGTACCACTAGTCTCACAAGCTGAAGTCACCAAGACGAAGCCAAACAAATCGCCTTATGTGAATCCAGATATTGTGGTTGCTAATTCAAATTTTATAGTGTAGTGTGTTCTGTAAATGTAGCCATTGTAGCTTGTTCAAGCAACCATTGTTAAAAGAACCCACTGGTTAGGGCAGCATCCCCCAATCTTTTGGGCATCAGGGACTAGTTCCATGGAGAGAGTTTTTTCCGTGGACTGAAGGAGGCGTGGTTCCATGTACTGCCTGCATCCCGCTGATGGGGCTTAGCTTGTTTGCGCAGCCCAGTTTCTGGCATGTCGCAGACCGGTGCTGGTCCATGGATCAGGAGTTGGGGACCCCTGATTTAGAGCAATGTGTGAATTCAGCCACCACAAAAAAAAAAAAAAACCTGGTTCTTTTGACTTTCTCTTTTCTAGAGAAGTTTTCTTGAATTATAAACTTCAACCAGCTTAGGACTGCCATATTTGTTTGCCTGCTTATTTGTTTGCTTACTTATTTACTCATTTATTTTTAAGAGCTATAAGGATATCCTAACTCAAAACAATGTGACTCTGGGCTGCATTCCTCTAAAAACATTCTAGAAAACATTCAAGGAGTTTATCCTTGAGAATATATTTTGGTCAGGCATAATGGGAGTCGCAGTTGAACAGGTCAAGAAGATGCCAAGCTACACAAGGTTGCAATAATGGGATAGGGAGACTGTGCTGACTTCCATGTTCTGAGTAGGGGTGAAGCCATCAGGGACTGGAGTGGAGTCTGAAGTAGGTCAGGCCACCCATTCTCTTTCTTACCTTCTTTGTTTCTCTGATCACTTCTCTCTTTCAAGGCTGAAGGAAAGCAGTTGAGCTTTTCCAACAGATCAGGGTGAGCTGCAGGTGATGTGAAGTATTGCTGCTCTGCAGTATTTCATACTGAGAAAAAGAACCCACAACGGAAGGTGACAGACTGGGAATCCAATTATATAAAATATACATGTGATTTCTGAAGAGCAGTTATTTTTTGCTTTGCTGTCGAAAATGAGCCAGCAACAGTTGAATGTTGAATGACAGAGTTTAATCAAGTTTAAATTTAAAGGTTTAATGAAGGAGATGGGAGTTAGGATTGTTTCATTTTATTCATTCCCATGGGCTTGTTTATTCCGTCTTAGCTGTGAGACGACTCAGAAGCCCATCAAGAACAGCTACTGGAATGCCTCCTATGTGGTGAGGGCTCCTCTGGGACAGAGGCCACATCTTTAGGACATACCAAAGTGTTTACTCACTCTACTGCCTTGAACAGCTCTGCTCCTATTACACCAACTCTGGATTCTTTGCATTTTCAACCCGGGAACTGACAAGGGACTGGTCAGGTTGTCTAGACTGTTGCCTAGTGTATGCTGAGTTTAACAGAATAAAAATATAAGCAAGAAAACTTACTTTGGCTGAGGCAAATAAATTGGGCATTTCACCTTCTGTTATTTGCGTTAACATTTCAGTCAATTCCTCCTCCCCGGACTGGATTGTCAGCTCTTTCTCACGTAGCTGTTATTGTGTCATATAACTCAATGCAGAAGGCTGTTGGATCGTGTTGTCATGCTCTCAATGTTCTTCCCAGTAAAGGAGGCACCGTGTTTGGCTCTTATTGTTCACATATCCCTGCAGCTTCTTCAGAAGTTGTCCAGTGAACAGATTGGCCCTGGTGATAGAACACCCCCTTCATGAAGATCTCCCCCAACCTTGCATTAGAAAGACAAGAGTACCCCCTGCAATTCTCTGCCTCTGAGCTCAGCCAGAAACTCACACAATAACTAACAAGTGAGAACAACAGAGATACTCTTGTGCGAGATCCCTCCCTCCTTTGTATTCAATTCCAAGCATACAAGTTATCTTACAGCTTGTCAGGCCTCCCTATTGTGGGACATCAGCTGTGCTGAACTTCCTAATATGGGATGGTTTCTGAATTCCTACATGACAAACCAGGTACTACATGTTTCAGACTCTGCCTTATTCAGCCCAGGAGGAAGTTTCAATCATGCATCCTCCATTCTGAAGTTTTCAGAATTCAGTGCTCAGATTCGTATGGAATGATGGGAGAAGTAATCCAATAGAGTAAAATAGAACTCTTCATTGGCAATAGGCTTGAAGGATTCCAGGTTGGAGAAGGCTGATTAATGAGCATACTGTGCCAGATGTAATGATCTTTCTCCAGGGAAAAAACTGAATCAGTGGATGGTGCTGTCACTGAGAAAGAAGACTAGTCTGAATACAGTCCCTAGATTAGCGCTGTCCAAGTGGATACAGCTGATCATCTCCTTGGCACTGTCTTAGGTGTTAGATTATTTTTTTAAAAAAATAACAACACTGCTATAACTTTTTGCATTGCAAGACAGACTTGGAATGAGGTCGGAATGCAATAGTCAGCATCCTTATGTGAATTACTTCCAAGGAAATGGTTGGGTGCAGCGTGATTACCTCCTAAGGATTTATTTTCATTTTTAGGATTCAAATCCTCATTTTGTTTTGACCAGTTGAAAATTATTTTAGAAAACTGTTTGCTTATATTGTGTTTCCTTACTGACCTTGTTAATAGCTTGCGTTTTATTCAAAGAATCATAAAATGTAGAGGTTGAAAAATGCTGATTATCTGGCTAACCAGAAATGCATTATTATAGCATCCCAGACCTTTGAATACCCAGTCTCCAATTAAACAGAGTCCATCACCTCCATTGCTAAACAGCTTTTGTACTGTTAAATATTATTATCTCCCCTCCTGATGTTCAAGAGAAATCTGTGCCTGTCTGTGTATTGGCTCCATTGCCTGGACAAGTCACTGCAGTTTTCTTGGCAAGTTTTCAGAAATGGCTTTTCATTGCCTCCTTCCCAGGGTTGAGAGAAAGTGTCTGGCTCAAAATCACCCAGTTGATTCTGTGTGCCTAAAGCAGGAATAGAACTCCCGGTGGAGTTCCATAGACCTCTATAGATGTGGTGGGGAGGAGTTTTCAATTTTTCAAGACAGCACATGGAGCCGCCAAGAATAGCCCCACGGCAAGATAGACAACCAATAAATTTAACACATAAATAAATAAAATACACCTGTAAGGTTTTTAGCTGGCAGCAAGAATCTGATTCTCTCAAACTCAGATGGAGGCTTCAGGAGCGGGGGAAAACAACTTTTTATTCAGCAAGGGAAGAGCCACACCTGGGGAGGGGAGGGTTACGTTTTTTATACAACATTTTGTCCAATCGCAACAACACAAAATTCAATAGGGGACACAGAGTTGCGTTGATTGGCTTCAAAAGGTAAGGCAGTCATCATACAGGTATGTGACTCTCTTTGTTGAAGGTAAATGGCGTTTTTCCTGTGTAAGTGTGGCTCCTAAACGCGACATGGTGCTAGCCTGAAATTGGTTTAATTTTCCCTTCACGCCAAAAGAAAAAAAATGAGAATCCTATTTCTGGAAAAATTCATTCCAAAGTAGTGATATGTGTGGGCTGTTTAGGATACCAAACTAATGTTCTGAAGAGCATTACCTTTTTTTTTTTTTTTTTTTAAAAAGACTTTTCTTTGAAACTGAAATGAATACAATTTCATTTTTTTCAACAAATAGCTCATATTTCTGTTTTTTGTTGCCATTTTTATTTCCCACCCAGTACCTTAAAGGAATACACTTGGCATTAGGCCCTTATGTTAATGGCACCTATTTAAATTTATTTGAATCTTAGCCATGTTTTTAATGTCCTTGGCCAGCCAACATTATAATTTATAGCATGTGCGATTGATTTTCTAATTGGTTAACAATTCATTAAGGCAAAAACACTTCCTCCCTTCCCTCTGAGATCTATTACATGGGGAGCAATATTGCACTGCATTCATCTTCTCACTTTTCCATATGGCAGGTGATTCCTGAATTCAGGAAATTCCAACCTCTGGAAATTGATAGAAGTTGGCTTGGAGTCTGAAGGAGCTCTGAATCTCTTGCCTCCCTCAGCTGAGGAAAAATGTAGATTAGTTGTTCGTTAGATGTATATTTGAATATACAAGTTCTGCTCCATCCTAAGACACAGAAGTTGGCTGGGTAACTTTCAGCCAGTCATTCTCTCTCAACCTTAGTTTCAGAAATAACCCATATTGAACCAAGCTGCTAGATTAGATTCATAATGTTCAGAGACCTTAATCTTGAAGTGGATTGATCAGACTGATCCCCATTCTCTCCCTCACACACATATGTCACCTACATTCTGTGCAATGGGGTTATTTATTTAATATATGTTTTCATATCTTCGGGCACCAGAAGTGATTCCCAACATAAAAATAGCAAAAACCCATAAACAATAAAACAATAAAAGCAAAATTTTGTTTTAAAAAACTAAATTTAGATTAGATTTAAATTTTAGATTCAAGGCACCACAAGGATGAACTGATCTGTATAAATATTTCTCAATCCTTATTTCTGCTCTGTTTATCGAACAGTTCTGACTTTGGAATTAAAGGCTAAAAGTTGTTAGGATTGCTAGCAGACCAGATATACTTATAAAGTTATCTCATTGATAATAGTATGACTCTGTTGTGAATTTTGAACTAATTTTGATCCTATGTCAACCAAATCAGTTTTAACAGTGAATGATACCATTCCTTTTGTCAATGCTGCTAACATTGGAGGTTCTTGCTTTGACAACATATGAAGATGCAGCCTTTTTCTTTCTTATGCTTTACTCTTAGAATTAGATGATGCTGGGGGAGGAGGCGGAATGTGATGGGAGTTAGTTAGACATAACAATATTGTACTAGTGCAGCGGTTCTCAACGTTTGTGTGACGGCGCCCCCCGTCACACAAACGTTATGCGCGTGCGTGGCGCGGTGCGCATGGGGACGGTGCCCCGTGCGCGGCGCACATGCACGGCGGCGCCCCCGGAGGGGATAAAATGGCAGATCGCCGCCTTTGGCGACCCCCGAAAAATGGTCGATCGACCCCAAATGGGGTCGCGACCCATAGGTTGAGAACCACTGTACTAGTGTGAATTCAGAGCTTGAAATAAGAGATGATAAGAATTGGCGGGTAGCAGGAGGGAAAGTCTGCATTTCAAATTAATTGGAGAATGTGATTTATGACAGTTAATTGAAGGAGGGAATTGTGCTTTGATACTATGTGCTCAGGGGAGGGGAATCCAGTTTTTGGCTTCTAGTGCGGGTGCTATGCTTCTCAAATAAAGATTCTTTAAGGTAAACAATGCCTCAAAGTTCTTTGAAGAGTTTCATCTGTCAGAACCATGACACCTTTATTATCCACAGAACTGTCAACGGGCAGGGTGCTAAATGATTGGGACTAGATGGATTGGGTTTTTCTTATAGTAGGAGAAGTTGAAAATTAGGAGAAACTTTGTGATGATGAAGAATACAATTAATAGAGTCACAAAGAGAGATTGGGAGTTCAAAAAAAATCTGAGCAATCATTTGTTGGGAAGCACTGAATGCCCTATCCCCTGGTTGGGATAGAAATCCTCCAAGCCTTGTCCACTTGATGATTGTAGGTTTTGTTCTTATTCTGATTAAAAGTGGAAGATTAAGACTGGAAGAGCAGATAGGAACAAAGTGACTATCTTACATAGAACTGGAAGTATGGATGTGCATCCTAAATTTGTAAGTGACCAAATCATGATTTGAACGATGGGAACAAAAATATATGTTAAGTGTACAAATGCAATCACAATCTTAACTATAGAAGGTCCCCTTAAATAGGTTTCATGGTAGAATATGTCGATGGAGATTCTCAGTCATCCAGATAGAGTTGAAAGTTGGAAGTTGAATCATGGTAACTGAACTTTTCTTTTTGGTTTGAAACATTTCATTCTTATCCAAGTAAGCTTCTTCAGTCTTTCATGGTAGAAATTTTGCATAAGAAATTTGCCACATGAAAGCATGCAACAGATGTTGAATGTGACGGGTTCCTACGGCTTAAATGACAGTTAATGATGGGTGAAGGAAAGGGAACCACCTGCTGTGCTATTTGAAGATACCATCTGATGATGCAGCAGCAGCAGTAGGTTAACAGAGTTTGGGTGACATTTCTGGTTGTTTGTTATTGTTCAGGGGAGGGATGGAGCCGTACTTTGAAACCCAAGCAAGCCTGGAATCAAACTTCAGAGACACCTCAAAAATGAACACACAAATGCTTCAGTCTATCTCTGTCTAAAATGAAACCTCCATAGATTTTCACGTTCCAGCTGTTAGATGCTAGAAAACCTAGGCGGCTGATTCTGAATGATTTTCATGGTTCCCAACTATATAGCTGCAAAACAAAACAAAACAAATCCTCTGGCTACACAGGGAGTATCACAGGGCTGTGTAAGGTGGGGATGACTGATATATCCTGGGTGGAAAGATACAAAGCAATAGAGAACATCTATAGGCCCAACACTGAAATGGTTTTCCACATATAGCCATTTTGTTCAGTTTCATTTCCGGAGTGCTTACTCTTCATACTTCATCAGAGGCTACTGTAAAGGTACCCTGAGTTTTTGGACCTGGACAACTGTCAGGAAGCAGGAAATCTCTGAACAGCTCCTAAAGTTATTTTTGTCTTTTTTTTTAATCTTTGAAATTCTTCCTTGGATATTATTTCTGAGGACACTCTATAGTTAATTAAGATTGAAACTTTATCCTCCTGACCCCAGGAATGACAGAGAAAAGATTTGTGAAGGAAGCACAGTCTTAATGGCAGGTGCCTGAGTATTTTTTAAAAAATAAATACACTTTTTTATTTTGCGATTATTGGTCTATAAAATTAACATGGTTATGCCACTTTTATTCCATGTTACAGACATTTCTGATTTACTGATGACATAAAAAAACATTGCCTTATTATTACAAGTAAAAACTAAGGCATGCAATTATAGTTAAATATATACATGCTAATTTTAAATACATTAAGACTTTATCTTTGGAGTTCAGTGCATATAGTATGCTGTTTGGTAAATAAGGTAACACCTTTTTTAATAACATCACCATGCCTAATCCTTAATTATGCTTGCAATAAATTATGGAATTTAATGTCTCTAACTTTTGTACATCCTGATCTACTCTGGTTAATTGCCTCCCACCCCAATATGTCCTCATTCTGTACCAATTAATATAACATATTTACTTTATTTCTAGCATGCTTTCACTCTGAAGAGACAAGGCAGCATAGATAGAACTTAGTGAGGTAGGTATGTCTACAGCAAAAGTCACTGGCTCAGGGTTAGCATGGAGTTTCATGATTGAATAGACTTTGAAACTTGGTTCTCCCTCATCCAAGTCAACACTGCAACAATTAGACATTGCAGGTTTTTTTTTTAAAAAAACTGTCAATTAAAATAAATAAAATTTGACCCAAGCTTATTAAATTATGCCATTTGATAGAGATGGGAATTCACATGACACCCGTAAATTGTCAGCCCTACTGCTTCTATTTTTCAGTGAATATTATCGGAGATGAAAATCAAGGCAACTAGGAAGATCAAAGCAGTTTCTTTCCTTAAAAATGTCCATATTTTTTTCAAATGTTATTTTTTTAAAAAGGCTGGAAAAATCAATTTTCAGTTATAACATTCGAACAGAAGGACCTACTCCTGCAGTTAAGTTACATAAAAGTGCCCCACATTAATTCAACATTATTCATATAAATATACAGCATTTAATTTTACAGTTAAAAAAAATTGGGGTAGCAGCAAAGGGTGACTATGACACCCCTAGACCAGGGGTAGGCAACCTCGGCTTTTTTTTATGACTCATGGACTTCAAATCCCAGAATTCCTGAGTCAGCATAGCATTCTGGAAGTTGAAGACCATGAGTCATAAAAGAGCCGAGGTTGCCTACCCCTGCCCTAGACCTATATTCATCGATTTAGAAATAAACCCTCCTGAACTCAGTAGAACTTACTTTTGAGTAGATTTGAATAGGATTGTACTACTCAGAAATTTGTTTTTTTCTTTTGCAGACCACAACTGCAAAATTAATTATCTCATTTTTAAAAATATTTTTCCATGTGTCCTAATGTGACATATGAAATTAACTTTATTATATCACCCAGGCATACCATAAGCCAATATATCTCCTAATTCACTGGCAATAAAAGAAAGCATGCAGTTATCATTTATGAATTGAATTAATACATTTATTCATTCAGTACATGAAACCGTCAGATAAATGACTCTTGCACCTATACTGTTTTTTCGTAAGTATAATAAATACCTGATTACAGCATTAGTGCTTTTTCATTGTGGAAAAAGAAATAATTCAACCCAAAACAGAAAACAATTTCTCAAGAAAAAAAGAGATGTCTATCTTTTTGAGAGATTTATCTATCTCAAGTGCAAATACAGTACCGTATTTTCCGGCGTATAAGGCGACCTGGCGTATAAGACGACCCCCGACTTCGGCGCCCAGTTGCATGCCGTCTTATACACTGGAAAGTATGGTACATAAGATGTCTTATACGCTGGAAAGTACGGTACATAAGAAGGCTGAGGAAAGCTTTATGCATGCTCAGTTTTCCTTATATTATCCTGTGTCATGCATTTTATTTTGCATTACAAACATTGCATGTAGCCCATACACAGAAGGAACCAACCTGAAAAATGAAACAGAGGCTGCCTCCAAGTCTCTTATGCCTGCTACAACAGGCAAGTCCACAGAGCTGTCATAAGGTCTCCTCAGCTATGGTAAATTTGGGCTTTAACCTAACAGACCTTTTCCGGATAGCGCCTTTGGGTGACAGGGAAATAGTGTCTATGATACTCGGGTCTTCTTCCAGTTGCTTGGCTGTGCAGTTTGGAGTGGGCACCTTCACAGTGTTGCCAAACTTGGAATAGTCTACGGAGTATTGCCCATCCTCCTCTGTCACAATAGGCACAAACCTTTGGCCCCAGAGTATTTCATCGGCGAGGTAGGAGGTCCTGGCTTGGGTGGTGATGCCAGTGGTTTCCACCACCCCTTCAAGGATGACAATCACCTCCAGGTCCTCGTGGTGAATGAGACTGGTTGGAGCCACCTCGTACAGGGGGCTATTCTTATCTATCACGTGGTAAATGATGAGCGGGGAGACCAGGAAGATGCTATTGCCTCCCACCGGGTTCTCCATCTGGATCTCGATCTGGTGGAGGGGCATCACTTCCCCCTCCTGGTTGGTGATCTTCTTCACCACCTGCATGCGGACGGTGGCGCTGATGATCATGCTCTTGCGCAGGTCGCCCAGGCGCAGCATGAAGCAGAGTTTCCCCCCGCGGAGCGCGATCACGGCGTGCTTACTGAAGATGAGCGTCTCGGCGCGATGGTGCGCCTGTGAGGTCTTCATGAAAATGCAGCCCAGCATGATGGCGTTGATCACCAGCCCCACGATGTTCTGCACGATGAGGATGAGGATGGCGACGGGGCATTCTTCGGTCACCATGCGGCCCCCGAAGCCGATGGTCACCTGCACCTCGATGGAGAAGAGGAAAGCGGAGGTGAAGGAATGAATGCTGGTTACGCAGGGCACGAAGGGGGCCGCCTCCTCCCGACCCTCGCCTTGAAGGCGCAGCTGCTGGGTGCTGTGGTCCAAGTCCCCGTGGGCGAAGGCGATGAGCCACCAGATCATAGCGAAGAGCAGCCAGCTGCACAGGAAGGTCATGGTGAAGATGATGAGCAAGTGGGGCCACTTCAAGTCCACCAGTGTGGTGAAGACGTCCTGCAGGAAGCGGCCCTGCTCCCGGATGTTCTTGTGCGCCACATTGCACGACCCGTTTTTGCCCACGAACCTGGCCCGCCGCTCCCGGGTCCGGTGGTGCGCGTGATCCGGGACATCCTCGGCTAGCCGGGTCAGCACGAACTCCTCCGGGATGATCCCCTTCCTGGACAGCATGGTGGGCTCCTCCCCCCACCCTCCGCCGCCACCGACCTGCCCCGGCTACGGCCACGTGCCCGCCACCGCTGCGGGGATGCCAGCCAGCGGAGCCCTTAGGCCTCTTCACCGGCGCTCCCGCTGCCCTGGCCGACTCCCCTTCTCCGCCCCGCCAGTCCCGGCGAGCGCCGTGCGCTCTTCCCCCCCCCAGCCCCAGCTGCGCACGCCAATCACAACTCGCTTCGATTTTGGCGAGGCGGCGGCGTTTCGTGACTTGCTCCTGACAGCGGCAGACGACAAAGCCAACTAAGGGTCGTCCGGCTTTGGAGGAAACCCCCCCAGCGGAGGAGTCGTCAGGTGGCGGCCACCTCGCGCGACCGCCCGTTCCCTAATCCAGCGACAAATAGGATCGGCAGGGGGCGCTCTCGCGCCAGGGAATCCCAGCGCGAAGGTTTTTCCCTCCGGGATCTGCACAAGAGAAACCCCGGACTGTGTAGAGCGGCACCCGCCGCCAAGACTCGGGTGGGTTGGAGAAGGTTTCCGTTCTTCCCTTCAAAATCAACCTCTCCAGCCAGCAGCAGATGTATGCTCTATTAAAGAATACAGTGCATAAATAATCAGGACGCTGCCTGCTTCTCACCCTCCGTAAGGAGGTAGAACTGAGATTTTCTTTAATTATTTTTCTCCTAAAAAAAGGAGGGGTGAGAACTATAATCTCTGCCGGTGAAACTGATTTACAGGTAAATACAGTATTTCTATTACAGCTGACCTATTCGGATAGGAAACATAATCATTTAAGTATGAATTTACTGTCGGAGTGAGAAAAAGAGGCAAGACTGCAGATCTGCAATTCACCTGACTTAAGGAAATAAAAGCCAACTTCCTGCTGTATTATACCATCGTTGTCCAACCTTTTGGTTTGCCTGGGTCACACTGAGTGAAGAGGAATTGTCTTGTGCAACATATAAAATACAGGTAGTCCGCGACTTACAACAGTTCATTTAGTCGCTGCTCAAAATTACAATGGCCCTGAAAAAAGTGACTTATGACCGTTTTTCACAGTTGCCACTGTTGCAGCGTCCCCATGATCATGTGATCAAAATTCAGATGCTTGGCAACTGGTTCTTAGTTATGACTGTTGCAGTGTCCTGGGGTCATGTGATCATCTTTTGCGACTTTCTGACAAGCAAAGTGAATGGGGAAGCCAGATTCACTGCTTGTACACAATATAGTTGATGTATATAAATAACATGTGGCCCGTGGGCTGCAGATTGGACATATCTGTATTATACTCCTTGTAAAGTTGCATTTCACACTAACTGCTAATTCCAGCATATTTTAGTATACAACGGCTGCCCTATAAAGTTATGTTTTACCTATTGTGGTCCAAATAACCCTGACATTCCAAGGTTCCTCTGTTATTTTGTTTCCCTTTCTTAATAAACTTGGATAGCTCAGTTTGCAGGATCTGTGGAAAAAGTAAACTTGGTATGAGAAATTTTAGAAAAGGATCTGAAAAAACAGCAGTGCAATGGACACCGTTGTCTTCAGACTGTTTATTTACATAAACCAAGCTAAGTAAAGGAGCCTACATAGTGCTACATTGTCTCCAGTTGTTTAATTATTAGATTCCCCCTCACACACTATTTTGGGCAATTCAAGGCAGCACACTTATGTAATGCTCCTCTTTCCTGTTTTGCTCACAACAATAACTCTGTTAAGTGGGTTGGGATAAGTGACTGGCCCAAAGCCACCCAGCTGGCTTTTATTTCTAAGAGAGGACTAGAAACTGCTAGTCTCCCAAGTTCCAGTCCAGCACCTTAGCCGCTGTACCAAACTGGTCTCAATCATGCATAACCTAAATATTACACTACCATGAAGATTACCTATTTAGAGTTAGAGTCTGTCTTTCCTTCAGGAACTCAAGATGGTGTCCATCCTATTCCCTCCTATCCTTTTTCTCAGCAACCATCACCCTCTAAGGTGGGTTGGGATAAGAGATGGTAACTCACTTAAAGTCATCCAGTGAGCTTCACTGTCTGACAGTGGTACTAGAATTGAATCCACTCTGTTCAAGACCAACATAGCTAACTAAGGTTATAGGTATTGGAATTCTGGTTTCCATAAATCTCATACAGTGGTTGCTGTGCATTTGGAGGATATGGAAAGTATAAGATTCTGGTTAAAATACTACATTTGATGCTATATTTCTGTAGTAAATAAAAATATACACCAGACTCAAGAATCCTGGAAACAGTGATTCTGGGATAATACAGGATGTTTATTCTTAACCCCTTGATTATCTTCTGACAGTTAATACTGCTATCCCTGTCTTAGAGCTCTTGGCTTTTAAAATCAGCACATTTTCGTCCTGGCCTTTCTACGGCTTGACAGAAATTGTACTTTTATATTTCTCTGTGCTAAGTAGCCAGTGGGTTCTGTCCTGGAAAAATTCAAGACGTTGCAGAATCTCCTCCAACACATTCATGCTCCTTAATCAAGGTTAATATAGGGTGCAAATAGAATGAAAATCTTTGTGTGACATTTAAGACATAGTGTACTGTGCTGGTTGAGAAAAGTGTATTTAAGGAATAGCCTAGAAATATGTGGTTAGAAAGCCTCATCCAGGATGAATGGCTCATGGATCTACTGAAAAATGAGTGAGCCTTGAAGGGAACCATAATATAACCTTAAAGGAGAAGAATAGGTAAATTTATTTGAACTGCTGTAAAGAAGATTGGAAATTATATTTTCTTTTTTTCCCTTTTCTCTCTTTTTAATCTGTTCATTGGCTCTATTTTCTTTATTTGCTCTTTTTCTTTTATGTTTATTTTTACAATGCATAAAACCTTTAATAAAAATTACTTTTAAAGAAATGGGTGAATCTTCTGCTTATACTAATGACACATTTCTACATATTTAGGAAGGGTTCAATTTGTAAGAAAGATATTGAAATAAGAGATTTTAAAACCATAAATTGTATGAAGAATGATCTTTAATCTGCCACAGATTTACCACTAGTCAATTGTGTAAAACTTTAGTAAGCTATAGAGTGCATATTTGGCAGTTATAACCTGTATTGTTTTATTGTATGAGCTGTATTGTTAATAAGAGCTAATTGTTCAGATTTCGGTATATCGTGCCTGCTTCTGTGTAATGGGCTTTGCATTATATTTTCATTTAACTTGTTTTGACCAGTAAAATTGCTATGGGTTTGAAGTTGCCACAGAAGTATCCATAATTTGGTAAATGGTTTTACAATTATCTATCATCCTGCCAAGATATATTCCTTATCCATGTGATATTCAATGTACATAATGTACTTAATTACAGGTGCAGTCACATAATTCTTTTGCTGGTGTAGCCTTTGCCTTTGATAGATAGGCATGACTAATGTAAGGTTCTTATCTAAGGTGTCAATTTTTGACAACTGGCAGAGCCCTAATTTAAATACCTCATCATGCAAACTTGCTTTTCTTTTTAAAATTTCAAGTTGATTCATTATGAAACTTGGAGATAAACCTGTGAAAAAGGAAAAAAAAATCTCAATAGCTCCTACTGGAAAAGTAAGATACTCACACTTAAGAGGTAAATGAATTGTTCTTTATTTCTTAAGAACTTATGGACTAAGCTTTTTATTATTAAATATTTTTTATTTACAGATATTTTACATAATTAGAAAATTGATAATAAAACAGTTCTTCTGAGTGGTTTAATAGTTTATACCATAGCTACTTGTCTGCTTGAACAAAAGAAGCAAACACACTGTCTTCTTTTTCCAGCAGAATTTCTGGTTTGTCGTATTCTAAAATAACTCCTCTCTTCATGACAATAATCATATCAGCGTTCAGAATAGTGTGCACCCGGTGCTGTAAGAAAACAGGCATGATTAAAATTTTAATTGCAACATATAACTATTTCTGAAAGAAACAAAGTCTCCAATCAAATATCTTTCATATATGTTGGACTGCAGGCCCCATAACCCCCAAATAGAATGTTCATTGTTCTGTTCTATCTAAAATACATATTTCAGAAAAAAATATACCATTCTGGCTGAAAATATTTTACATGCTGGCATATAAGTTGTTATCACTTCATTTTCATCTTATACTAGCTTTGTTTTTGAAATTAAAAAGGGAGCCTTGGTTTGTCCCATGTGAACTCATTCTCCCAACACATTGAAAATTGAGCATTTTACTTCCATAGATGAATTGTTAAGAAACAAGATAAGTTTAATCTCTTCTGTGTTATGTTAATTCTGTTTTCATATTATTAATTTGCTTGTTGATTTTATTGGTTACATTGGTGGAAAGAGATATAAAATAAATCAGTCATATTCTATTGCTGTGTCCATTTACAGAGAATTATGGACAATTTGGTTCCTTATTGATTTGCAAATGTAATCATCCTCATCAACATCAACATCAACATCATCATCGCCTTGGGTGCAATCCCAAAACAACTGGAGCACCACTTGAACACCATTGGCATTGACAAATTCACCGTTAGTCAATTGCAAAAGGCGGCCTTACTAGGAACTGCTTCCATCCTGCGACGATATCTGTAATACCATCAAACATCCACATCTGCCTATCCCAAGTCCTTGGTAATGACTTGATAGGTAGACAAAAATGCCAAATCTAGTCTGAACATCTGGCTGACTGTGATTAATAATAATAATAATAATAATAGTTGGAAGGGACCTTGGAAGTCTTCTAGTCCACCCCCCACATTTCAGACAAATGGTTGTCCAATCTCTTCATAAAAACTTCCAGTGTTGGAGCATTCACAACTTCTGGAGGCAGGTTATTCCACTGGTTAATTGTTCTAACTGTCAGGAAGTTTCTCCTTAGTTCTAGGTTGCTTCGCTCTTTGGTTAGTTTCCATCCATTGCTTCTTGTCCTGCCTTCAGGCGCTTTGGAAAATAGCTTGACTCCCTCTTTCTTGTGTCAGCCCCTGAGATATTGGAACACTGCTATCTTGTCACCCCTAGTCCTCCTCTTCATTAAACTAGACCTACCCAATTCCAGCAACCGTTCCTTATATGTTTTAGCCTCCAGTCCCCTAATCATCTTTGTTGCTCTTCTCTGCACTCTTTCTAGAGTCTCAAAATTTTTTTTACATCGTGACCAAAACTGAATGTAGTATTCCACGTGTGCCCTTACCAAGGCTTTATAAAGTGGTATTAATACTTCAAATGATCTTGATTCTATCCCTCTGTTAAAGCAGCCTAGCACTGTGCTGGCTTTTTTGGCAGCTGCATCACACTGCTGGCTTGTATTTAAGTGATTGTCCACTAGGACTCCAAGATCCTTCTCACAGTTGCTACTATTGAGCAAGGTACCACCTATACTGTACCTGTGCATTTGGTTTTTCTTTTTTCACCATTGAGTTTTATTTTATTAGATAGATTTTGTTCAATTCTGTCAAGATCCTCCTGTATCTTAAGCCTATCTTCTGGAGTGATAGCTATTCCTGCCAGTCTGATGTCATCTGCAAATTTGATGACTTCCCTATCTATCCCCTCATCCAAGTCATTGATGAAGATGTTGAAGAGTACTGGGCCCACAACAGAGCCCTGGAGCACCTTATTACACACTTTCCTCCATGTAGATACAGTTCCATTGAGGACCACACACTGAGTACGGCTGGTCAGCCAGCTACGAATCCACCTGGTGGTGATGCTATCTAACCCACATTTTTCTATCTTATCAAGTAGTAGGTTGTGGTCCACTTCATCAAATGCCTTACTGAAATCCAGGTAAATTATATCCACAACATTCCTCTGATCCACAAATTTTGTCACCTGGTCAAAGAATACAATAAGATTTATCTGGCATGATCTGTTTTAGACAAAATGTGTCTATATAAATTGAAATAAAAGGGATAATGCTTTTGAAGCAGGAAATAACAGACTCAGAGTTACAAATCAATAACATTTCAGCAGTAAAATATAATATACTTACTGCAATTATCACTACTGTACGATCAGCAAAGGCAGTCATTACAACCTTCTGAAGAATGTTTTCCTACATAAGCAGACAATGAACATTTATATTAATTAATGAGCTATATACATGGAAACACTGAACAGTATTTCAATAATTACTAAAGAATTTTGCCTCCTTATCGAACCTTTATGTAATTTATCAGGAACGTTTGAGTTTGTAAGTTTGAACTTACAGTTGCCATGTCAATAGACGCTGTGGCTTCATCCATGATTAAGATACTTGTTTTCCGTACAAACGCTCTGGCTAAACAGAACAGCTGTCTTTGCCCTTGGCTGAAATTTTCTCCACCTTCTGTGACTATTGCATCTGATTAAAACAAATATTTGGAGAAGGGCAGTCATATGGAAACTCATGGATATCTTCCTTATACCAATTCATCATTCTACGTCTCACTTTCTCATACACAAGCATTACTTATATTATGCAATCCTGTATTCCTGATATATATGCACATACACAATTGCACTATTTGTACAATTACAGATCCCTTTGACCAGCATACAAAACCACACCTAACAGACATATGACCAGGGACTGAGATTATAATGATCAGTTTTGTCTCCTTCCCCCATACTGCAAGTATTTTTCTCATTACTATCTTATGGAGGGAGAAATGAACTCCAAAATTCTGATAACTTCAGCTGACCATATAGGCTTGGAATGACATTTCACCTCACTGCTTCCTGCACCCATTGAGGATACTGTAGTCCCACTGCATCACAACAAGCGCAATGGATAGAGGAGTTTATGCCTCAGTATCATTTTAATGTAATGGCTGCTATTCATTCTACACAGATCTAAGCTTCAAGGCAATCTGAAAGCCATTGCAGATATAATTGCTAGGATTCTAAGAGGAAGCAAAGGAGAACTAGGGCCTTGATCTTCAGACTTGTTTACCTACAAGCTCCCATATCCAATTCATGATAATTGCCGATGAGCTACTAGGTGCAACTGAATGGATAGATCCTTGGGTATTACACTCTAAATGCTTTTGAGCCTCAGTATTTAAGAAGGGGAATGTAATAAACTTGAGACATGGACTTCTTGATGGCAGCTCTTTGAAGTTTCTTCCTTTATGAAACATAGTGGCCCCCCCCAAAAGTAAATCTTCAGACAAAACTGAAAAATGGTAATATAGCCAGACTTTGAGACTATAGCCTGATCACTTGACTGAGTTACTTTTTACTAGTGTCAACCATCTTCTGGAGGAAGACATTTCTAAAGAAAATGAGCAAATTATGAACACACTTAGCATTGTGGTCTCTCTCTAAAACAGCTAAATTGAGTAGAAATGTTTTGAGTGCTAATCTCTCCACAGTTAAAGGAATTATTACCTAGCCCCCCAGGTAAAGCTTTCACCACATGCTTCAGTTGTGCTATTTCCAATGCTTCCCATAAGGTGCTGTCAGTGCATTTCTTTTCTGGATCCAAGTTAAATCTGCAAAAATAAAAATAAAAATGACTAAAGAGACTCAAACTTGTCCGCATTTTTGTTAATCTGTAGTGAGCACAATGTATTACTACTACTGATATGTCTCATTTTAAAGTTTAAAATGCAAGGTTCTGGTCTAGCAAATGAAACTTTTTTTAAATGTAGCTACATAACCACCATATAGATACAATCCCCATTTCTGGAGAGGTTGTAGTGGGATATGATTAACAAAAACCTAAGAGCAACATCATCAAATGAAGGAATACATTTATAAAAATGTACAAAAATAAATACATACTGTACACTTTGTTTATTTTACGGGCTGTAGAAACTGCTTCCTTGGATAATCATAAGAAACAATTACCGGTATTCATATTCTTATTGTAAAATTTAGCAGAACATCATTTAGAATAAATTTCAAGAATGGGCACATATAGAAAAGTTAAGACACTTTTTGAGCAACTTGTGAACTGTGGACCCAGGGGATGATAAATCACAATCTCAACCAAAAATGCATCAAAGCATTAAAACCTCCTGTTTCCTTCATGCTCTTCTTTATCTATTGATATTAATGGAAGAGCAACTTCCGTCAGCATTTAACTATATTTTTGCATACTATTCTTTATCCTAACTGGGACAATAGGATGACTAAACTTGATCATTGGAACACTCACCTGATTGTGCCACTGAACAAAATGGGGTCTTGGAGAATAATTGACAATCTGGATCTCAGAGTTTGTAAAGGAAGCTTGGCAATGTCTATGCCATCTATAATGATCCTTCCTGTTTTTAAAAAAAACACAGATTTTTTGTGGACCGGAAGCGGTGTGGTTTTGTGTGCTGCCTGCATCCCATGGATGTGGCTTTGCTTGTTTGCATAGACCGGTTGCTAGCATGTTGTAGACCGGTGCTGGTCCATGGACCAGGAGTTGGGGACCCCTGTTCTATATAATAGAAACAGAATCCTCTCTTATAATATTAATAAACTAAAGATATATATGAAAATAATTTGAGATTTAGTGGACACAAATGAAAATTTCTTCACTTTGGGAAAGTAACTCTAGTGCATAGTATAGAATAGGGCAGTGATGGCAAACCTTTTAGAGACTGAGTGCCCAAACTGCAACCCAAAACCCACTTATGCATCGTCGGGTGCCAGGTGGGTGTGGCCCATTGGGTGGGTGTGGCCCATTGGGTGGGCATGGCTGTGGTGGTAATGGCAGACTGGGTGGGACTAAAAAGTTCAATCAATCAATTCCAACTTTGCAAGATCTTTTTTTTCCCGCGAGAAGTTGAAATTGATTGATTGATTGAACCTTTTTTTTTGTACACAGCGGCAGAGCCTAAAGTGAAAAGGTTTTATAAAACCCAGCTGAAGGCCTAGGACTGGGGCGATGGCGCACGTGCCTACAGAGAGGGCTCTGAGAGCCGTCTCTGGCACCCATGCCATAGGTTCGCCACCACTGGAATAGGGGATATTTGGCTTGGTAATAATACTTAAAAAAAAGAACTTAGAATTGTAACTGATCATACGCTGAGTATAATGATGTAATGTGAGTAATCTAACATACCAGTTACAAAGGAAAATTCAATTTTATTCTGCATGAATAGAAGTAGCTTCCAAACTGCAGGAAGATTTCTTTCCAATGTGTTTAGTATTGGTCAAGCTCCCCACCTCAAGTTACCAAGTCCTTGAAATACTAAAATCTGAATCAGATGTAGAGCAGGAAAAGAGGCTGAGGAGGGAACTTTGTCTTATGAACAGAAGCTGAGGGATACTTGTTAAACCCTGAAAAAAGATGACGGGGAAGATACGATAGCTCTTTTCAAGAACCTGAAGAGCATGACAACGAAGTAGAGTGAGACTATTCTCTTATCATCCCTGCATGCACGTCAAGGGTATTGGGTCTTACATTCAGGTAGGAAAAATCCTACTGAATGTTAGGAAAGTAGGTCACTTCTTCTTTACTGGATGACTTTAAAAAGAGGCTGGACAAAAATTTATCCAATTGGATTGAGTGATCTCTTCCACTCCTATTATTCCATTGGAATGGGCAGGAAGGTTACATGACCACTTTTAGCCATATATGTATGCTATATATTAATTAACTTTAGAAATCAAAATTAGATGGAAATCCCTTGCTAATTTTGCAGAATTGAGGGAAGCGAATGGAGCAAAAGATATTTTATGTCTTCTTGAGATATCAGGGCAGGGGGGAGGGGAGGAGAAGAATGGGCAAAAGACAGATGGTCCCTTTATTATAAAAGAAAACCAACGATGTTAAAATAAATAAAACAAAAATGGGAGATGTTTACTTTATCAGTACAGATTTACCTTCAAAGGCATCAACCATTCTAAAAAAGGCTAGAGAAAAGGATGACTTCCCACTGCCTGTTCTGCCACATATTCCAATCTGCAAATCAGAAAAAAAAATTGAACTAGGAATGGTACAGGTATTAGTATTAAAAGTACATAGTAGAAACAGATTGTCAGTGGCAGGTTAGATTCTTGTGAAAATAAGAAGTTATTAAAAGTGACTTTGCACTTAGGAATACTACTACTATGTAGAAAGTGCACCTATACAATATTAGTTAATAAGTATCACTTCAGCCTTTCCCTTTTAATTTCATAATTTCCTGAGACAAAAATTGGGAGATTATATCCAACTTTATCTGTCCATGACTAGAAAGACCCAGTGCTGTTCTAATGCAAATTTGGAGAGTTGGTCCAGGAGAGGAAGAGAAAAACCTATTGCATGAGATATCATATCAAAATGTGATCAGAATGTACTGAAAATTTAGGAACAAAATAAATGGCATATCATGTGATTTATTTTTTTTAAAAAAACGTTAATGGATGATTTGAAAGATTTTTTAAAAAGGGAGAGGTTGGTTTTTAACTTGATGTATTGGAAAAATAAAAACTTGAATAAAAAATCTTAAATGAAAAACAAAGGTTTTTTTAAAAACAGTATATGTAGTCTTGAGTGCTATATCTTGTAAGACTATAAATCTATGCATGTTTACCTGAAACTAATTATTCATCTGAATTTACTGTTACATATCCGAATAAAAATACCAAAGATACACAACAGAAAATACTTTCATCAGAACAATATCGTCTCAGAATCATTTTTTAATAGGAGGAGGGCTATCCTATGTAAGATTCAGCAGTTACTTCCATTGAGTTCAGTGTAGTTTATTACCTTCAGATAACTATACATTGTCATACACTTAGGACTATATAATATTATTATAATACTATTACTAAAATAAGAGCCAATTTGGTGTTCTGCTTAAGGCCTCAGGCTAGAAAGTGAGAGACCCTGAATTCTACTTTTGTTTTGAACATGAAGTCAACTGGTTGAGTTTGGCCCACTCATTCTCTCTTTGTCCTGAAAAGGACGCAAGGGCAAACTACTTAAGGACATTGCCAAGAAAATCGTAGGAACTAGTCCAGGCAGTTGCCAGGAATCAAAATTGAATCAAGGGACAAAGTTCCTTCTCTCTGTCACTATCTCCTTCCCTCCCCTGTGGGACTTCCAGATCCAGATGGACAGCAGGTAGTGGCCATCAACCAAACACTGTGGTAGAAGAAAGCTGTAGTGTTATATGTTGTAGCAGTGCCAAGTGACAGCAACTTTGGAATGAAGGAGGAGCTGGAAAAGCATAAGGCCCTGAAGGAGGAACTAGAGAGTAAAAGCCAAAGTGGTCCCAGTAGTAGTAAGATCACTCAGGATTGTGACTCTTAAGCTGGGAGAATGGCTCCAATAGAACCCAGGAATGATGTCAGAGCTCTGTCCAGAAGAGTGCAGTGCTAGGAACCGCTAAGATACTCTCCATAATCCTTAGACCGTCTGGTAGAGGACGTAAGATTGAGGAAGACGTAGACCACTCATGGAGTGAGAAGGCATTATGTTTATATTAACAGCTCTAATCTAAGGAATATGTTTCTGGAATAATTGCCTGTTTTTGTCTGCTGGATGTACCGTAAATGCCGGCATATAAGACGACTTCCGCGAGCGCTGAAATCGGCGCCAAAGACGGGGGTCGTCTTATACGCCGAGTCGTCTTATACGCCGGAAATACTGGTAGTTTCCGGCGTATAAGACGACGTTCTAGGAATGCGGCCCGGCTATAAAGACGGGGGTCGTCTTCTACGCCGGGTCGCCTAATACGGCGGCATATACGGTAGTTTTTATTTAAATTGAGTTTAATTGTTAAATGCATTAATGTACATGATAAACATTTGTATTACCTTTTGTCCTGGAGAGATATGGGCACTGACATGTTTTAGCACAGGCTTCAGAGTGCTATCATAGCGGACACTTAGATTCTGTATTTGAATCTCCCCCTGATCAGGCCAGTTCTGAGGAATCTGCGCTGGAGCTAAATCCAAAAAGAAAGCAGCACACGTCCGTTTGCTTATTTATATGTATATATTAACCATTGGCAGCAAGCATAATCTTCCTAAAGAATCCAGTGCTTCACTGAATATAATTTAAGCAGGTTCTTCTGTAAGTCATACAACATACTCACAAAGCAGCCCTTCATAATTTTCAGCCTCTGTTTTTATAAGGCCATTGAGTCTTTTCACAGCTCCCAGTTGAAGCTCCATATCAGCCAGGTTGCGAACCATCCAGTTTAGGTAGTTAGACACCTAAAATAAATACCTAAGTAAGATTAGTATTTGCAGTTCACATTACAATAGAAGATCCTTTGAAGACTGCCCACGACAATTATATACTCCCAAAAGAATAGGAGTCTCCTTATGCAAGAGTCTGAATATTTTGTAGTTTTGTAACATTAGGCTGTTCATATAAATAAAATTATTGGAAATGTAAGAATCATTGACCAAATAAATGTACCCAAGTTAATTCAGCATGCAATGTACTACATGCTGTATATTTGGGAGAAAATGCACATTGCATCCCTTTGGATGGAAAGAACATCTTTTATTTAATTCACTTACCATCAGAGCATAGGTTAATCCTAAACCTACAAGACCAGAAGAGAGATTATTCTTTAGAGAACTGGTAATGGATGTAACTGCTGCAATAAGCACCACACATGCTCCAATATATTCCTAAAGAAATAAGAAGTGTGTGAGAAATCCCAGTATCCAAGGAAGTACTACGGTTCTTATTCTTCACTACATTTTTACCTAGTTTTAAATAGGGAACCCAGTTCTTTTCTTGTTTATTTTATTTTTTGCAAAATTGCTGAGTATTAAGACAGGCTAGAGAACAACTGCAGGAATTAACCCAATAACAATTGTGGTTTAATAAGGTTTTGAACAGGTGTTTCCCAGTTGAACCCTATATACCAATTTTCCCATTTCACGGAGAATACCATATATATTCTATTTGTGTCATTTGGCTTGCTGTCAGGAAATATATAATTATTTAGATGTCCAGAATATACTATGCATATCATGTTTTTTTTTTAAAAAAATGGTACTTGGTTTAATGATTAAAAATTAAATGGTCTTTAGTCTTTGAACTAAAGACTCAATGAAAGAAATATGCCAAAACCAATTTCTTTCTAAGTCTTATTTAACAAATGTAACATGTTAGGAACAGAGGAGGATTTGAAACTCTATATTGCTATTACATTGTCCCAAAATAGGCAAAAAGAATCAAAAGGAAGTCCGTTTTCTGACTAAATAAGCGAAACAATTATTAGTAAATGCTTATTTCCCCAATGAACTCCTCATTCAGAATTTGTTGGAAAAAATATTTTAGAATTTTATCTAGGAACACTAATTGTACTCCAGATATGTACAATCATTACATACATGTAGGGATTGGTTTTCATAGTGCAACCTTCCCCAGCTTGATGTTTCCAGACTCTTAGACTATTATCTTCATGAGCCACAATGAGTTGAATACAAAGCATCTATGTAATGACCTAAAAGAGAAGCTCGGTATATTATCATTTAGAAGAGCCCCATATTTGTGTTAAGAAGCTCATCCAAAATGAGGCGCAATAATACCAGTTAAATCTTAAATTATGTTTATTAACTGGGTAACTTTTAAAATTAGCAGCCAGTGAAGATCTTTTGGCTAGTAGCTATATAAATACCATAAAAATAGCATGCTGAATGAGAATTGCTCTCTTGGTATGATATGCTTCTGTTAATATAATAAAACAGCATTGTAATGTATCAATAAGAACTTACAGAAATGATGTGCAAACATATTAATTTTTTTTCTTCCTTTAATAGGAAGAGTTTAACTTTGTCAGATTTTTCTTTCTTTAATTTAATAAATTCAATCAGCTAAGAATTTTCTGGCTACAAAAACAATAATGAATTGACCTTTAGCTTCTGCATACTGGTTGGTGAAATTGCTACAAATATAGGCACCCTATTTAAAATCAATTGGTAATCCTAAATAAGATCATAAGAATGATGCGTCTTGTAAAAAAAAAGAGAGAAAAGATTGGGGCAAGTGACATTTATATAATTTTATACCAGAATAAGATACTTGCCATGCGAACTTCCAGCCAACGATTGGCAGCTGTAAGGAAAAGGGAAGCGATGTTGTTAGAATCCGTATATTCAAGAAGCTTCTGTTTAAATCGGGATTCATACCTTTATATACATATAAAAAAAAGACAGATGAACACAGTGGTTATTTTAATAATTATGGTGTTTTAAGACTCTTCTGTTGAAAGTATTCAATTTTGAAAATAGGACACACTAGGTAAAATAATAATTTGTCTCATATTTCTCTGCCACTCACCATTCATTTAGTCATAAGTAAATGCTGGGTTTATGCAGCACTTACTTATAAAGTATATTTATATGGAGGAGGCAAGGAAAGAAGTAGGGTTTTGATAATAGCATGCAGAGCTGGTGAAATATTAGCCTATATTTGAAAAATGTGCAGCTATCACAATCTGAAACTGTTAGCACAAAGTTAAATAAAGCAAAGAAGTGCTAACTAGCTTTTTAACTTGTTTTTACTACTGAGCTAATTTTAGAAACTCAAGATCTGAGTTCTTTGCTTAGTGATTAGAATGCAAACTTCAAATGTCACTTCTACAGCACATAAGGCAGCTGAAAACAATATCTAAATATAGCTGAGTTCCCCACAGGCGCTTGATGGTAAATAAAATACAGGAACTGATAAAAGCCTAGTTCAATTTGGGTTAGAGGTGTATCAGCTAGTTTTAATTCAGTTTGGAAGAGTTTATTTTAGGCAAAATCTGAAATCTGGAGAGGACATTTTAACCCAATGATAGCATAAGGGAAGTAGCATGAGGGAAATGACTGATCCCAGCAGAGCTGTATATTGATTTTCATTATTGGTTAGGGCATCTTTATTTTCTTGCCATGAGGGGAAAACTAAAGTCAAAAACAGAAAGTAATCAACAATTAAAAACATAATGGAACAGTAGGTCTAATTTGCTTGTCAACATATATATGTAAAAAAAATGCTAATTAGCAGGAACAATTTCCAGTAGCCTAACAAATGTGTCATAATTATAGTAATTAAAACATACATATAGAACTAATTTTATTGTTGTACTCAGGGAGTTCATAAAACTGAAAATAGTTTGCAGGCTGTGGTGACTCAGTGCACATCAGCATAAATACTGTAGGATGCTACACTTTTGGAAACTGGATTTTGTATTGGAGACATACTGTGTTGTTTCTGGTTCCCCCCCAGTTCCTAAATGTTAAATTGAAATGTACAACATACATTTCACAATTAATTCAATTGCAGAAACTTAGGAAGCATCCTCTATCTAATTTAATGTGAATATTAATGAATCAACACATAGAAAGAAAATGTTTTCCCAAGAAAAATGTTGTTTCAGATTAATGAAACAAAGGGAGTTCCAGAAAGAAGATGCTTATAACCAACTTGATAGAAACAACTGATGTTTTTCCTAACTTTATTCTTGATATCCATAAAATCATACAGTTAGTCGTCACATGGTAACCACAACTGGGCGTAGCAACTTCATTTCTAAGTGGAAGACATGTGACCACAACGGATTTATGTCACTTCCCATTCAATCACTAAGTGAATCACCATAGTCATTTACTGCATCTTGTAATTTTACTTGTGTGTTCTTGATTAACTAGCTAGTTTCAGAAGTACACAAATGGCGATAATGTGACTGTGGGATATTGCAATGGTCATAAATATAAGCCAGTTGCAAAGCTTCTGAAGGACGATTACATGACCATGGGATGCTGCAATGGTCACAAATGCGAGGACTGGTTGCAAAGCTATTCTTTAAAAAGCATCATAGTACACCTCAATAGTTGTTAAATAAGGCAATTGGTAAGCACGGACTACCTGAATTAGTAGCATTGTTGTGTCATGCTAACTTACTGTATCTCCAATTTATAATTCAAGATTTGGCTGTTTGAAAAATGTAATGGAATTACACTTTAGTAAAAAAAAAAGAGGAAGTTTTTATCTTTCACAATTATTTAAAGATTATTTGTTCTAGACTCGAAAAGTTTAACCTCTCAGCAAATTTGATGGTGTTCTTCACTAATGCTTGATGTTCCAGATTACTCACTAAACTAACAGTTTAAATCCAACAGGGATTTTAATTTTGCATAATCACTCATACTGCTTCACTTAGTTGGTTCTATGATGGACGAGAATTAAATTAAAGTCTGAACACAACCAGTTTATTTTTTGCAATATTAGAAGAATGCAGATTTAAATGAAATACCTGAATGCTCGTATAGTTGTTAGCCCTTCCACTGTCTCTGAAAAGTGAGAAAGTAACGGAAGCTGTGTACTATCATCCAACTGCTGTAGATCCCTAAAATAAAAATTAATTAATTTATAAGAAATGTGTGAGAACATCCATTTTTTACTGTAATGCTTGAAATTCAGAAAGGTTGCATTCTATTTTGCAAGCAAAATAACTCAGTAATCCACATATGTAATCTTACAATGAGAACCTGCTAAAATTGTAAAAACAAGATAGATGGTCCCAACAGGATATTCAAGAGTTTAAAAGTGATTATTTGTGACTTTTTTTTCATTTGTGTTTCCAGATGGATTCTCTCTCTCTCACACACATATTTATTAGCTTCATATAAAGAGACCAGTTCTTCTCATAAAGTAAATATATTTTGGAATGCTTACCTTGATGCTACTCTAAAATATTTCTGGGTGAAATAGCATATGACGGCAAGAGGTACGAGAGCTATCAGAAACACAGGTGTTACATATGAAATCACTGCAAGAGCTGATAAACATAACAAGGTAGAACGACTCAGGCACTCCAGAGTAGCAGGGATATGCTAAACAGACAGACACAAACAAGAAAGAAAAATAAATGTTAACTGTGATGTGCTTGAATTAAGTCTTTGAAATCAGCAGTTCTATTTGACTTTCTCTAGTTCAGAATGGAATCACACCCATTTTGAATATTTGATTTTAGGCCTTTCAGCAAAATAAATATGGATTCTACCGAAATTTTACACTTAGAGCTTGATTACTCTGATATATTTTACCTGGTGGATTGCAGTAGAGTTTGGAAATAAATGAATCTGGTGCAAAAAGGCAAGATTTCACCCGAAGAATTAAGAAGTTATCATGGGTGCTAAGGATCTTGTGCAAGGTCTGGAAGAAGTCAGATGAGAAATGAGAACAAGGGAAAAATGAAATTGCCATGTTGTCGGACAATTTAGAATTAGGAAGAAAATCAAAACTGAAGACTTCTAGGGAGGAGGTGAATTATCCCAAAGAGTAGAGACGCAATAAATGAAACTTAGATAAGTTAGGTGTGGAGCTATGGGTACACCCAGAAAAACAGGGATACACACACCAGGAGAAAGGAGACGAGCAGAAGAACTTTAATCTTGGAGACACGGCAAAGAAAAAAAGAGGAAAAGAAGAGGCTAAGCCAGCTAGAAAGCAGTAGCCTATGAGATCAATTTAAAATTTTAATTTTGTTAAATTTAAAGTTAAAATTAATTTAAATTTAAAGATATTAAGAGCCAAAGATTTCAGGTTAGGGAAGGAAGATGACTACTGAATGATGAAAAGATAAAATCCTACAGCCTTTGCCTTCCTGAGATTCTACTCGGTAGCTAACAAGGGACAGACACAAAGGATTCAGAAGCATCCCCAGGCAGCTCAGCCAATGGAGAGAGGGAGAGGGAGAGGGAGGGAGAGTGGGCAGTGTCATCAGTGAATTGGCTAGGGGAGTTTTACAGTTAGAAGAGATGAAAAGAGAAGTGGATTGGAGACTAATCCAGGAGAAGGGATCAAGCAGTGTGTGCGTGCGTGCGTGCGTGCGTGCGTGCGTGTGTGTGTGTGTGTGTGTGTGTGTGTGTGTAAACCACAGCTATTTGAGATTATATGCAAAAACAGCTTTTTACTAAAGGAGTAGGAAAAAATGATTTAAATACCGTATGTGTTGTGCATTATGTATCATTACAACTGTGTTATGTAGTGCAGCTTTCAGGAGATTGTTCATCTGTTTAGTATAAACTGTGAGCAAGCCTTGCAGAATTCAAAAAGATTCATCCTGTTCTCTGTTCATAAATAGAGATTAGACACTTTTCTCAGTGGATTTCTTAGAAGGGAGGATGGAAATTTCCACACTGGCTAGAAATTTGGTAGCAAATGTGAAGGATAGGAAGCCAGATGGAGCTTGCTTGGGAGATATTTGGGGAGACAGCTCCTTGAACTCAGTACCATTTATTCATTAAAGCTATACCTAAGTAATGCCTGATAGTTGAATGAAATTTTAAACGGGGATGACCCTATTGCAGAATAAGTATACTTTGCCTAAGATCAGGCTATAAGAAGGTAATCTAATTATGAAGCAATTTTATTGGTCAATATTCAAAAGTCCTCCTCCAATCCCAGAGAGACCGCTTTGGAGTCAGAAGGCAAATGTCTTCTCAATGACAGCAAAGAACTAGAAACTCTAAAATGAGATGCGCCTAGATTGACAAGAGGCAGCCTTTGATCCACTGCATTCAGTGCATATTCACTTCTCATAGAAGTCAAAGGAGAATCTCTTGCTTAGTCCCTGGAATAGCTGAAGGCATAAAAACTACTGTGCAATGTAACCAAAGGCAAGTCAACCACAAACCCTGTGCTTATCCTATCTTTAACCAGCTACAGATTTGGAAGCAGTGAAGGAGTTGCCGTTTCATTTATCTCCCTGACCTCACTTAGGAATGTTCTGCACTATTTACAACAACGTCTAAACATGTTTACTTAGAAACAAGATCCATGGCATTCAGCAGGATTGATTTCTGAATAGTATGATACTGCTGGTTTTCATTTTAAGAATAAGAAATGAAGATGTCCTGATGGAAATGTTATATATCCATGTTCTGATAGTGATATTATAGTATATATGTGATATTACTCCACATGAATGTTATTTATATAACATTTTATAATATGATCTGAGTGTGGCATTCATTCTAATTATTCCTATTTTTTTGTATTGAAACTCAGTACGGAAATCAGAATCCATTGTCTCTTAAGTACCTGATCAATAGTGTTACAATCTGCTGAAAATCTGTTCAAAATACTTCCCAGGGGTGTGGTTTCAAAAAATCTGTAATATACAATAAAAGGAGAATGGAAGATTAAAAATTGATTTCTGTGTATTTCAAATTTTCTTTACTAGGCCTTTTAAAATTATTTTATTTAGCAATTGTTAATGCAAAAATTATTCCATCTTCAAAAAATTTTACAGAATTCCAAATGATTATATGATTCTAATATTATTACATTTTACATGTACGAATCATTGCTAATCAATCATTTTCTAATCAAGGAAATGATTAGTAAAATAGTCTGCATTAAGAAAAAACTATAAAAATTAACATTGGAAATTAAATAAAATAAAGGAATAAAAGAGAAATTTAGCATGATACTTGCTTTTAATTAAATAATGTACATAATGTACAATTCCAAGAATTAGTCCAGAATTGTTTAAATTGTTTAGTGATTGGATTATTTTATCTTTAAATATCTTTAAATTTTCACTTATATCAAACATGGAAACAATTTAACAAGTTGGAGAGAAGGCATGCTGGTTGTTGTTGTTGTTTTCAATGACATAGCTACTCAGACCTCAACAGGACAGTCAAGCTTCTAGATATAAATTTGGTAAGGACATGATGACATGCTTCTTTTCAGTGCTTAACATTATGACAATATAACCACCATAAATTTAATGAAATTTCATGACATACCATATTAAACAGTAAAAATATAGGATTTGAATATATTTCTAAGTTTAACATTCACAAATACTACTTTATTGCCACCTTATGTTTCTTCTTGAACATAACAAGGAACATAACAAGTTCTTCTTGAACATAACAATGTACTGTATATGCTTGTATGTGTGTGTATAACACACACACACAAATATATTGATAAAAAAATCTTCCTCTTTTAAATTTATTTATTAAACTTGCTTCCAATCTCCATATATACAATTGGCTCTCTAGTGGTTTCTATTCAATTCCATGGAGAAAAAATATTAAAAAAGAGAAAGGAATAGACTAAGATTCATAAAAACATGTTGAGATGGATTAAAATTACAAACTATTTGATTATGCTGATTACATTAGCCTGATTAAATTAAGATTAGATTAGATTAAACTGTAAACATAAAGCATTAAAATTATGAGATCATTAGTGATAAGGACTCCCCATGCCATTGTTTGTTTAATAAAACAGGAAAATGTATACTTTCCTAATACAATTCTACAGGATGTACAAATAATGCAATTAAACTTTTAAATAAATAATTATTAATTATTTAGGACATAATTGAACACCAAAGGTTATTTAAAGATTACACATAACTTCATTAACATAGCATTCTATCTTCTTGTTTCATATAATACAGTACCTCATTGGGGCCAGAATAATTTTATTCAGAAGACTGCAGTGAACTTTTTTGGCAACTTTTAAGCCTGTCCATTCTACTGCTATTGATGTTACAAGGCATAATATAATCCCAATACAACAGAGAATGCTGAATATCTTTGAATAGGAAAAATGGCTAAACTTGGATTCCTAAAAAAAAAGGAAGGAGAAAAAAAAGACTATTGCAAAACTATAGAATTAGTTATTCTATGACAGGTTTATTTTAACATGGTATGGTCAGACCAGATAATCATTTCCAGCCAACTTCATCTTTTTTTAACTATTGTGCAAAAAAAGGTAATCAATATTTGAAATTCAATTTTTACAAAGCATTGGATGGTACCTGAGATTAAAAATATGTTATAACAACAACAACAACAACAACAACAACAACAACAATAATGTTGGAAGGGACCTTGGAAGTCATCGAGTCCAACCCTCTGCTCAGGCAGGAAACCCTACACTATTTCGGACAAATGGCTGCCAGTCTCTTCTTAAAAACTTCCAGTGTTGGCGCATTCACAACTTTTGGAGGCAGGTTGTTCCACTGGTTAATTGTTCTAATGTCAGGAAGTTTCTCCTTAATTCTAGGTTGCTTCTCTCTTTAGTTAGTTTCCATCCATTGCTTCTTGTCCTGCCTTCAGGTGCTTTGGAAAATAGCTTGACTCCCTCTTTTTTGTGGCAGCCCCTGAGATATTGGAACACTGCTATCATGTCCCCCCTCGTCCTTCTCTTCGTTAATACAATATAATACAATAGGAAAAGATAACATTTCCTTCATAGCCAATTTAAGACCTTATGATCGTACTGTCATATCCCTGCTTTCTTGATAACTATACCCGGGTGGTTTTGGATTGCCCTCATTTTTTTCTTTCTAATCTGGTCTAAATTGTGCTATTTTTTTTTATAGTTCATCCTCCAAGTAGTAACCAGGTTTAGCTTGGTCACTAAGATATACTAGTACCAAATTAAGTGTATCTAATTGGTGGAACAGAGGAAGGGAATTCACCTTGATGAAGTCATGCTATGAGAAGTTAAAATAAAAGATGATGGGAAGAACAAACATGAAAAGATGAGTTTTGAAACCACACATACCTGACAAAAAGAGCAGTTTTTCCCCATCTCAGAAGAAATAGCATCAGATGTCCACAAGGCTAGCCAATAGTCAATGGACACCATGACCGAATGTTTTAGAAATTGAGAAAAGATCAACAGAGGCAAGAAGAGAAATCCTGCTGAGCTGAGATACTTTCCACATGCTTTCCATGACATCTCTGTTTTTCGATGAAGGACAGAAGATAAGTTGTCATCATCATCACTCTCAGGCATCTCGTCTATAAATTGACAGAAAGAGCACTAATGAGTTGCAAGAAAATTTCCTGATTGTCTATCACCTAAATACTGACAAATAGTAACTGATGATAATGAAAATAAATCTTTTGGAAAAACTAATTTACCATCATCCTCTTCTTCATCTAGAAGGATTTCTTGAGAATGCATTGTCTTTTTAATATTCTTCTTGTCTAATACAGTTTTTCTTTCAATTAGAGTCTCCTAAAAGGTAGGAAAAACAAGAGAATTTGAATACTGCAATTATTTTTTTATTTATTTTCCTGTCAAATAATTATATCTCACAATTGTTTGGATATTAAAAATTAGTGAGCCAAGTACATTTAGAGGCAATGAATTTTTTAATTCTGTTAAAGAGATCCCAGGACATATATTCCATCATTTGAAGCTAATGAAGATATAATGTTGGCTTAGCCATTAACAAGGATTAAGAAATCAAACTATTATATGAGTTTCAGAAGTTGGGTTGGTATATCATTATGGTTGATGTCTATGGAGATTCTCAGTTATCCGGGTCACAGTTGTCCCAAAGGTGCTTTTTCAGGAGGCAACTGGACTTTCTTTGTTTTTCTTTGAAGATGTTTCATTTCTCATCCAAGAAGCTTCTTTAGCTCTGACTGGATGGTAGGGAATAGAAGGATTTATATTCCTTGCAGACAGCTGATCATTTACATTATTTTAGAGAGTTGCTAATGCCATTTGGAGGTTTATCTGTGTTCTCAGGATCACCTGAGTAGTGTAAATATGTGTGGAGTCTTCTTGGCTGCAGGAGGGACGGCCATAGTCTGGATGACTGAGAATATCTGTGGATATTTGGCTATGCACTTTGGGATGAATACCCTTCAGGTGTGGGAGTATGAACAGATTTCCAGAGGACATTGCAGACTGGAGGAATCAGTTGTGCTTCGGTCTGCAGCAGTGAGGGGATCCAGGGCAGAAAAACATCTTGCCAAGAAGGCTCCAGACACATTTGCATTACTCTGGTGACATACTGCTCGGTATTTTAAAATTATAAATGTTTAATTCACATACAACATCTTTCCTGAACTGGTACATTCTAGATGTTTTATGCTTCACTTCTTAGAATTCTAAACTAGCAAGGTGGTTGTTTAATGAGAATGGAAACCCTGTGCATTTTTTCACCAGTTGTATGTTATTCTTCAGAACACTATTTTCCTAATATAACTTAGAGTACAGTAAAATAACCATTTAAACTAGAGGAGTTAATAAATTGCACTATATAAATAGGTGCATAAAATCTCCAGTGCAACATAGCAATACAAAATATTAATATCTAATTATGTTAAAATTCTACAATAAACATTTTTGCCTGTCACTACCGAGATTAAAAAAACAAAACAGAACAGGCCTTTTCTAGTTCTTGGTCCTGTCGATTCATTAGTGTTTTCCAATGTTCAAAGAGCTCAGATTCAGCTTTCTGGATATCCTTCAGTGTGCCTTCTCGCTGAATGGTACCATCCTTCATTGCAATAATCTGGAAAAATCAACCTTTTAATCATCACAAAAATGGTTTTTTTTAAACAACATCCATTAATAGTTGCTTTTGTTATATAGGAATTTAATTAAAATTAAACTCTTCCAGAAGAAGTAGGATTAGAAAGATGGCATTCTGTATACTTAGTTCATCTGTATCAGTCTTCCCCAATTTGACATGTAGAAGAATTAGAGCTCAAATTCTCAAAAATTTTGGTTAATTACAGTATATCCTCTGCAAATGAAAAGGTTTCAAGCCAAAGACTATCCTAATCAGGATATATATTTTTAAGAATTGTACCTATTTAAAGTGAGTGTTGTTAAAAATTTTGGGGAAATTTTGCAAAAAGAAACAAAGGATTATTGCATCTTGACCAGACTAAGATGAAACTACTGCATTATAAGGTAATGTAGCAGTGCTAGCTTGTACTCCTAAGTAAGGCAAAGATTGATTATGTGTATAACTTTTAAGTTAACTCCTATCATCTAATTCATATTTAACACCTGTAGTTTGGAATACATATATGGATTGGATTTTAGAAAGCAACAGATTAATATAACACTAAGCATTTTACAACATCTTCCCTTTTGCTTTTCCTTTCCATTAGAGTACTTAGCAGGGCAACTGAGTTGAACCATAAAACATGGTATGAAATCTTTACAATTTATTTGTGTATAGCATCAAAAATGCATTACAAGTGGAAGCTTAAGTGCTTTAATATGCTGGTCTGTGATCGTAATAAAGATTTGATTTGATAAGTGCTTTAACTACGGAAAGAAATAGAAAAGACCAATGGGGTTTGTAGGTCTTGCAAATGATGAGCTTGCGTTACAAGCTCTGCCTATTTTATATATGTATATGACTTGGGGAAAATAATGAGCCTTGCATCACAATTCTGTTATACTGCTGACATTATTCTGATCCCCTTGCCACTATGGAGGAACTATTAGAAAGGACTTTTCACTTTCACCAAAATTAATTGGATTAGAAGAGATTACAGTGGCTCACAATTAAATGTTTGTGACTGTTTTTGTATAATTCCTTTTCAATCAATGAATTGTTTACTGAAACTGCTTAAATTACTGGCAAATTCATAAATGATCAGAAGAGAGATTGAAACACATTTCAGAAATAAAAAAATTGTTAGGTTTTGCTGCAGTAAAAACTTATTTACTTATTTATTATTTACAGCAAAAAACAAACCTGAAGGACCAAGAATTTAAATAAATTAAATTCTGATCAGAGGTATTAACCTCTGATCAGAAGCTGATAGTGATCAAATGTGCGAGTGAGCAAAAGAGTTCGTGAACAAGAGAGACAAGGTGATCTCACAGAGGCATTCTAACCTTTGTATCTTTTTTCCACTGAGATGTGACCCTGTTTATTTTAACAGTTTTAATAGAGCTTTTTTGAAAAACATTGTGATTTAATGATGTTCTCATTTATTCATTTTTAGTTATGCTTTTGCAAAGTTTGGGGCTGAGATAAATAGCAATATCAATAGCACTTAGACTTATAGACTAGGACTCGGAGTCCTAGTAGACAATCACCTAAATATGAGCCAGCAGTGTGCTGCAGCTGCCAAAAAGGCCAACACAGTGCTAGGCTGCATTAACAGAGGGATAGAATCAAGATCACGTGAAGTATTAATACCACTCTTCAATGCCTTGGTAAGGCCACACTTGGAATACTGCATCCAGTTTTGGTCACCACGATGTAAAAAAGATGTTGAGACTCTAGAAAGAGTACAGAGAAGAGCAACAAAGATGATTAGGGGACTGGAGGCTAAAACATATAAGGAACGGTTGCTAGAATTGGGTATGTCTAGTTTAACGAAGAGAAGGACAAGGGGGGACATGATAGCAGTATTCCAATATCTCAGGGGCTGCCATAAAGAAGAGGGAATTAAGCTATTTTCCAAAGCACCTGAAGGCAGGACAAGAAGCAACGGGTGGAAACTAATCAAGGAGAGAAGCAACCTAGAACTAAGGAGAAACTTCCTGACAGTGAGAACAATTAATCAGTGGAACAGCTTGCCTCCAGAAGCAGTAAATGCTCCAACACTGGAAGTTTTTAAGAAGAGACTGGACAGCCATTTGTCCGAAATGGTTTAGGGTTTCCTGCCTGAGCAGGGGGTTGGACTAGATGACCTCCAAGGTCCCTTCCAACTTTACTACTACTACTACTACTACTACTACTACTACTACTACTACTACTACTACTACTATTATTATTATTATTATTATTATATACCACCCCCATAGTGCTTTACAGCAGAGGTCCCTAACCTTTTGGGCACCAAGGACCGGTTCTGTGCAGAAAGATTTTTCCACTGACCAGAGAGTGTGTGGTTTTGTGTGCTGCCTGTATCTTGCAAATGGAGCTTCACTTCTTTGTGCAGACCAGTTGCTGGCATGCCGTGGCCCGGTACAGATCCACAGACTGGGGGCTGGGGACCCCTGCTTTACAGCACTCTCTGGGCAGTTTATAATGTGAGCATATTGCCCCCAGCAATCTGGGTCCTCATTTTACTGACTTTGGGAAGGTTGACCTTGAGCCGGCAGAATTGAACTCCAGCCTGTGGGCAGGATTTGCTGGCAATACTGCACTTTAACCACTGTATCACCAGGGCTCTTTGTAAATAATTATGAATTTAGTTTAATTTATATTATGTATTTTCTCTCTTATTATCATCATAACAAGAGGGTAATACCCTAAAAGTTAGACCATAAATAGATCTACATTTCTATAAATAATTTAAATGTAATGAAAGAGATAGGGAAGTTTCCAAATCCTATTTTATTTATTTATTTATTTATTTATTTATTTATTTATTTATTTATTTATTTATTTTATGAGACTTATATACCGCTTTAAGTGCAAGCACTCTCTAAGCGGTGTACACCAGTAAGCAATGTATATATATATTTACATTGCCCCCAACAATCTGGGTCCTCATTTTACCTACCTCGGAAGGATGGAAGGCTGAGTCAACCTTGAGCCGGTGAGATTTGAACCGCTGACCTGCTGAACACAGTCAGCTAAAGTGGCCTGCAGTACTGCACTCTAACTGCTGCGCCACCTCGGCTCTTATTTTCCTGTTTAATGCAAATAAATATGGTCCTAAACATGCAAATATGCAAATGAGACATGTATTTTGCTGTTTATAGTTGTTTGCATTATTTAATGGAGATTAATAAATAAAGCATGAATTGCCCTGAGAGTTATAGCATCACCTGGGGTAGGATTACTAGGATCTATAACAGTTTCAAATTACAAAACAAATATCTACTAGGGTTGCAATAATATAACATCACTACTAAAGGCAGGTGAGGCATAAAAACCAAAGTTAAGCACACTTATGTAGCAGTGGGCACAATTTACCAGAACAAGTTAAAAGTACTTAATAGTACTTTTACAATTTAAAAGTATTTGCTGAATCACACCTACACACCATTTCAATATTTTGAACATAATATTAAGATTAACAAGTCAGTATAAAGAAGCTTCATTACCCAGTCAGCATGGGGCAGATACTGTAGTTTGTGGGTAACTAAAACAATGGTTTTCTTGTCTGCTCTTAGCAAATTCAGAATTCCTTCTTGCATGAGATGATCACTCAAGTGGATATCTAGTGCTGAAAATGGATCATCCTAAACAAGAAAATAGATGTTACCAACTAATGATATTTCAGTACTATAGTTTTTCTGTTTTTTAAATATTTTAGGAGAATTAAAATCAGTGCTTGCTGACAAGATGGGTGGGATGGGATATGGATACTGGAAATAACCAATTTACAAAAACTAGGTAAGAGAGAAAGAGGAGACAATTCAAGAATTTAAAAAAAATCTCACTTTTTTCAGCCTGAAGGAAAGGAGTTTGCTAATTTAGGCATCAAATTGTCCCTCTATGGGATGGGTTTCACTATGCCATTACTGCCTTTGAGGAAAGGGATCTGTCTTCAGTGAGCTGTCTAAGGGTTCAGAAGCAGTGAGTTAAGATTTTGAGTTGCAAATGCCAAATTGCAAGGCTGGGCTAGCTGGGAATATTAATAAAGCCCAATTGAGACAGAGAGGGTTCACATGGCAGAAGCCTTAAAAGCACACATGCAAGGACTATTTGTTGTATACAATGTTTGTAATAACCACTTTTGTGTTTTAAGTTGGGTCCTTGCCTGCACTTAAACTACAATAATTAATATAGACATCCACTTAGCAGATGGCTCTGGACAATTAACAAACAACAGAAACAGAAACAAAATAGGAGAAGAACTTAAAGCCAATTTAAAAAAGACTACCCAATATGCTTTGAATCATTCAACAAATATCAAAACAAAACCAACAAGATGGCCCATTACTTAAGAAAGAAACAGTTTTTCAAAGTCTTATGGAATGCCAGCAAGGTCAGGGTCAAATCTCTAGACGTATGGGGATCCATAGGACAGGTGCCATGACAGAGAAGGAATGCTTCCTTGATCTCATTAGATGACATTGTCTAATTAATAGACAATAACATGCCTACTGCATCAGAAATAAGGGGAGGTGGTCAGTCTTGCAAATAACTGGCCTGTGCCATTACAGGTAGTTCTTGTTTAGCAACTGCCTTGTTTAGTGACCATTCTGATAGGGTTAGAAGCTCTGGTTTCCTTCATTTTAAACAATGCCATCTACTGGGACCCCAGGAGTGCATCTTCTCTATCATAGCAATGTTCCCCTGGAGGGCATTATGTAGTCATTTTATGACTACAGCAAATTGTGAGTAGTAATTTGTGATGTCTAAGGTCCAGTTTGTTGTTGTTGTTGTTAATTGCAAAGTCGTGTCTGACCCATCCCGACCCCATGGACAACGTTCCTCCAGGTCTTCCTGTCCTCTACCATCTTCTGGAGTCCATTTAAGTTCACACCTACTGCTTCAGTGACTCCATCCAGTCACCTCATTCTCTGTCGTCCCCTTCTTCTATTGCCCTCAATCTTTCCCAGCATTAGGCCCTTCTCCAGTGAGTCCTTCCTTCTCATTAGGTGGCCAAAGTATTTGAGTTCAACTTCAGGATCTGGCTTTCTAAAGAGCAGTCAGGGTTGATCTCTTCTAGGACTGACCAGGTTTGAATGCCTTGCAGTCCAAGGGACTCGCAGGAGTCTTCTCCAGCACCATAGTTCAAAGGCCTCAATTCTTTGGCGCTCAGCCTTTCTTATGGTCCAACTTTCACATCCATACATTGCAACTGGGAAAACCATGGCCTTGACTATACGCACTTTTGTTGGCAGGGTGATGTCTCTGCTTTTTAGTATGCTGTCTAGATTTGCCATAGCTTTCCTCCCCAGGAGCAAGTCTTTTAATTTCTTGGCTGCAGTCCCCATCTAAGGTGATCTTGGAGCCCAGGAAAATAAAATCTGTCACTACCTCCATTTCTTCTCCATCTATTTGCCAGGAATTGAGAGGGCTGGATGTCATGATTTTGGTTTTCTTAATGTTGAGTTTCAAGCCAATTTTTGCACTCTCCTTCTTCACCCACATCAAGAGGCTCTTTAGTTCCTCTTCACTTTCTGCCATTAGAGTAGTATCATCTGCATATCTTAGGTTGTTGATATTTCTCCTGGCAATCTTAATTCCAACTTTTGATTCATCTAGCCCTGCCTTTCTCATGATGTGCTCTGCATATAAGTTAAATAGGCAGGGCGACAGTATACAGCCTTGCCAGACTCCTTTCCCAATTTTGAACCAATCAGTGGTTCCGTGTCCAGTTCTCACTGTTGCTTTTTGACCTGCACATAGGTTTCTCAAGAGACAAAGATGATCTGGTATTCCCATCTCTTTAAGAACTTGCCACAATTTGTTGTGATCCACACAATCAGAGGCTTTAGCATAGTCAATGAAGCAAAAGTAGATGTTTTTCTGGAACTCTCTAGCTTTCTCCATGATCCAGCATATGTTGGCAATTTGATCTCTAGTTCCTCTGCCTCTTCAAAATCCTCCCTGTGCTTCTGGTAGTTCTCGATCCACATACTGCTGGAGTCTAGCTTGTAGGATTTTAAGCATAACTTTATTAGCATGTGAAATGAGTGCAATGGTGCGATAGTTTGAACATTCTTTGGCATTGCCTTTCTTTGGAATTGAAATGTAAACTGACCTTTTCCAATCCTGTGGTCACTATTGAGTTTTCCAAATTTGCTGGCAAATTGAGTGTAGCACTTTTACGCATAGACTAAATGGCATAAATGGAACAAATAGCAATGGAGAATTATTTCTAGAATTTATCTGTCCACTCAGATGGACAGATGGTCTTAGATATATCTGATGTTGGGAACTGGCATCATACTGGGGAAAATATTCTACTGACTTTGTGGATCCAGAATATGAATTCTTGATAGAATTGGTTGTTGTTAGTCAAGGAATTTTGAAATGTCAGGGTTTTAGGTTGAAGAATGTCATTTATAGAGAAAAGAAAGCCTTTTCGGTTTAGATGATAGAATTAGTAACAGTAAACCTACCAGAAATACCACATTTGTCTGTTGGTAAAGAGCTCTTGCTACACTGATTCTTTGGCGCTGACCTCCAGATAAATTAATACCCTTGGGAAAAAGATAAAATAATTCAGTTAGAAACCTATACAATTTTGAGACATTATTGTTCAAATTATGCTTTCCAAAACCTGACATTTCAAGGTATGCTTAAAAGGTAAACCAGTCAAAAGTATCAAAAGTTATTAATCAAGTTAATCAGAATTTACATACTCATTCTAAAAAACACCCTAATTATATCTGAATAATGTATATATTATTTCTAAAATACAATGTATTTCATCATTCAATTATTCATCCTATTAATCAATGGTAATTATTCTCAAGATACAGCTGGAAAAGTAAGACTGAGGTAACAGCTTAGTCAGGATTATTGTATTCATGACTTAGAAATTATATAAATCAATGCAAGTTAAAATGCAATAGTTCATATAGCTGTCCTTTGACAATGCTATGTATTAACATGGACATTGCAAAGAATTAACATATCAAAGCTAAACTTCTGTGGCATAGCTCAGCCTCAATGTCTTCTATTGTTCCTTGGACATTCTCTAGCATTCTAATATTTTTCTTTATCTTTTAATATTGTATTTTAGCCCTTGTATGTTCTATTGATACTACCATGTCCATGAAAGAACATCAACTGCAAATCTAGATCTACTGAAGCAATGAATGAAATGTCTAGATGAATAATGAATAACAAATCTATATTATTGCTGTTAGATGACCGAAACTGTTTGAATATCTGAGCTCCTAGTTTATGAGAGAATTATCATTGGTACCTAAGGCAAAATAAGTTTCTTTTTTCATTATTTCAGCCTTCAGTAAGGAAATATATTCCATGTTTATTAACATGTGCCTTTCTACTTCTTACTTTAATTGGACTATTCTAACATGACTTTCATAAATGCTTTCTAGATAATGAAAAAAATGTTGTTTTGTTTACTAAATATACTTTCCCAATAGAGTATTTCAGTCAGTGCTAGAGACACCAGAGATGTTGAGATATGGCAGATAGAAGAAAAGCTGTAACACTGTGTATTAAATATAACACCTTCATCCTAAGGATCTGAAACTGAGTTTGCTGTACAAAGCCATTTTCTCAAACACCAGTTATAGATTTAAGACCATGTGATAACCTTTGAGTGCTTAATGTTTTATAATTATACATAGTCACTAACCCTCTCTCCAATCTGTGTTTGGTCTCCATGAGGTAGTATGTCAATATCAGGTTGAAGACAGCAAGCATCAATTACTGCTTTATACCTGTGGAAACAAAAAGGGTAATTGTCAATTCATGTGGAGATTGCCTCACCAGCATATTTTATGTACTTAAAAGCAAGATTAATCAGATGGAAAAGTCACACTTTGGAAAATGCATGCTTGCTAAGCACTTATTTTTCTAATGGGAATCCCACCTGTTTCATGCAAATAAATTATACTTGAATAGCTCATTGTCAAATATTTTGAAGCTAAAAAAAGTGTGCCTTGGTTCTGTATTCCTTGGAGACTATAATCTACAACTGCCTTTAGGGGCTTCAGGATCTAAATGATTTAAATCAAATTATTTGCTAGTTTAAACTTGTCAACACTGTAGGTCAAGAGCATGACATTCATTTATTTGTACTAGGAAGTGTAAATTACTACATAAAATAAATTGAAAAAATCTAAAATGTGATGGCAGTGTCTAAAAAAATAAACATTAACAAGAGAAAAAGAAGGACTTAAGAGAAGGTGATATAATGGACAACTGTGAGAGTGTTATGTTTAAATTGCTATTTAATAAAGAGTGCTAAGACTTTGGAATTATTCTTAAGACTTCTTTGAGAAGTCATCTTGTACTGGATATATCACGATAGTGATTCCATATTATTTCTGCAAAATCTGAGAATATGACTTGTATTGCCTCATAATATTAATACAAACATAAATAAATGACTTCTTAAAGAAGGATGTCAGAAACAAATGTGGCATATTATAACTAAAAAAACAAAACAAAAACTACCTAGTACTGAAATGTACTCAAACACATTGATTACTTATTTTATAAATAATTTTCCAGGTTGGAAAACACATTCTTTGAGAGACTTTTCAGGAAAAGAGAGATCCCTCATCCATATGGGTTGATGCTTCCGATGTTTACATAGTTGAAAGGTAACTATAGCTGATACAAAGACTCAACATTTGCACAATGTAGCTGGGAAAATAACATTGTCAACAACAGTAAAAATGTTTATCGACAGGATGATAATGAGGACTGACTATAATTAGTTTTTACATGGCTCTTACACACATTACCTTTGTTTATTGAAGGGGCTTTCAAAAGTGATATTTTCTTCCACAGTAGCATTTAACAACCATGGCTTCTGAGAAGCATATGCCACTGGCCCTCTTTTTCTGAAAAAAAGAAAGGAACTCATCCAAGTGCTTCTATGTACGATGTCTATTTACTTTCAAAGATACTGAAAGGATTATTCACTACAATGTTACTTTTATGTCTTCTTTCAAAGACAAGTTAATATTTCCTATTGTTCATAAAAAAAAAAGGAATGAGCGATGTGGTGGCCTAGTGGTGAAGATGCTCATCTCCTACTTGGAAGGCTGAGAGTTTAATCCTAGTAATGGCAGATGCTTCTCTCCTAGGGCGCAAGGAAAAAATACCTGCCATGAACTCTGTGTGGGTCAGGAAGGGCATTCTGCCAGTAAATGCTCAGCTCCACCCAGTCGCCCTGACTCTACTCCGAATTAAGGGATTACAAGATCGTAAAAAAGGAGTTCATAAAAAAGGAATACTGTCATTAACTGCTAAGTGCATTATCAGTTAAATTACTCTTTGTAAATTTGTTTGCCTTAACTGTATGCAAGGTTGTAGTGAAGCTACTTGGAAGTCAGCTTAGCTCCCAATTTGATATTCTTTACATATATAATTTTTTATTAAGAATTTTGATTATAATGGTAAAATCTTATACAAACTAAATGTAAAGAAAAAAAGAATAGGAAGGAGTAAACAGTGCAAGACAAAAAAGAGAAGAAAAAGTAAGAATATAATAAACAGAAAAGAAAGCAGTGACTTTGAATCTTCATCACAGCAAATATAAACAAATTTAGTGATTTTTCATCCCCTCTAAAATTGCAAACATTTATCTCTTTATCCCATATCTTATATATAAACAAATCCATGAAACATCATCTTTTCAGTCCAGGTGTCATGAGAAAGCCCAGAAAAGATTACTAGAAGAAACAGCCTTGATCCATTAAACCAACTTATATTTCTTTCTTTTATTTTTAACAGTCTTAATCTTTAGTGTATTCAGATATTGACATAGGAATAATCTCTCTTCATTTTTACTTTGTTCCGTCACTGATATTTCTTCAAGACTTTAATAAGCCTTTTTTTTGTAAATCCAGTAAAAAAAAATATATCAAGATTTGTCTCTTGGTTTTCATTTGGATTTCATTTTTAAATCTTAAACGCACTCAGTTTCTTTTATATATCCAATGAAACATCCTTTTCTGAGTCATTATCTTGGCCTGTCAGTTGTAAATCCACTTTTGATACTATCTCTAGCTTGCCAGATAAAATTTGTTCCACATTTGTCATTTCTTAAATAACATCTTTTTGACATAGAAACAGACATTATTACTAACATTGTTGATATTGTAGTTACTATTTTCTCATTCCATTCCTCAAACGTTTTCTTCAATATTTTTATTGTCATAATGCCTTGCAACATTTCAGAGTTTTAATTCTTTACCTAAATTCTTTAGTTCCTCATAGTATCCAGCTTTTTAAATTATGAAATTGCTTATCTTTGTTTTGTCTTGTAAAAAACAAAACAGAATCAATTTCCCATGAGTGTTTGTTTTTTAAAATTAATTCCAAAATATTGTCATAAAAGTTTCAAATCTCACAGGCTCAAGGTTGACTCAGCCTTCCATCCTTCCGAGGTAGGTAAAATGAGGACCCAGATTGTTGGGGGCAATGTAAATATATATATACATTGCTTACTGGTGTACACCGCTTAGAGAGTGCTTGCACTTAAAGCGGTATATAAGTCTCATAAATAAATAAATAAATTCCAATTTTATCTGGGTGCTTAATCTATTTATAACTTTCTAAGATCAAAATCTCATTTAGCTTTTTGTTGTTTCCTTGGTCTTTGCTGTAGTCATCATCTCCACTTTTACAGAGCGGACTTGACTTTGTCATACTTCCGTGGACGACATCCCAGTTTGGCATTTCAGTAGTAAAAGAAACTAAAGTTATTAATTCCTCTGAACAATTGTGTGGTGAGTCATTCTAGAGTATGTATCACCACATTAATTAAATATGAAAGATGACATCTCTGATTAGATTGTCTCTAATTTGAAAGAAAACTGAATCATTATGAATGTTTATGTCCTTGACATCTACTTATTTCATTGATAATCATAGGGGTTCAGATATCTTAATGAGCAGAAACATTTATTAGCTATGTCATTTTCCTGAATTATGCATGATTTAACAATTATCCAAATTATGCACAATTTAGCAATTATGTTGTACCTTTAGTCATGATATAGTTCTTTCCTGATTTTACATATCTCAATCCATTGAGAATGTCACTTAGTCAATAATGCGTTTTTGCCTCGATATAAGTTCTTTGCCTTTTTCTCTCTTTTTTACTCTCTAGCTTCAAAGAAATGCCAATCAACTGACTGACACTCAGTGTTAAGTGTGCTTTTACTTTACTTTAGCAGTGCAGACAAAAAGTATTTTTTCAAAGAAGCATAGAAACACCAGATAGCATTACTCTAGTAATATAGTGTGTGGGCTGTTCTGATTTTTGCACATCAGAGAATTATGATAAAATACGGATTCTCTATAAAGCAGAATTTCTCAGTTTACAAAGTTGGTAGGAGTTATCTAGACATTTGCATAAATTTGAGAGCATGGATATTTAGGGGGTTTTCTTTCTCTCTCTTTTGACACAGAATAATGAAACTGCTTTGTTGACAGAAACTTTTGCAAGTTTTTTAACACCGTTTTAAAATACTGTACCTGGGCTCCATTTCAACCATTGTTTCCATGTCGGAGCTGCAAAACAGACACACAGTAATTCAGTAGTTGTTACATATTTCTGCAACTAATTAGAAATGATTAAATTTTAAAAGTAAATGAATATGATCAACACTCATAGAATTGTGATATACAGTAATCAATTCTAGATTCAAGTCATTATAGTTGGTCATCCCAAACATCAAAACATTCTCATCAAAATAGCCTATATAATTTTTCTAATAAAAATATTTTGATTCTTTTTTTTAAAGAAATACCATATTAGATGTTTTTCATTTCTTTATGTTGTATGACATAGAATCAAATGAATTATCATACCTGACATCTTCTCCTGTCTCATTGTCAGGAATGTTGCTGTAATAACAAAAATTATTAACATATTAAAATATTTTCTTCACAGCATGATTCTATCCTATTTTGTATGACACACTGAAGCAACTTTATATATTTTGCAGTTTGAAGACAAATGAATGTTATTTTTCAATTACACACAAAGTTAATGAAATATGATCAATCTTCTCAGTTAAAAGTACAATGATACATAAAATGTCTAGCTGGTTGTGACCCATATGAACATGTAGTTGGTTGTGAAACACACAGACACATATTGAAGCTACAGTATCTGTTCATGTGGATTAATTAAATGAGGAACACGAAAGTATTTAGCAATTATATGCAGTATCAATACATTTCAGGATTCCCTGTTATAGTAATATAATTCAGATACATTAAAGACATGATAGGCCTGTACCTTAAATAAAAAGCTACACAGCAACTAAAAGGATAAACAAAATTACCTATTCCAGATCACATTCCCAGATGTCTTCTGCATCTCTCCAAGTATTCCTAATAAGAGAGATGATTTACCACAGCCTACCTGTCCCACAATCATTGTTAGCTGACCTGCAATAATAGAAAAAATTATACTATTCTTGAAATGTTGGCTTACATTCATGCTAGTCCAGAGCAATTAGGCAACTGATTAAATGGATCATTTTTTTTCTCATGCACATTGCTAAGATCATCCTCATTCACAGTATAGTATACATATTGTGTTGTAGATATGGATGTGCTCCTATTTCTGTTTTGTGCTCAGACATTTATTATTGCATAGTGTTTGATTATGAACATTTGTAAATCTTAATCATTATAATAGATGCATTAATACCTTGAGGAATTCGAATATCAATGCTGGATAAAGTTGGAACTCCTTCTGGCGTCCATGTGAAAAATCCATTCGTGACCTATGGTCGCATCAGCAACAAGAACATAAATTATCTATGTTGGTGCAAAACATCACTCATATTTTCCCTTTTAAAATGTCTTTTTTTAAAAAAGTATTGCTAATAGACAACAGCTATGTGGTCTGTGTGTAAACATGGATCTTTTATGGGATAAGTAATACACAACCAAAATCCTTTAATTCTTCCTATCAGACTTTACAATTCCTCTCTTCATATACAACATGGTCAAGTTACAACAATAATGTGTCCCTAAGTATTTTTACTGGGAAGTAGGTTAAATTAACTCATATTAGCTTTTTTCCTTGTAAAGTATTTAGGTCTGAAAGGCAATTCTGTATACTCTTGGGGATAAATTCATCTGAACTAAGCATTGTTTATTTTTAACAGTTGATAAAATTATGCAGCATAACTACAAGCAATGCTAAACATAAGAATGTGTATAGACTGATTCATTACTGAGCACAGAATGAAAATAATTATATATCTAAGAATTACATTCTATTTCTACTTTCTACAGACAATTATCCTCATAGACCAAGGGTGTCAAACTGCCGGCCCATGGGCCAGTTGCATCATGCAGAAGCCAAGCCCGCCCCAGCTCCAGCAATGCGAAAAAAGCCACAATACATCACAACACATCACATGACACGGCGAGTTTGACACCCGTGTCATAGACTGTTAGAGAAATGAATTCTATAATTAACCACATTTATTTTATTCATATAAAAATAAAATCAGACTAAGGAACAAAGGTGTTAGTAAGTGGAGGTTCATACAAAAGGTAGACGAGATGCAGCCCTATAATCCATCTTCTAGTTGTCATACAGATAGAGAACAACCTTATGTTCATTTTTAAAAATTGGTTGAGATATGTCTGGAAACACCATTGTTTCCACAGAAGTCTTTCTTCTATTCTAGCCCCTGATACATGGAGATTCTCAGTACATACTTAATGTGAGGAGAAATCCATACTGAATATGCTCAGACACTTTTATTTACTCTTAATAAAGTTGACATGAAGATTGCTACAGATGCTACACCTGCCCTAGCATAATTTAAGCCTGAAACTAAGGAATGGAAGGAGTGGAAAAAGTACATGACTAGATTCACACATTATGCTAAGCTATAGTGTGATTTGCTTGATTTTGGCTTATCATATTGAGCCTCACTATTTTATGGCCTGGTGTAATACGTGAATGTAGATAATTGCGGCATGAACAACAAATTATGCTTAACAAAACTATGCAGAAACTACTATTTTCTCTCTCCTATCAATTAATCCATGCTCCTTCAAGAGGCCTATTTTCCAATCTGATAATCATATTGCCAAAATTGTTGTCTAAATTCTATGTTAGTGAGAAAAATCTTGGTGGTCCACTACTGCAGGAGATAAATATGGATTTGTATTCTCAGCTTGGAACTATAGTATTAGAACTTTTATACTTATTAGAAACAACATAATTAGAAAGAGTGACCTTATTATCACCTTTACACAAAAATCATCTGCTTCTGTGCTGCTAATAGATCTTCTTATACGAGAGCTGTAATTGTTCCAGTCCTCTCTGGCAGGCCTCTTACGGTTAACAACTTTGAGGGTCTGTGCAAGACCAGGAAGACAGAAACATGGTGAGTGGGAACATGAATGCAGATGTCAGCAATGGACAATGAGTTAGTTTCCTAGTAGATGCACTCCTCCCCTAAGAGAGTAAAAGGTGGTTTCTGTCATGAATATTTGGGCTGAGTAAAGGCAAAGGTGCATGGACTTTGTCAGTTTTTGCTGGGTTTACATACTGTAGTAAGCCATAATGAAGTTTTCTTTATGGTGGCATAGTGCAAAATATCATCTCAAGTTTTTTCTGGGTGCAAACCATGGTTCATGACTTAGCAGAATATCTGAAACAAGACACTTTGGCTTCTAAAACCCACCACTTAAATCAGACAATGGTGCAGCATGATGCATGAAATCATTTTGTAAGTGTGCAGTTATTGTTTATCTTGGATCTCTTACTGCTGTTGGGTATTTAATCCTGTTCCAGGAGATTCTGACAAATCAGCAAACTTCATACCATTATATAGTACTGTTGACTGAGATGCATCCCAACCATTCTGATAAGGATTGGATCCTCCCCACCCCCTCCAATTGTTTCACAAAGTAGCTGACAGTTCCTACAGCAAACTGTCTCATCATCCACTGCTGGCTTTAAACAAAGAGCAATCACAATATAATCTACAATAAGTAGATGCTAAATTTTACTACTGTAGCTATTAATTACAAGGAAAGTGACAGTTATTGGCATTACTGAACAAGCAAGGATTTAAGAATGAGATGTTGCCAGTTTCACAATCAAGTTAAAATGACACTTACAAGAACCTGATATTTGCTGTGGTTGTCTGGGTTTTTTGGCTCAGGACATTTATCATACTCTTCTGCAATTTCTTCACTCGAGAGAAATTCACTTAACTTTTGGACACTATGAAAAGAGAAGAATGGTAGCAAGCTAAACAAATCATATCTGTGCTGCATACAACAGCAGTGTTCATTATTTTAGCAAACTGCAACCCTTGATCCCACTTTGATGTTCAGCTTTTGGACAGGTAAGGATTCCATTTTCATTGTGTAAGTCTTTTTCAGGGTTACACGACTACTCCAAGTGCAACCTTGAATTCCTTTCATTATGGAGTACTCACTTCCAAAAGCTGCTAAACATTTCCTGAAATAATGTGGTCTGGAAATGACATGGTATGGTTTGGTACAATACAGAATGATATGGACCATTATATTCCTTACTCAGCAAACATTGCATATTGGTAGTGTCTCTTTTAGGGTTGGATGAACCTATTGTGTTTTGTATACAGTTCTGTACTCCTTCAGCCCATACATAGTTTTTTAGTCCGTCATCATAGTCAATTATGTTTAGATTTAATTCTCACATGACACCAGGTTTAATACTACTAGCAAGATTGAGAAGATATATTTCCTTATATTTCAGAAGAATCAATGTTATTTCTCCCCCTAAAGAATTAACAAATGTTCTATATCTCTACCTCTACCTCTATCTCTACATCTATATATTCTGTTTGATTGTGACTGATTCTCAGAGATTGATAACAAGTCTTTGCAGGTTTTTTGACGAGGTTTTTCAGAAATAGTTCACTCTTGTCTGCTTCCTAGGGCCAAGAGGGAGTGACCAGCTAGCTTTGTGGAACTAGTACTCGTGGTTTCCCAGTCTCTAACTGATGTCTTAACAACAACATCAAACTTATTTTCACATCCAAATATACATTTACCACAAAAATTACAAGGCATACTACAGTGAATATTGGCAATAGAAGCTGTAGAGAAACTGATAATATAATGTGGGGAAATTCCCCATGAATTCCTAACAATGAAGGACCTTTGGTAGGGTGGAAAACCCACGAAAGTGATATCCTAAATAAATCTTAACCAAATTTTAATTCCTGCAGCAATGGAGGTGAATATTTTAAACCAAGTGTCTTAAAGTCTCATGAAATCTTACCTTACAAGAGCTTTAACAGTGGATCTAACCACACTGGAGAGTAGGAACAGGGGTGTCACAAGGATGTGGAAGAGAGAGAGCGATGCAAAGGCCACCGAAGGAGAAAAGTCAGCATTGGCAAAGAGATGGGCATGGACAACAAACGTCTTATTAGAAAAACAAAAACAAAATGCATTACTTCAGACCATTTACATATTAAAGACATATTTTCAGTCAGATTTTTATTGAACTTCAAAAATCCAAAAGATCAGCAGTGTTGATGGTGTTTCTTGATATTAGTTGACCAGAACCTTTTGCAGATAAATTAAAAAAATAAAAGAAGCTTCTCTGGAAATGAATTAAGTCCATGAGTTGTGACTTGAAAAGTGCCAAGTTTCCCAGTCAATTAACTGTATCTTATTACTGGACTGGTTCCAAATGATATTTCTACCCAAAGGAAGATGGCAATGGGAATGGGCTGAATTCTGTCCTATATGTTGCAGACAGAATCAGTTACTGTCAAAGGATTCAAGAATAACAAAACCAGACTTACTGTACGAGATGATTGTCTATAACTTTTGAAATAATATAAAGTAGCTGCTATTCTTTTTTTTTACCCATTCCTCACTCTTGTCAGCTAATGCATCAAAAATATAATCCATCCTAGCCCCCAAACCAGTATTCTGTTTCAATTCAGCATCGACTTGAAATCCTGAGGTGTATCTGCAATGGGAAAGGCCAGTGATTTACACTGACCTTTTTTTATTTATATTTCATGTTTCCCTGCAGTTCTTAGTATCAACTTTCATGTTGTTCCTGTGTTTCTTAGCTCTCTACAAAGCTTTTTTTCTAGTAGCTATTGGGAAGAGCAATTGCTGAAATTTGGTGTCTTCCTTCCTTCCTATAGCATGAATGAACTTTATGGATCCAGATCGCTTTATAGTAATTTAAAATCAAGAAAAGCAGAATCAACAAATTCATTACTAAAAAGATGTATATTTCTCTATTTTTTTTTTAAAAAATTACATTTTAATATAAATATTTATACTTACTATAAGAACAGCTGCAATTGGTATTGCTGCATTCATGAAAACTGTGGGGAAAAATGTTTCTTCTTATTATATTTACACACTTCTGTACTTAAATCTCTTTCATTCTCATGCATTTCATTTACTTTAGAATAGTAATAACTGCTATAATAAAGTGCAGTATAAGAAACAAATGCCAATAATTACAGACATCCCACCCAATATAAATGATGTTTAGCTTAACAACGTATGCATCTGCAACTCCAACAATACCTTTTTCTTTTAGATTGCTTGTTTTATTAATCAGGTAGTATAGCTACAATACATTGATATTGTTCTTATTAGGCTTCAAAAACAAAGAAAGACACATTGTGATTTTTCGAAGCAGATTTCTTTATCGATCCTCACCTACAGACAAAATCTTGCCAAACTAAAGCAGACTACCACCCCCATAAAGCATATAGTCTGAAAACTCTTATGGAAAAGCCATTTTCACCCTCATCTGAACTAAGTTGTCTCTTACTCCTTTGGAATGCATTCCCTCTTGGGAATCCAGACTACATTCCATCACAGTTCTGGTAGTGCTTCTGTACCATGAATGATAGCAATAAAATAATGACTAGCAATTTCCAGGGACTTTCTGTGTAGATTAGATGTACAGTACTGATTTCTTCTCTATGTCTAAGCAATTATAGGAGACTGTAGGGATTATTAATCACAGATGGCTGGGTATAGAAATGGGTTCCCTATTGTTCTGGGTCTTCTTTGCAGCTGGTCATTAAAATATAAATTATCCATTCTATTACTTATGTTGCCAACATTTCTTTCTAATTTAAACAAGTGATAACTGACAAATTGTTCATTTTATGTCAGAAGAAGGATACTCTTCTTATATTCCATTCAGTTTCCTGCTTCATACTACAATCTTATTGCAGCAATTAAACAGGATATATTTCAAATATTTAAAAATCTAACAAAATAAGCTATAAATAAGCTTTCTGGGCTTAATTAAACCTATATTTGGAAGAAAGACAAAGAATTTTCGTTGTAAATTTCATACATGTTTTAAGGCAAAAATCCAAAATTCATTTCTTGGCATCTATAAGGAGTGCTTTCTCCCCTGACTAATGGAATGATGCTTCCAGTATCAGCAACACAGAACTACATGGATTAATGTATTACAGTGTTTCCCAAACTTGACAACGCTGGCTGTGGAATTCTGGGAGTTGAAGTCCACATGCCTTAAAATTGTCAAGTTTGGGAAACACTGATGTATTATTTCAGGCAACTTTAGTATGTATGCTGTAGTGATGGGCACCAATCTTTGTAATTTTGTAAAAAGTACAAGATTCTTTGACAGAGTTCACATGTTCGGCTAAACTATGGTTTGCTTAACAATATTTTTTTTTCAATAAACTGAATTGGCTAGCTTTATACATGGAAAGTCATAAAACACTGTTTCTTAATTAATATTTGGAGCGCTCTGTCTCTCTTTTCTCTCTCTCTCTGAGACTTAATAGGTTGCACCAATTCAACCACTGTGGCTTGTAGATTAAGTTTTACAATTAGGTAACTACGTAAAAATGTCATTAGTTAAGTTCAGGCATCATACTAAGCTTTAAGCATTATTTGTTGACAATACTATAAAAGTTAACACTAAGCCACTATAGGTGATTTAAAGACTACGATAGCTAGATACAGTGATTATGCTAGCACAGAGTAGACTTACCATATTGTATACATTCAGCAGTCTTTCACTGGGAAATAGTGAAATGTGAAAAACATTTTTTTTATTTGCAGAAGGTGCTTTCTGGAATTTTACAGAATATATTACAGATAATTATATCTATAATTTGTGGTCTGGCTTCCCATTAGCTTCTAGTGCCAACTCAAAGTACAGTTCAGCAGCAAGTTTTATCAGGCACCTTGCTTATGTGCTTGCATATATTTGTTAATAAGTTTTGCAAATCAGAATAATACTAATGATTCATATTTACCATTAAATGTATAAAGTGATAATTTGAATATGTCACAAATTTGTTGAAAGGGTATCAATTGAATAAAACAAATGATAAAATGCTATCATTTTATTGCATTAAAAAGTTGATATATTCCAAGAGGGATTTACAGTACTTCTGGAGTTAAAAAAAAGAAAAAGTTATCTTGCAGAAATGTTCTTCGAAAATTAAATAAGAATAACTTCAATGAAATTTCAGCCAGAATATTCCAGTGCCTCACTAGCTTTTGTAAGAAAACATGAACTTTTACCAATGGGAACTTTTTTGTAAGATAAATACAAATAGGAAAGACTCTGTTGGTGCAGTGGTTAGTGCTGGGTCCTCAGCGAAAGGCAATAACTTCAGGAGTCATTTGGTAGTTCTCAGGAGCCTCTTTATTGATGACTAGCAGCTCTGTTACAACGCCGAGGCACACAAGCCTCTCTCCTCCTCTTAAAGACAATCCCAGGGCCAAATGGCAACATTTGGCGCGCTTTGCACTTCACGCATGCGCGTGAGTGCTGGCGCCAGCCAGTCTGGTCCCGGGCAGCTTGCAACTGCCCGGGACTGTTGCAACGTCCCGAGCCTGCCTCTGCAGGCTCAGGACACAACACCCCTCCCCCCCGGCTAAAACTATAACTACATTAATGGTTACACTTGACCTTAACACGAGCGTGGGAGCCACACTAGTTCTATGGCAACAAGCTGTAATGTTTTGGGCTTTATTTCCCAATGTTCCTTATTCAAACCTTTCACAGGGACACCCTCTTACTGTTTCTGCTTTGCCAGCAGAGTTACAAAATCTTCAAGATATTTAGGAGATCTTTTAGCTCTCTGTGACCTCCAAATTCCCTGGCAACCTCCAAGCACATCTTGTCCAGGGGGTGCTATGTGTTCGCCCCCTTCTTTTGACCCTGGTGGTCCCCATGGACCGTGCCCCGTTGCCTGGCCTGCTTGCTTGCCCACCGGGCTCGTAGGCCAGGACTTTGTTCTCTCCATAACCTGGTTGACCTGCCTAGTTGCAGGCTCTCTGGCCCTTCTAGAAGGCTGCCACTGTTGGACAACTCTGTAGAGCCTCCCAGGTCTACCCTAGACCTATCATGAGGCTGCCTTCCTCCACTTCCCAGTTCCATAGTAGGGCTGTCTGGAATCTCAGTACTGTCCCAAAACTCAGTTGCCCCCTCTGTTAAGCCGGAGGTGTCAGAATTGGAATTCGGCCCTCCGACCACCTCCCTATGTGAATGTCCCTTTCTGGGAACAGTGGCAGTGTTGGGCCAACTAGACGGAGTGTGTGCCAGCTCTCTTGCAAGATGTGAGTTATTAGGATGCTCCCGGTTATTCTCCCTGACTGGAGTGCTGAATGGTGTAGGTGTGTAATGATTATGCCCCCGGGGTAACTCCCTGGCTGGAGTAGGCACTGGTGCCTGTGTTCTAGTTGGTTTCCATGAATTCCTGTTCGGAGCACTCGCGGAATCTTGGAATGGGCCGTCTGTGGCCTCTCTGTTGGTGTCTGGCTGCTGCCCACATCCTTCCCTTTGCCCATAGAGGTCCCCCTCCCCCCTGGAAAAGATCCAGGGGTCTCAGGAGGTGAGTCCAGCCTCGTGCGCAGCTGATCGATATGCCATCGCAGGATACGACCGTCATCCATGGAAACCTCATAAGACAAGGGACCTGTAAACTTGCATACTATGGCAGGGACTCACAAGTGACCTGGCCCGTAATTACGGGTCCATACTGGGGCACCCACTAGCAATTGCCTTGGTGCCCTGGGTTGTGTGAACTTAGAAGGCAGTTTGTCCGGATGCAACCGGTCAAGCTTAGTAGTCAGTTTGCGCCCCCAGCGAAGTTTAACCGGGCTTTTCCCAGTAGAAGTAGATGGTGTGGTGCGGTAAGCAAGTAGAAAATCTGCCAACCTGTGATGCCAGTCCCCATATGTCAGTTTCTTTAATGCATCCTTGGTGATGCGGGCCATCCGTTCAGCCATACCGTTGGTGGAAGGGTGGAAAGGTGCAGAGGTGGCATGACGAATCATGTTGGACTGTAAGAAAGCTTGGAATTCGGAAGAAGTGAATTGAGGGCCATTGTCAGACACCAAAACATCCGGAAGCCCGTCTGCAGCAAAAATCCCCCTCAGTACTTGAACAGTCTTTGCAGAGGTGGTGGAAGAGACAGGTACAACCTCAAGCCATTTTGAATGGCTATCAACCAGGACCAAGAAGAATTGACCCTGAAAGGGCCCAGCGTAATCAATGTGCACCCTAGACCATGGAGACTGTGTTTCCTCCCAACTATGCACAGGAGTCTGTGGCATTTCTGGGCATGAGCGCTGACAAAGGTGGCATGCGTGCACCTTAGCTTCAATTTCCTTGTCTAATCCAGGCCACCACAAATGGCTGCACGCAAGCGCCTTCATGCGTACAATGCCAGGATGACCCTCGTGAAGGGAGCCTAAGATCCTAGACCTCATTGAGGTAGGAATGACAACTCTGCTGCCCCACAGCAGACAACCCTGGAAAGTGGATAACTTGTTTCTCTTAAGCCAGAAACTCTGAAACTCACCACCAGGACAGCTCTCTGGCCATCCGGACAAAACCCAAGATAAGACACGGGAGAGAGTGAGATCTGTGGCGGATTCAGCAGCCACATCTCTGGCATTTAACGGTTACTCAGGCAATGTCTGAATTGAAAGGATGTTGATGGCAGGGTCAGGGTCAGCCTCTACTACCGGCAGGGGTAATCTACTGAGGCCATCAGCATCAGGATGAGTTCCATCCGGCCTAAGGTGGCTGAGTACTGCTCCCACCCCATACGGAGAAGCATCACAAGCAATGCACACAGGAAGAGTTTCATTAAAATGTGCAAGCACATTGTTAGATGTGAGTAAGGCCTTAACTTCATTGAAGCTTGCTTCATGTGTTTGTGACCACTGCCACACTGCCTGTTTGTCCAGAAGCCTATGAAGTGGTTCAGCTACATTAGCCTTGTTAGGAATGAATGAATTATAAAAATTCAAAAGGCCCAGAAAAGCCCGTAGTTCGGCCTTGGACTTAGGCCTAGGAGCATGTATA